ACATTTTCCATTTCCATTTGGCTAACACACACACACACTGTTTCCTCTTCCAATTTCCCAGCAGAGGCCTCCTCCCACAGAAATACTGGCGGATTTTTACAAAAACCCGCGATTTACGACAATTTTTTGTGGGCTGTCGGCCTTTGGTTCTGGTTGACTCTCTCCGAGATAGCTTCAAATGAAAATGTGGCCCCATCCTCTGATTGTTTGAACGATTTTAGAACATGGAAAGTCTCTTTATATCGTCCGACAGCGGTGGGTAATCTTTTCGAAGGAAAATCCGTATCATGCACACGCAATGCGTGTTGTTTTATCGAAATTATTGGGCATCGCGAGCATCAATGGGCGATGGGCACAACTTTAAGCAAAGGAATCTTCTTGTGCGTCCACGACTTCCCTCTAATCCTGACACAGATATCCTGTCGTTGCACAAAGCCCAAATCTCTATCGAAAACATACATGAGTCCCTTTTGATGAATTATTCAAAGAGAGCACTTTTCCACCCAAATAACACTGTGTGGACACACTCTATGTGCATATGTATGTACTGTGTGTACATTGTACACCTGTTTCCACGCTGGTAGAATGTTTTGCATTTGGCTTGGAATTTGGGGACACAAATGAGGGTGGGGGGAAGGGGTTTGCCCGCATATATCATACTCCCATTTGCATTATATATGCGTATATACTATATATCTACTGAACGAGTGGAATCCTTGGGCCAGATTGATTTTCCTTGCCACTGCCACTCCCACTCCCCACCCCCCGCCGCCCTTCTGTTGCTGTTGTTGTAGTGGCAGGTTGTGTTCTTTCTTTTTTCCATATTCCACATTCTCTTATTGATTTTTTGTTTGCTTTTTTCCCCGTCTTTGTGGAAATCGTTTTTCTGCTGTACTTTTGCTGTGTTCTCTTTTAATTGCATTATGCAGGAAAATCACAGGGGCAGGACGGAAGGGGTCGCAGCGGGACGGGGCAGGATGTGGTGCAGGTCCTCTCATTGTTGTGACCTGCTAAGAGATCGAACCTTGCTGGCCAGAAACGGAATCTTCCACATTTCCACTCATTTTTCATTGGGAAAGTATTCTCATCTACATTCTCATGACAAAGAGCAGAGGAGCAGACCATTAAGGAACATTTTGAAATATATATGGTATTAAATCAGAGCCAGTTTCCTTCCCTCCCCTGAAAGGGCTAAAGTAAAGTAAACTATTTTCACTTTTTTCCCCCCTTTCTTTCTCTTTTACTTTTTCTGTTGCCTTTAATCTGGTTCGCCATAAATCTGTGGGTGTGGGTGTGGGTGGGGGTGTGGATCGGATCATTAATACGGACACGCTTAAGCCGGGACTCTATTGCAGGCCAGGTCCAGGTCCAGGACCAGGACCAGCTCCATCCCCCTGAAGCGGCACGTGTCCCACTGCGGTCCCTGTTTCCCGTTTATCACCTTCTCCCTTCCCTTATCAGGGCAATGACAGACAAAAGAGCGGGGACGGGAGAGATTTCTTTTCAACTATTAACTTCTGCCAGGGAAAAAATCCTCCGGTGGTGGTGGAGGAGGAAACAAGCCAAAGAGAGAAAGCACTTAAAGGATCAGCCCTGGTGTGGGTGTGGGAAGGTAAATGTAAAAATGCTAATCATTTGCTCATTAAATCCGCATCAGTCGCTGCCGACTCTGTGAGTCCATGGCTGCTGGTGTTAATGACAGGACAAACACCAGCCAGCCACCAAAAGAGAGACTAACCAAGAGAGAGAGAGAGGGGGAGAGAGAGAGTCTTGCCTGCCCGGGCCGTACGAACAGCTGTTGTGTGTTGTGTGGCTTCAAAAGTTCAACGAGAATTTTGGCACAAAGAAAATGAGAGAAAGACAAGAAAAAACAAAACAACAAGAGCAAAGAGAAGGAGCAGGAGCAGGAGCAGGGAGGAGGTTGAAGATAAAAATAAAAGGAAGAAGAGTTTCCAAGGGAGAGAGAGAGAGAGAGGTAGAGCCCGAAGCAAAGGACGAGTGAGGGGCATTACAGTTACAGTGGTTACACCTTCAAAAGGGAAAGAGGGTACACCTATCTCATATAGAAAACTTTTGTATAATGATTAGATAGGATATCGATTAGAGGATTCCATGATTCAAATGTAATTATTTTCCACCGAGTGAAATCTTTGCCATGATTTCATTATAATAATGATACAATTAGAATGTGAAACTAGACCATTTATAATCATTCCATCGAGCGATTCTGTTCTGTTTTATAGCCCACCTTCAATCCACACCAAGCCCACACTCCATCGCGTTCCGTTGCGGGGCGCTCCACTGTACCATGTCCTTGGCTGAGCAGCAATCAGCGGAACAGCAGCCGCCTCAGTCTCTCTCGCTCTCTCGCTCTCCGACAACACCGTGCAGACGACATCTTAACAGCCTGTGAAATATTAGGACCTGCGACTGGACTGAAACTGGGGCCTGAGCCTGGGACAGGGACAGGGACAGGGACAGGGACAGGGATACATAACGAGGGGCCACAGGAGGGGGGGGGGGGGCCCCGTTGCGGAGGAATGTGCGAGGGGGTGAATGGCAAATCATCTGTTTAAATCGATTTTCCTTGTTTTTTGTCGTTTTGTGCTGGTAATATTTCTTTGTTGCTCGCTTTCCTCTTTCCCGAGCCTACCATCTCCCGTTTTTTTTGTGTATTCTTCGTTTGTTACCCACTTTTTCTTTTCGCTCTCTTCGCTAGTTTGTTGAGAAACTGCTGGAACGACGGGACTCTACGGGTGAGTGGTGGGTGGGCCCTGTGCCCGGGCTGGAAGGCAGTGGCCAATATTTCATGTCCTAGATCTACTTTCAAAGCTTGAGCGACCACTACTCTCCATCTTTCCCCCTCTGATACGATCCATTCGCCATTTAATTGACCCCAAAAATAGCTACCGAAAAGTGCCACAAAATCTGAGATCTACGCCCCCACGGATCTGCAGAGGGTGAGGAAAAAACTACCAACTTTTGGGCTCATTAAATGAATCAAAAATTGCCTGTGGCTCACTGGGTGACCATAAAAGTCGAATCTTTCGAATATGGGCCATTTAAATGAATCGAATTCTCGTAATTTATGCAAATTGGTCGAAATGTTGGCCAAAATCACTCTTCTGGAGATACAATATCTCAAACCGAAAAGTTGTAAATTGTTTGCGGGGGAAATGAAACAAAAGAAAACGAAAACGAAAACAAAAACCGTTGATATATCACGCACTGGGGCCGAGCCCCAAGAGAGTATACTGAGACCGGAAAGTACTTGATCGCCTTGATTGTAGGTGGATCAGCTATAGGCAGAGGACTTAAGCTAAAGATTGAAGATTTAAAGAATATTTGTTACCATCAAAGACCTTGGATAGTATTTCCTTTATGAAGGAGAGCGGAAAAAACTTACGAGTTTTCCATTTGTAAATGCACTATTTGGACCCACTGTACGGCCAGTATATCGCATCATATCAAAACTGGTTGAAACAATTACACATCCATCCAGCCGCCCAGACGATCTAGTAGCTCTGATCTCAGAGATCTGTACGTGCCTGCCCCTCCATCCCTCCACGCAGAGCCGCACCAAAACAAAAAAACGAGAAAAGCTCCATTGGAGAGCCACGTTACGTGCCGCAAGCGAGTGACTATCAGATAAAGCACGATTGTAACAGCACATATAAAAAGTTTCAACTATTTCGTGGCGGTACCAGTTTAAAATTTTATTGTTACGCTTGTGTAACAACAAAAGCAACAGCAACAACGGCAACAACAACGAATATAATAGCCATGGCATGCGCTAAAACAAGAACCAGTCACGTCATGACTAAGTTCAGCAAAAGCAACACTCAGCAGCAAGATAACCCTCCTCCCCGGCCCCCGACAGAATTTGTGCATTTGTGTAATAGAGGGGGGAAGAGAGAGAGGGAGAGGCGGCGTGCGGAATGCGTGCAATTCCCAAATCAAACCACAAAAGAAACACTCGAGAGTGGAAGGTCAATAGCGGGACCATAAAACGATGCGATAAGGGGAAGAAAAATAAATAGAAAAGGAAAACAGTTTGAGTTTCGGAATTCCGAAAAAACCACCTCTGGAGGGGAAAATGATAAGAAACAATAAGAATATGAAGGTATCAACGCTTTACTTCACTGCAGCAGGAATCGAATAAAGAAGGAAAGAAGCTCCAGAACAAGAACCAACAAAAGCAAAACAAAGCGTGAAAACAGAAGAAGAAACGGGAGAAAAGTAACACTCGAGAACAAGCACAAAAAATCGAAGAAAACGAATCGTTAAATGGAAAAACAAACAGAACAACAATCAGGGCAAAGTAAATGCCAATCGGATCGGCAATCAAAGAAAAGCAAATGGTTTCAATGACTGTATTAATTCCATAGAAAAGAGAGCGAGGGGTGGCCGTGCACCGGCTATCGCCTATCGCCTACCGCCTACCGCCACCTAATGGCCGTTTCGCAATCGAGTAACCATGACCGTGTGCGGGCAATTACGAGTACCGATGGTCAGGGCAAAGGGTTAACTACTGTTATTCACTTTTCAGGGGTGCCGGATGCAGGTGAAGGTCGAGCCTGTGAGGGGGGGACAGCGACAAGGCATGCATCAGAAATGCAGAAAACACAGCACACTTGTTAAATGCTTTTTCATTATATTGTTACCATTTACATAAATATTTTGAAAAGGAAAATACATTTTGAACCTCCACGCGATCCTAAATTATTTCGATCTCCTTCTTTCTTCTCTCCACCGCGCTCTTTTCACCAACTGATTCTCACCCATACACGTACTCATATCCTTCTATCTCCTTCTTCCATCTTCTTCTTCCAAGTCCCGTACTGATCCCGCATGATCAATTCTACACTTTCCATCGACTGGAGACTCGAATTTTTCTCACGTGTTTTCTCCTCTCTTTTCGACTTTCATTTCGTTATTTCTAATCTTTCACACACGGTTTTGGTATGATAAAACATGATTGACATTGCCAGGATACTGACCTCTCTCTCTTTCTCTCTCTTTGATTTCGTTGCTTTTCCCGAATTTCCCCGGAATCCGGCTCAAATTTATTTACTTTTGTTGTAGTCTCCCGATGGTTTACATTTGTTTTTGTTTTTGTTGCTCTCAGTGGTTAGTGGTTTTTTTTTTTGTCAGGTTTTCGTTCTCCAATTTTTGGGCTGGGTAAAAAACAGGACTCGCTCGCTCGCTTGCTCTTCCTTTTCCTCTCTATGCGCGCGCGCTCTGCCAAATTGATTTTCACTTTTGGCGATTGTCAAAAAAACCGAAAAAAATCATAATAAAAGACAACAACAAGAAGGCAGGAATTTTCACTTGTGCCACTTTTTGTGGCAGCAGAGCCCGTCGTCGTTGTTTTTGTTGCAGGGAACAGGTTTCTGCTTTTGTTTTTGGCGTACCTTTTCCTTTGCCGTTGACTTTGCTTCTCTTTTTCACTTCTTTTCCCCGAGATGCTCGCACACACACGCACGCACAAACACACGGACGCACCAAACGGCGACGACGACGACGACGACGACGACGCCGGCAGCGCTACTTTGGCCAAACAACAAAAATTCTTGCGCTGGCTTTGATTTTGGTTTTGCTATTGGCTTTGCTCTTTGCGGAGGCGAACCGGTTTCGATTCTGTTTTTGCACTTCACTTGACGAATTTCGATTGATTTTGGGCCAACATGTCCGAATATTTTTAAAACGATTCAGGAAAACGCTTGCACCGGAATCTTAGTTTAATACTTGATGCCATGCACCGTTATTTCCCGCATCATCATACACTTGTTTTCTCAGCTGCTACCGTCTCACTCGCACCTCGCACGAAAACGCGCACATCCACCGTTCAGTTCGAAAATTGTATATCTATATTTATATATATATTTTTTTTTGATAATATATTTTCGTTATTTTTGTTGTTGTTTTGCAATTTTGTATTGTTTATCAACGGATTTTTCTGAATTCAGAAAAAATTCGACAATATCTCGTTGTTGCACGGTGCGCGGCGGCGATTACATTGATTGTGTTTTCTTTTGGTGCCTCGATAAGAAATCGTACTTAGCCCACCTAAGCCCCCTCTTTTTAAATATAGTTTATCTATTTAAATAGTTGAGGTTAATGTCGGAAAATGTTAACGATTGTAAATTCTACTTGTAGATTCATGCCATTTTTCCTCAGAAGTTAAAAGGAAATCACTATTTTTTTAAATTAAATTTTCATTATTTTTAATGGAATATAAAAATACCCCATTGGCTCATAATGGGTTAATTTTGACTTATCGATAGTATAAAATATGAGACCATTTTCCATTTCTCGGCTACAATGTGCCCATTTCTTGCATGTTTCTGCAGCATGCTAATACAATTTTTCGATAATTTGTGTCTCTGTTATATCAATACGTTAAACATATAATTCTAAAAGAGACCAACCCAGTTGCGGTGTATATAGAAAGCTTCTGCATCGTTCCACTTCTAGGTCACACAAAACATTTTCTTTTCCATTATTTTGTCATTATTTTCAATATCTTTCTAAGAAAAACCTATGTATTTATTCTGTACTTGCCGCAGTTAGCTCAAATCCTTAAAAACATCCGCGCGCCCATCAATACTAATATAAATACTTCCTATCGCATTGTGTTGCTGGCTCATGTTGCTAGAAAACATGCTCAATAATTTCCCATGGCTGTTAAGAGCAAATGGGAAATTTGCTCTTTCGAAAAAATTCCTTCGCTGTTTATTAGGGAAAAATGATAAAAAGCAATGTAGTCGACATTTCATACCCTGCATTTAGATTATAAATAGAAAAACTATACTAACTTGGAGTAAAATATATTGAAATACTACCAAGCTGTTGTCTAAGAAAATTGTCGCTCAATATATCAGATAACACTCGTAAGTACCAGTAATATTATATAGACAGAGCTACAATTTAACATCAGAATGGGAATCCTTTCGAATCCTCTGCACATAGGAAAAGCCATTGACTGTGGCTCCCTTGTCCACTTTTTTCGTCCAAGTTCTGGGTCACTTGGGCATGTCGATCCGTCTCTTGAAGGTTTTTCCTCGTTTCTTTCGATTGCTGTTGTATTGTTTTTCATTTTCCTGACATTCCGCCGGTGGCCGGCTCAGGTGGACGGTGGGGGCGGAGGGGGGGGGGGGGCTCTGGTCTTGGTTGTTGTGGGCGGCGTTTCATCCATTTAAAAGCATTTCTTTGCGGGACGGTTGATTGTTGCCTTTTCCCCTTTTGTTCTTTTTGCCTCTTGTGTTTTTTTTCTTAAAGTTTGTTTCTGGAGGCGCCTCCCATTGTGGTCATCACGGTTGCCCTTTTTTATTGTCTTGAATGGGAGAAGATTGAGCCAAATCGAGGATTACTAATTGCTGGCTTCTGGAATTCTTTGCCGGAGACTTTAATGATTTCGCAAACAGTCAAAAAGGTCTTTGCTCTAGTTCTTTGGTACAAAATGCATTCCACTCTGAGTTGCAGCAAATTAAATGTTGAAATAATGATGTTCTCTGATAGCTCTCCTCCAAATCATTAACTTCTGAAATCCATTTCTCATTTGATTGTCTGCTCATTTGCTTTTATGTAAATCTTTCGCTCGTCCGTTCGGCAGGAAATGGAAATTTTCACTGAATAAACGTGAGCGGCCACCGAAATGATGACCCCCAAAAAAGGTCAGCCCGAGTGGAGATGGGAAGTGATGAGTGGCAGCGGGGAATGGCAGTGGGAGGGGCTGCATTTTCCTTACAAAATTGCAACGTGGCCACTGAATGGAGCTTTTCGCTGCAGCCACAGCCGCTACATTTCGTGCATCTAATAATTCATTGAATTTCCATTAGGTTTTGAATTACCTCCCACCCCCGATGGAGCCAACCACAGGCTTTGCGGTTCACGCAGCATTATTTGGTTGAAGGTAGCGGCAATCGCAATTATGCCCCAACGCCACAGCCTCCTCCGCTGGAGAGCACCCTTTTCCGGTTCAATTCATCAACATCGTCCATTGATTAGAACCCACACTCCCTGCCTCTGCCTCTGTCTCTGTCTCTGCCACTGCCTGCCATCCTCGCAGAGTTGCCAGAGTGTGCAGATTTCGCTATGTTTTGGTGGAGACTGTACCAGTAGCGGCTATCATTGCAATCATTCTGACTCAATATTGACTCCAATCGATCGCTTGTGTCATTTTCCATTGTTGATTGTTTGTCTTTTCACGCTTCAAAGTTGTTTCTGCGGAATGGCGTCGCCCTACAGCTGATAATCGTATTTGTTCTGGCTTTTATATGTTGTTTCTGAGATTATGACTTGCAGCACGTGCTAGTAACTGAGGGACAGTGGTTCTGACAGTAATGGAAAACTTAGGGTCCAAATGCTTGAATAACAGAATCTACTCCACGAACATTTCGACCGATCGTTCTGAGAAGCCAAACAAATATCACTTGCATCTGCAATGGTCCTGTTAACAACGGAAGGTGTTAATTTCGGTCAACTCTTGGCACATCTTCTGTGCACCACTGTGCAGGCGGCATGAACAGCCACAAAGAGGCTGCAACAACTGCAACAACAACAGGGAACCATCGCAGACCTTTTAGCCCGGTAAATGCAACTGACAAGAGTTCCCTGTCTGATTATATCAGTTGCATACATCGCTTAACGGTCTACCAGTCGTTCCCTTTCCCCCCGGCGTCTCGGCCTCCCCCGCACGAGGGGCTGTGCGTGCTTAGAAAAACAGTTTGAGAGCCACTGGCATGGGCCAGATGGATGTTTCGACTCCATCCGCTGCCTGTTTATGCGCGATTTATGAGCCGGCCACTACAACAGCCTGCTGCTGGTGCAACATGCCTGATGCATGACACGCCCCCACCACTTGCACTCGCTTTCATAACGGCCCACGGTGGGTGGCAGACCAGGCCTAAAGTAGCAGACGTACATATTGTACAATAAATAATAATCAGTACTTGCCCCCGTGCATGGATCGTTGGGTGGGGGGAGACCTGAGGATCGCATTAGATTGTGGCAGTCTGATCCCGCATATAGAGGATAATTTGTATAAAAAAACAAACACAATTGTGGTTTTATATTTTGAATCTTTTGAAGCTTCCTATCCTGCAAAAAGACTCTGAGTGGATGGCGGATGGATCAATGTTTGCCGCTCAGCAAAGCAGAAAAATGGCCTGAAATGCTGGCAAGTGAAAGTCCAACGACTGCCACCGACCCGACCAGCTACAGCCTCAGACTCACAGCCAGACCCAGACCCACAGACGCTCCGACGCTTCGTTCACATCTCACTAACCTCGTGATTTACATTTGCATTTTCGCTTACATTTACATTTACCGCAAACCTGACTGACGTCAAGACAGGCGGGCAACGGTGGGGGCCGGGCAGGATGGCATCGTATGGGGGCATGGGGCGTGGCATGCGTCGAATGCAGCAGGGCAGAGCAGGGTTAACGGTATGGGGGAGACCAGACATCTGCATGGACGTTGAGGAAAGTGAAAATTGGCTCAGATACTCCGGGCCAAATGAGCGAAAGTGATCCCAAGGAGAAGCGAGAGAGTGTGTAAAATGTTCGAGAGAGCAGGAAATGCTTGGAGAAGCGTTTAGCGATTGGCAATGCCTGTCCAACAGCATTGAATTTCAAATTTCTATTTCGTTTTCATAACACGACTGCAGTGTACCCCATCCCCATCCCCATCCCCGTTCCCGTTCCCGCCCCCATTCCATTTCATACTTATGCAACAAGATTATGATTGAGAGATTACTGTTTGAGAAAAGTTCGCGTGCGGCATTGCCAGATGTGAATGTGAATTTGAAATGGAGCTGTAAGTGTGAAGAAGAGCAAAAGGTACTCCCAAAATATAGCCAAAAATTAATCAGTTAACGAGGAACTTATGCAAAATATTTAGACACACAGCAGAAGCTTGAAATGGGAAATATGCAATGAATTTATGTCCTTCAGTTGTGGCCCCCTCCTTCTTCCGGGCAGCCTCCCCCTGTGCTGTGCCCTGTCAGCACTTACACGAATTACACGACCTGGGAAAATTGTAATTCATAATATTCCAGGCACCAGGCACCAGACCAGACCAGACCCCGACCCCGACCCCGACCCGCCGACCAGGCTAACAAATCCTTGGGGATTGCCATCGTTGCTGTTGCTGCTGCTGCTGCTATTTTTAGGCCTCAAGGTTGTGTGGTGGGGGAGCGGCAGGAGGATAAGCAGGATGACAGGAGATGCCAACCTGCCTGTGTATTTTTTGTTTTTATTTCCAACTTCTGGCCATCGCAGCTTCAAGCTTTCCAGTGGGGCTGAAAAAAGACAAAAAAAAAACCAGAAAATTATGGGATAAGGGAGAGAAAATTTAATTTACTCATCTGCACAGTTCCTGGATAACATAACAATGGTCAAACCACTGCTTGCTGATGCACTGCTTGTTTGTGGAACTGCTTGCCAATAGACAGCTTAAAGGTTTAAGCTACTTGTTTGAAGTGTTGCTTTCGAATACTTTCCAGATTTCGATAAGATTTCATTTAAGACAGTTCGAAGCCCTTCTGTTTAGTATCTATTAGTTTTAACTGGTATTATTATGGCATTGTAATGATTATTTGTGATCAATTGTATAAACTATGAACTGTTTTCGTAAGCTAAAGATTCCATGTACATTTCTGTTGCTGACAACGCCAGGAATGTTCCACTACGTCACATCACATGAACTATTCAAAAAGAAACACAATTTAACGTAGATCATTGCATTCCGATATCACGTGACTGCGAGGTAGTGGCCCATTCCCGCAACGTTGTTTGGTTCTTCTTGGTTTACAACCTCTAAAAAATAACATAAAAATTAAAATCAATTAGATCTTCAAAATACGGCTTTAGATACATGTATCTTCTCGTCCAAAAATAGCAGAAAGCCTGTCTCGCCTGACGGGCACCTCCACCCGCAGTTTGCACATTGCACAATCAATCATCTCTGTCTATAATCAGCTGGTTGATTGGATCCCAGTCTACTGCTCCGCTGCTAGCTCCTCGTTCTCGAACCCTGAACAAAATTAATGAAAGTGTCAGACATGGTATATTTATTAAGTGAGGCTGGGCCAAAGAAAGCTTTTTGGCATACAATACATGCTCCTCGAAGAGTTACAATGCCCCACCTTACATGAATACACCTTGATTAAAAGTGTCTGACAACAGGATAAGAGATTAGGGATAAGAGGAGCGCGCAGCTCCCCGGATTCCATTTTGGCCGGGCATTTTCCCATCATTTGCATGTTATTGGGCCCCATTCGAAGAGTGGGAGAGGTGGCGGAGACAGGAAAGGGGTTCCAGTTCCGTTCCAGTATTTGTAAAGCAAACTATCAGCATTTTCTTCTCTCTCTCTCTCTCCACCTCCACCTCGTCCATAGGATATGCAAAATGTCCACCCACCCTCTTCCTCATCCTCTTTTGGGGGACAGCTTTTCGCGCGAGTGGCCGCTTATTAGTATTTGTGCAAGGGATTTTGGTGAAGGATTTGCGGTCTTTACTCAAATATTGCATTTGCCAGGGAGCTTTGCGGTGGGGGCGGTGCACCGAAGAAAGGGAAACGAGAAAGTGACACGTTTTGAGGGGATTTTGAGTTGAAGTTGGAGCAGTTGATGCACACTCGAATAGGCAGCTTGTAATAGAGATAGAGATAGAGATAGAGGAAACGTTGCTCCATTAGCCCAAAAAGATCATATCATCCTTCGTTGAAAGTACATCCGAGTATGGATGAGATTCCCTCAGGAGCATATAGAGGGTATAGCTTTTGGTAAATATTTTCAAAGAAAGATGGAAAATATATGCAGCTTTGGAGCATTGGCTTGGCAGATGAGAAAATTGTCATTGCCAAAATATTTGAGTTTCCCTACGAACGAAATAGTTCTGTTCTGGCGATTATATGTTTAAGTTTTACCAGAGCTCTGCGTCGAATTTGTACAGCCACTAAATGCAGAATTTGGAGAATCAATTGGAGATTTGTGTTAAGGAAGTTTCTACTACACAGACTGTACTTTAAGCTGTGCCTGTGCTGAACTTCAAGCCGAAGATCCTCTGTGAAGTAATCCAACAGTTGGACAATTGGAGAATAAAGCTTCAACGGCAGTGCGGCCATTGAGTTGGCCAAAGACAGACACAGGCCTCTGCTGTTGAACAAATTATGGCGAATGTGCAACAAACTTGCCAGAAAATTAGGTTAAACAGAAAAAATAGTAATCACCGAAACGCACATGGGGCCAGGCGGACAGGCGGCCAGGACAGGACCGTTCCGCTGCCATGTGGCAACCGAATGTGGCTGCTGCTGGTGGCTGGTGGCTGCTGCTGGTGGCTGCTGTGTGCTGCCTGCCCGCCAGCCCAGTGGGTTTCTGGTCCAACAAATTGCCGCGAATTAAGACCGTCGCACAGAAACTATAAACAACAAAAATCCCCGGCAGGTGGTAGGACCAGGCCAGAGCCCGCCACCAGCAGCAGTTGAAGACATTTTTAAATCAGATTCGATTTGCGTCTTGGCATTTGGCGATTTACGGATCGGAGACTCTGGGAATCGGCCTGGGCTCTCCCTCCACTCCACATCATTTTCCAATTGCGTAAGCAGCTGAGCTGGGAAAATGTCCAAGAGAATAGCCTGAATTTCTTTTGATATTAATTCACTTTTCATTGAAAACTTTTATGGATTGTCCCTCGGATCAAAGTGGAGAAAAGTGTTGCATCTCACTTTCTTCCTTCCCTTTTCTATCAATCGTACAGACTCTTTCGGTTAACACTGCACTGTTTAGGCCATATTTGGTCTATATCCTACGAATGATCCGTTGCTGATCAACTTCGGCGCGATACTAAAGTCCGCAGAAGTCGATCCAGTCGCCATTACCCTTGACGCCACACAAAAAAGATTTATTCAAAAATGTATATAAAATGTAATTAAATATATGCCACTACGAATGAAAAAGCAAATAAAACAAAATCTCAGAAACACTCCCCAGTTCCAGTTGCAGTCCAGGCTCTGCTCTCCTCTGTTCCCTGTTCTCTGGGTTTTTTCGCCTCGACTCGACTCGACTCGATCGAGAATTTGCCGAGTGGCCAAAAAATTAAGTTAACCCTTCAGAGGCCAGCAATCAAGGGAATATATTTTAGAAAGTTAATTATTGATGATTGAACTGAGGGATTTCCCAGTTGTCTTTAGAGCAGTATCGTGTTCTGGCCGGATCAGGCCTTCAGTTGGTTGGAGTAGCATTCCGCCGAACCCAGATGCTTTCCACAGTCGCACTTTGACTTTGAGATGCAGCCTAGTCCCTGGTTCCTCAAGATATTGCAACTGACAACAGGGTATTATAGTGTTGCAGCACGTGTGCCGCGACTTCAAACTGTTGTACATAAATATATAGCCCCTAACTGAAAGAATGGGTTAAGTCTGTCTCCATAGCCGCACATGGAAATACCAAGAAAATTCGGATATGTACTTACATATATGTAATATATATAAACCCTGGGACTTCAATGAAATTCTAGCTTCAGCTACACAAAAAGAGACCACGTAATGCAATTCTAAGCAAAAATGCTGCAGTTGGACAGCCGCTGGCTGTGGTCGTGTGAACACACGTGCTTACATAACGTCAGCGCCCGCCCGTCGTTCTGTCGTGTCTTCCTTTGGCAGTGCAGTGGCTGCAGTGGGTTTTATACGAACGCACTTTGAGGACAGAACGGAAAAACGTTTGTCAACTTCCATGGAATTTTCGGTGATTGGATAATAATTTTCTCACGCCGCCAGCGCTTCCTGTGCTCTCTTTCTCTCTCAGTAGGGGATCAAGGGGACAGGTACATAAGGTACATAATGTCGAGCCATGAATAAAGAAACCAAAAAGCAAGCTCAGGAATTCGCAGAGGTCTGCAAATGCACAAAAATGACACTTGAGTCTTTACAGATTTTCCCAGAATTTTTGATAAGCGGCAAGTTTTTATTTTCTTAATGAATGTGTCAGTGTTCTGCTCGAGACTCGAGACGCACAAGTAAAATGTCCCAAAAGAACCTACATATATATGTACATCCTTATTCTATACAGTAAATGTACATCTATACATGTGTACATATGCATTGCAGAATGAAATATTAGCTGAATCTTAGGGGTAATTTTATTTCGATTTAAATAACATTTTGCAACAATCTACATGGGATGGGGGCTGAAAAGATTAATTCAAATTTAAAACTCTCTTTAAAAATGATTGGGGATCCGATTCTGTGCTTACATATTAATTTATAGATTGTATGATTCCCTTTATATCTGCGATTCTTAATTCTCATTCTGCTTTGTAGGTGGCTGCAGCTTGACGACCTTCGAATCGGCGGAGACCTGGCCAGAACTCAGCTTGGAGACAGAGGCTATGTTGACGACACGGCGGACGGCAGCGCCGCCAGGAGTAGTGGATGCTGGGGACGATCCGGCCGCACGGTTCGCCATCATCAGAACGGGGACCTGCCTGATGCCTGTGCCAGACTTGATGCTCACATTCCCAATTGACATCTTGCCGTCTGCGCCCACTGTTGTGACCTTGGGCTGCGTCCCTAGGCTGCCACTGTTGACCATCTGGAACTGTGGATACGTCTTGTTGCCTACGCTAATGATGCCCGTGTGGCGGAGTGTGCCCGAGGGCATGGGCGACGCCTTGACACTGGACACTAGGGATCCCGAGGAGGTGTCCAACAGAAGCGGACTGCCTGTGCTGCCACTGGGTGTGGCACTCTTCGGAGTACTGCTGAGAATACGTACGGGCACGCGTTGGCCAGTTGTCACTATATTGCTTATTGGCTTCATCTGATTCCGATTGAGATAGACCACCTTGTTTTGGCCAACAATTGGGGTGGTGGTTCCGCCCGGCGAGGTGGTGAACAGCTGCTGGATTCCCTTGTTGAGGACGATATTGTTGCCTACCTTGCTGGTGACGGGTGTGCTGCTTGACGGCATTGTCTTGGAGACATTGGCCTCCTTTATGATCTTCTGACTGATGATGATTGGACTCTTGCTGTTGGGATTGCGACCGGGTGTGGCTGGCACTGTGGATTAGAATCTGCTGGTTAGAGCCGACCGCAAGAGCGTACATCCAAAAACCCATACTCTCACCTATCTTCGGATCCTTCTCCCCTTCGGGTATGTTCCCCTCATTGTCGGCAAACACAATTGGCATATCAATGATGCTCGACATGTCCACACCGGTTAACTGATTCTTGTTCAACTGCAGCATGGTCATGCCGCTGGCATTCTTGAACACCGTATACTTTTGTTGCGGCGGGGTCGCTCCTGCTGCTCCTGCTGGCGAGGGGGTGGCCACAAATTTCGTTGTCTGTCCCGTCGACGTCTTGAGAGTGAAGTACTGTTGCCCGCCCGAGGCAGGGCCCCCTAGAGTCTTCACAATGCTGCCAATGGTGCCCGTTGTGGAGGGCTTGTTCACCGTATAATTGATCAGTTTATTTTGCGGCGTCAGGGATTTGATCTGCACAAATTGGCTGGAGGGTATCATCTTGATTTTGGTGCCAGCTGCCAGGTTAACCGTCGTCGGTTGCGATTTGTAGGCCATATCAAATGCCCCTGCCACGGACGTGGTCACCTTGGGGATGCCTGCGCCAGCAGCCACTCCAGCAGATACTCCTACTCCTGCCACAGATCCACCAGATGCAGATGCAGTATCATCGCTGTCCATGCTATCATCTAGTAGGAATTCAATGGATTGATTTAATGTGTCTACGCTGAGAGCACGTTTGCTGTTGCTGTTGTTGTTGTTGTTGTTGTTGTTTTGAATGCCAGAACCAGCTGGAGTGGCTGCATTCGGCAGTGGGCGTGTACGAGGTCTTCCAACTGGGGGGGGTAAAACTGTTAGTCGGTGAAATAGGGTTGCGGATCGAAAATAAACAGGGCATGCTGTTTGCACTTTGCATGGTTTTACCCTTTCGCTTGGGAGCAAATGGATCAACGAGGCGCGGTGCCTTCGGCCTGCGGACTGTTTGAGATAGTGGAGGTTTTGATTGATGATTTGGGGGTTTATGATTTGATTTGATTTGGATTGGTTTGAGTTGAGTTGTACATGCGGGGGAGGTATTAGTAGTGGGATGGATGATCAGAACTCGAGGGTACTCACTGTGCGGCACAAACTTGCTTTTGCTGTTCGGCATTCCGCTCTCGTCCAATCCAACCTCCCCTTTGCGCTTGCGATTCTGCTGGGCTCCTCCCTTCTCGAAGCCCAGGGCGTGCTGCTGATGCAGCCTGTTCTGGCCGCGCTGTGTGCTTTGGTTGTGCAGGGCCATGGGTACACGCGGACCCGGGGGATCCATCAGCGTTCTGTTCACAAACTCATAGATTTCGTCCTGTAAGCGGAATTAACCAATGAGAGTAGATTTGCACAGCCTTCGGTGCCCGACTTACCACCACCATGGCATCCACCATCGACTGGGTGACGCCCTCGATGCGTCTCTTGCTCTTGGGCACACGCAGGACATCGTCCGCACTGCCGACGACCACCAGAGAGGACTCCGATTGCATGCGCTCGCGCAGCGACTCCATTTCCTCCTGGCTGCTCCGTGCCGAATTCTGGCCAATCACAAACAGAATGGGCGTCTTGATGTCCAGGATGCGGTCATCGGGAGAGCCACGAGGACCACGTAATGTGTTGTAGGCGAAGCCCATGCAAACGACACACGCCAGGCTCTCCGAGAGGGCCACCTGAAGGGCCAGGGATGCGCCGGCATTGAAGCCCACAAGAATGATGCCACGATTGGGATTCTCGGTGCGCAGCTCGTTTATGCGGACACGTGTGAGGCACACAATGACTTCGGCCACCTGATCCAGATTGTGATTGGCAATCCGATCGTCTGCGGGTGGAAGGAACGTCAGGGGTAAAGGGTAAATGGCAAGGAAATCTCATATGAGGTGGATGCTCTTACTCGTATTGGGCATGGTAATCTGGACAACCTGGCAGATGGTAGCCAGCGAGCGATACCATTTGTGCATGCGCTCAGGCACACTGCTGCTGCTGGGCATATTTGGCAGCACCACCATGATGGCATTGTGCGACAATTGACGATTCTTGGGCAGAATAGTTGGCTCCCATCGCTTCTTCATGACGGGGGCGAGCAGCTCCTGGTTATTGCTGAGCGGCCGACTGAACAGCAGCTTGTCCATCAGGGTCGGCAGCTTAGTTTTCAGTGTTTGCATCATGTCCAGATAGGAGGCCATGTACGAGGGCGGCAGCGACTGCATGAGCAGTGTGTGTAGCCATTGAGTGATGCGCTGATCCCAGGCAACGCTGCCCAAAGCCCGACGCATTCGCGATGCGGACTTGTCCACGCTCACACGACGATGGACAACCTCGTGCTGGCGCTTGTCGTTGGCCAGACGCGCCAACTGGTCCTGGTCGAGTATGCTGCATACCCTCTCGAACAGCGTCGTTTGGATAGGGCTCCAGGTAGATCTGAGCAGAGCAGAGAGAGGGTTAGACAATGGTCGTCCTGGATCTGCAGCTTTATACTCACTTATTTAGTCGTGCCACCCAGTCCTGATCGTCGGAATTGGTGTTCTTCACATACTTGGAAATCCTGGCACACTCGTTCATCATCTCCTTGGCGGATATCTCGTCGTAGGGTGGCGCATGGGACTGGTCTGACTCCAGGTCCTGCTGCGGATATGTGTGGCAGCTGGTGCATTGCGGAGGATGGTTAACCAGGATGTGGCGAACCGGTGCCAGGCCATTGGACAACTCGGCACGTGACGTATCGCGCATGTAACTGTGCTCCATTTTATCGCAAAACGAAGATTCACTGTGGGCCGAGATGGTGCTGGACTAAAGAGCAATAGAGAGAGTGGAAATGCGATTAGTTGTGGCAGGGAAAGAAGGACGCTGTGGCTAGGATTATGAAAACTACAAATATTACACAAATATAGGAAATGAACATTTAGTATGTAGGATTTCTATGGATTTCATTACACTTTCTGTTGGCGTTGAGGGCGACGCTGTCAATATCACTGGTCCGGGGCTGATGTGAATCGGTTGTGTGGGGGATCTTATGCCAGCGGATGTTGCTGCGGGGGCCTTGGGCGGCGAACTCATTGTGATTGCTCCTGACATCGAGGCAGCACTGCCCAAGGACCCAGCGCTGACCACATAATACGCGGGTGTTCCGACCGCCGACGATTTATTTGTTTTCGCTGCTCCCGTCGCTGTCGTTGTGTGTGTGTGTGTGTGGGTGTGCTCTGTGACGATGTAGTCCGAACATCCGACCTTAGTCAAGAATTTGCTGGGACTGTATGTTATAATCGACGATGGAGCTGGCTGGAGCTGCTTCTTCGGTTTGTTGTTGCCGCTTTTGTTTACTGTTTGCTTCATCATTTTGTTGTCTGCCCGTGTCTGTACGTCTCGCGGATTGTGGTTGGTTTTGGTGCTACTCGCTGCGCTGCCTCAAATCCAGCTGCTTCTTCTTCTACTTGTCTGCAGCACTAGCGGCGACGGGAAATAATTAAACTACTGCCCGACAACTATTCGCCCAAAAGCCACTGTAGACCGACCCCACACAAAATTGCACTTTGCACTTTCTTTAAGGTAGTTTTATCCCTTTTCTTCCACAACTCCGACGTGTTTTCTCAATTGGTTTGGTAAAATATGGCGTGCCTACGGCAAGAGTTGCCGGACCCACGGACTCGACTCTGAATCTATTGGCTCGGTCTGGCAGCACCAGGCAGCGCTTGAGACCAACCAAAGCATCAAATGTTTGTGCAATTTCCGTATAACTACGAATTCATGCAAATATGTACCCGCACAGGCATCTAATGGAATCGGCGAAGTACGCGATTATATACTTACACCATTACTGGGCGTGGGAGATATGGGGGCTGTCATTTCCATTCTGGACTGCCGCGGCTGCTGTCCCTCTAGCGTTTTGTCTTCTGTAGCCACATTCTCCTCTACATTGCCGCCTTTTTGCACAAAATTGTTGAAACAGTCGAAGAACGAAGACATTACGGTTGGCGCAACTGAACAAAGCAATAACTAGTTGATTTGTTTGTTACAACGTAAGTCAAGACATCAAAAAGCGAGCGTCAAGTCAAATAATCACGTACTATTTAAATGGGGCTGCCACTGTACGCACAAGCCAACTCTGTTTGCCAACCCTGCAGCCCAGGAACAGCTGATAAGTCGGCGTGCGTTGCATTTTGTTTGTGGTTTTTTGGTTGAAAAGAAGCGTTCAATTGCTGTGAAAAGTTTGCAAAGGTCGAAATCGAAATCGTTAATGCTCTGCCGAGATGGAGGAGCTGCAGCAATTGGAGTATCTGTCGCTGGTCTCGAAGATCTGCACAGAGCTCGATAATCACTTGGGCATCAATGACAAGGACCTGGCCGAGTTCATCATCGATTTGGAGAACAAGAATCAATCGTACGATGCATTCCGCAAGGCTCTGCTCGAGAACGGCGCCGAGTTTCCAGACTCCCTCGTCCAGAATCTGCAGCGCATCATCAACTTAATGCGGCCCAGTCGGCCGAGAGGCGGGAGCGAAGAGAAGATCGGCTCCGGCAGCAGCAAAGATGACAAGAAATCGCAGCTGATGAAAATGTTTCCTGGCCTGGCCCTGCCCAACGATAAATACAGCCAGAGCGAGGGCCAGGACGAGGAAGCCAAGGAAAAGCATTCGGTTGACAAAAAGACAGACCTGAGTGACGTGGACGCGGCCATGATGGAGCTTGAGGCTCTGGCGCCTGGCGAGGGCAAGACCGAGGATAAGAAAGAGATTAAGGAATCGAGAGAACGACCCCACAAGCGAAGGGAACGCAGCAGAAGTCGCGAAAAGGCCAGGGATACTCGGAAGCGGAGCAGATCTCGCGAGGATAGGAATAAGGAGCGCCGCAGGAGCAAATCACGCGAGGACCGACATAGAGAGCGTCGCAGGAGTAGATCTCGCGACAAAGAACGCCGCAGACGCAGCAGATCACGCGAGCACCGCGATCGGGAACGGGAACGCCGCCGAAGCAGATCCCGCGACGATCGCGAGCGAGATCGTGGTCGCCGCAGGTCCAGCTCTCGAGACCGCCACGAGCGTCGACAACGCAGTCGGTCGCGTTCTGGCGATCGCCACGATCGCCGCCAGGAGAAAATGCCGCCTCCCAGCACAGTGATGGCCGACGATCCCGAGGCTGGCAAGATCTACTCCGGCAAGGTGGCCAACATAGTGCCCTTCGGGTGCTTTGTCCAGCTCTTCGGACTGCGCAAGCGCTGGGAGGGGCTGGTGCACATCTCGCAGCTGCGAGCCGAGGGCAGGGTCACCGACGTGACCGAGGTGGTGGCCCGCAATCAGACCGTGAGGGTCAAGGTGATGTCACTGACGGGTCAAAAAGTGTCGCTGTCCATGAAGGAGGTCGATCAGGAGTCGGGCAGGGACTTGAATCCCCTCTCGCACACGCCCGAGGATGATGACTCGCTGCGGGACCGCAATCCAGATGGTCCCTTCAGCAGCAGCACCTCCATGCTAAATCTTCAGGGCAACAGCCTGGACGGGGACGAGAACGAGTCAAGGAAGCGGGTTACCAGGATCTCCAGCCCCGAGCGATGGGAAATCAAACAGATGATTAGCTCTGGGGTCCTGGACAGGAGCGAAATGCCGGACTTTGACGAGGAGACAGGTCTGCTGCCCAAGGACGAGGACGACGAGGCGGACATCGAGATTGAGATTGTGGAGGAAGAGCCGCCATTCCTCTCGGGCCATGGCAGGGCCCTGCACGACCTATCGCCCGTGAGAATTGTCAAGAATCCCGACGGTTCGTTGGCCCAGGCGGCCATGATGCAGTCGGCCCTGTCGAAGGAGCGGCGGGAGCAGAAAATGCTGCAGCGCGAACAAGAAATGGAGGCCCTGCCCACGAACCTCAACAAGAACTGGATCGATCCGCTGCCCGAGGAGGACACTCGCAATCTGGCGGCCAACATGCGTGGCATGGGCGCCGCCCCCGCCGAGGTGCCCGAGTGGAAGAAGCACGTGATTGGCGGCAAGAAGTCATCCTTTGGCAAGAAGACGGACCTCACCTTGGTCGAGCAGCGCCAGTCGCTGCCCATATACAAGCTGCGCGATGATCTGATCAAGGCCGTCACCGACAATCAAATCCTGATCGTCATCGGCGAGACGGGCTCGGGCAAGACCACACAGATAACCCAATATCTGGGCGAGTGCGGATTCACGGCACGCGGCAAGATCGGTTGCACGCAGCCGCGTCGAGTGGCCGCCATGTCCGTGGCCAAGCGAGTGGCCGAGGAGTACGGTTGCCGGCTGGGCCAGGAGGTGGGCTACACCATCCGTTTCGAGGACTGCACCAGCCCGGAGACGATCATCAAGTACATGACGGACGGCATGTTGCTGCGCGAGTGCCTGATGGAGGCGGAGCTGAAGACCTACTCGGTGATCATGTTGGACGAGGCCCACGAGCGCACCATCCACACGGACGTTCTCTTTGGCCTGCTGAAGACGGCCGTACAGAAGCGTCCCGAACTGAAGCTGATCGTGACCTCCGCGACCCTGGATGCTGTGAAGTTCTCGCAGTATTTTTTCAAGGCTCCCATCTTTACGATTCCCGGACGAACGTTCCCCGTGGAGGTGCTGTACACAAAAGAGCCGGAAACAGACTATCTGGACGCCTCGCTGATCACTGTGATGCAGATCCATCTGCGTGAGCCGCCCGGCGACATTCTGCTCTTCCTTACCGGCCAGGAGGAAATCGACACGGCCTGCGAGATCCTCTACGAGCGCATGAAGAGCCTCGGACCCGATGTACCCGAACTGATAATACTCCCCGTCTACTCGGCGCTTCCCTCCGAGATGCAGACGCGCATCTTCGATCCGGCCCCCGCCGGCAGCCGCAAAGTGGTGATAGCCACCAACATTGCGGAGACCTCGCTGACCATTGACGGGATATTCTATGTGGTGGATCCAGGATTTGTCAAGCAGAAGGTGTACAACTCCAAGACTGGCATGGACTCTCTGGTGGTGACGCCCATCTCCCAGGCAGCTGCCAAGCAAAGGGCCGGCCGTGCCGGACGCACGGGTCCGGGCAAAACCTATCGTCTGTACACGGAGCGCGCCTACCGGGATGAGATGCTACCCACGCCCGTCCCAGAAATCCAGCGCACGAATCTGGCCACCACAGTGCTCCAGCTGAAGACGATGGGCATCAACGATCTGCTGCACTTTGACTTCATGGATGCCCCGCCCGTGGAGTCGCTGGTGATGGCCCTCGAGCAGTTGCATTCGCTGTCCGCGCTGGATGATGAGGGATTGCTAACGAGGTTGGGTCGGCGCATGGCCGAGTTCCCCCTGGAGCCGAATCTCTCGAAGATGCTCATCATGTCTGTGGCTCTGCAGTGCTCGGATGAGATCCTCACCATTGTCTCGATGTTGAGTGTCCAAAATGTGTTCTACAGGCCCAAGGACAAGCAGGCCCTAGCCGATCAGAAGAAGGCCAAGTTCAACCAGGCCGAGGGTGAGTCCCCCCAATTCAATCACATCGAATTATGCCTAACACCAACCTAATTTCTCCTTACACAGGCGATCATCTTACCCTCTTGGCCGTTTACAACAGCTGGAAGAACAACAAGTTCTCGAATGCCTGGTGCTACGAGAACTTTGTCCAGATCCGGACACTCAAACGGTCGCAGGATGTGAGGAAGCAGCTGCTGGGCATCATGGATAGGCATAAGCTGGACGTGGTATCGGCGGGCAAGAGCTCGGTGCGCATCCAGAAGGCCGTCTGCTCAGGCTTTTTCCGCAATGCGGCCAAAAAGGATCCACAGGAGGGCTACCGCACCCTGGTCGACTCGCAGGTGGTGTACATTCATCCATCGAGCGCTCTGTTCAATCGACAGCCAGAGTGGGTGATCTATCACGAACTGGTGCAGACCACCAAGGAGTATATGCGCGAGGTGACCACCATCGATCCCAAGTGGCTGGTGGAGTTTGCCCCGTCCTTCTTCCGCTTCTCGGACCCCACCAAGCTGAGCAAATTCAAGAAGAACCAGCGCCTGGAACCGCTCTACAACAAGTACGAGGAGCCGAACGCATGGCGCATATCGCGCGTGCGGCGGCGTCGCAACTAATTCAACTGCTGGCCCATTTGTCCATTGTAGAATTATTTGTATTTTAAACACTTAGAAATATATCAAATTAAGTTTGAAGATCAGTAGCCTTTGCGTCCGCGAAAGCGTTGTCGGTTGTCCAGCTGGAATGGTGGGATGAATTAAAGTCGGTTCCAAATTAATTCACCCTTTCACATGTCAGACGTCAGGACCTACCAGAGAGCGCTTGCATTCGTAGAAGGTGTTGCGGAGCACCTGGCACTCAGGCGGAACGTTGTTATCCATAAGGCACTGGCGCGGCGTTTTGCGGTCCACTCGACAGCAATCGCTTTCTAACAGGCACATTTTCAGGTCGGCACGCACTCCGGCACAGGCAGTTTCGTCGGCCAACTTTTCGTTGCCCTCGTAGCGCATCATTTCAGGCGCTGGCTAGAGGAACTTTATTTAAATTCAATTCAATTTAAAGTTACAAAACCAAATCCAGCTGAGATAACTGTGTTTGGCCCAGTGTTGCTAGACCATCAACTGTTGCCATGTTAGCTTATTTTAAGCTAGATTTGATTTTATTATAAAATCAAAAAGCTTGAAAAATATATGAAATCTTCTAGCTTGAAATCTATTTCATTAGCTTATTTTGGCTCCAAAAAATTTGGTACAAAACAATATTATGTTTTTTGATTGTATTGTAATATTTGTTCATTTTTATTGAGAAATCAGACAAAAATCATATTTGTTGTTCGTATATTGGAATATCATCCAATTTTGTGTATAAATGTATGGTAATTTTTCGTTGAAAAATTTCCGTTTGCATATATAAATATGTATTTATATTTCCACAATTTTTGGTTAAATATCGATGAGTTTAAGGAGTGGCTACGCAATGTGCCAACTGACCCACAAAATCGTACTGCTGCTTTTGTAAGGCAACCATTGGGGCCAAGTTGTACGAATTACGGCAGCATGCTGTCGCTAAAAAAAACATATTGCGTCCAATCACTAACCATACAGTATGGTTAGTGGTCCAATGCAAGCATTGTACAAACTAACAAAATAGTTTTTATCAGAAAGACTTAAAAAACAGAGGAGCAGGAGGCTGCAGTTTGTTTTTACTTTGCTGAGCACTCGGCCATAGCATAATGAAAAGGAAAAAACCATGTTATTACTTTATATAAAAATTAAAAAAAAAAATAAATTCAATTGTCCATTATTTTGATGTGTTTTATGGCTATTATTTTTAAGCTATTTTTGCTTTACTTTTTACTTATTCTAGCTTATTTTATCTTCAATCTACTTATGGTAACTCTCTAAATCTGGCACCACTGAGACCATCAGCTGATTGGTGTTTAACAGCACTGTTACTAGTACATTTTGTTGTTTTCCAGCCGCACAAAAACATTGAATACTTGAAATTGTTTAAATGTAGTTGCAAGTCCTAGGGAACACAATTGGCTAACTTAAAATGGCTTATGAAGAGCGCAGCAGTGACGGCAGCAGCTCCAGCGAAGCCCAGGACGTCTACGCGAACATGGTTGGCGGCAAAACGCCACCGGCCCAGACGCCGGGCAGCACCATGCCCAAACATGTACCATTTCCGGAACACTCCAACACATCCGAGTGGCTAAGCGAGCTGATAATGTGTGCCTTTACTATGGGAGCAGCCATTGTGCAGTTCATAAACATATATCGCACAAACTGGTGGCTGTCCCAGGCTCACACAAGGCACATGGTGGTGGGTTTCGCCAAAGTTTTACATGCATAGAATAGATGTCTATAGAACCTTTGCTTTTTCTTCCAGAACATAGAGCTAATTGATCCGTATTTACGATATCTGATACTCATACTCAATACGCGAAGGCTGGTATACTGTGTTCTGCTGGCCAAAGTGAAGGCAAACGAGAAGACGCAACATATAATACGCACGGCCATCAAGTACACATTTGGTGGCTTGGTGCAGCTGGGCTTGGGTTTGTGTGCTCTGAAACTGTATCAGAAGCACAGCTACGTATTGCTGCTCTTCCTGACCTATCCGTAAGCATTCCTAAAAATCGTATCTGATCTGTAAATGATATCACAATGGAGTCTACCTCTCCACAGAGTAATAATCTATCTGCTCATCTTTGGCTTCCAACTGGAGCCATTTCTGCGCACCCGCTTCGAGCTGCCCGGTGTCTACATAAACGACATGCCTGTCCACAGCTGCACTACCAACGCCGTACGCATTCGCGAGGAGATCGAGACGCTGCGGCACGACTTCAACAAACGGTTCAAACAGCTCATATTCACCTCAATGCTCAATGCCTACTACAGCGGTCTGGTGCCATGTTGTCTGGCCGTGAACGTCAACTACAACGTGATGCGGGCCGCACAGCATTGCATCATTGTGTGCCTGGGGGCGTTTAGTTTATGCGCCGCATACCTATATCCCGCCAGGTACAGCGACATTTTGCACAGAGCCACCTTGCACTTGGGCTGCTGGCAGCGAATCGACCGGGACCCGGCGCCATCGCAACTAATTGTGGCCGCTAGTGCGTTCACCTGGTCGAAATTTACGGCCTACGGTCATGGCATTGTGGTTAAGCACAACGGAGGACTCTATCGCAGCCTGGGACTGGTGACCGTGGCCACACCCGGAAATGCCAGCCATGTGCGCTTCTATGTGAGTGTGGACCGAGACACCCACCCATGGACTACATATTCTGATAATCTCTCTCCACAGAAACTATTCCACAATCCCACTGTCATTTACTCGACGCTTGCTACTCTGCAGGCAGCCATATTGCTGGTGGAGATCGCCTCTCTCAGTCCGGCCACCATCGAGTGGCACTTTGTGCTGTCCATCAGCTTTGTGGCATTCACCAGCATGGGAGCATTCTTCAAGCTAGTCCGAGACTATCTCATAACCAAGGATCTGTACAAGGCTGAGCATGGCAGCACCCCACCCGAACGACCATTCAAACTGAGTCTCAGATCTGAATTTATGTAATAATAACCATGACGTAGACACAACACTCTCATTTCCATTTTGGGTTTTCATTTGGCACAGCCAAATGCTTTCACTGTTTGCGTTCACTGGCGGCGGCTCGAGAAGCGTAGACCCAAGAGCTGCCTTCTTTATGGTCACGTATTTGGATGCCATGTTGTTCCAGCAGGTTGCGCAGCTCGTCGCATGCGGCCAACAGGGGAATGTTCTTCTGCTGCCCGGATATCGCTTCTCGTCGCAGTTTTCCGCGTATGGCCAGGATGTCCGCTATCAAAAGAGCGGGGTCCACAGCCCCACCCGCAGTCGGTAATGGTATCTCCTGTGAAAGGCTCTCCGTCTCGGTCAGTTTGGTAATGCCAAAAGTTAGCATGGCCCGGTTTATGTAGTTGCCGGCTGCCGTCAGGAGATCCAGGCAATAGGCTGGCTCTTCCTCGGCATCCACTTGCTGCTCATTTATGCAGCGACTTATGCTAGTCATCTGATCGATCAGCACGCTGACGCCACGCGCCGTATCGAAGTCATCACGCAAGCTGCTGTCGAACTCGGTTACCATGTGGGCGATCTGTGCCTTGAGGGCCCCCTCATCCAGCTTCCGAATCGGCTTGAGGAACTGCGTATAGGCACTGAGGTCCGCCTGAAAGTTCTTGAAACGCTGCAGCGTCTGACGGGCGGTCAGCATCAACTGCTCGCTATAGGGCATTGCGTTGCGGTAGTTGGACAACAGACAGGCCATTCTAAACTCGTCGGAGGTGTAGCTCTGGAGCATCTCGCTGATGGATATGGTATTGCCCAGGGATTTCGACATTTTCTGCTCGTCCCCCGCTATGTACAGCTGGCCCGTGTGCATCCAGTAGTTTACCCATTGGTCGGTCTGGTAGCGGACACAGCATTGCGCCTCCTCATTCTCGTGATGGGGGAACCTTAGGTCCAGGCCGCCAGCATGAAAATCCAGTTTGTGGCCGAAAAAGAATCCGGCAATGGCACTGCATTCAATGTGCCAGCCGGGGCGACCCTCTCCACCCCAAGGAGCCGCCCAACTGGGCTCATCAGCCTCCTTCTTGGCCTTCCAAAGAGCAAAGTCCGCACTGTTCTGCTTAAACAGATCCGACTTCTCTTCGGTGCTCATGCCCAGCCTCTGCAGTTTGCCGTAGTGTGGATACTTGGACACGTCAAAGTACACAGAATTGTCCTCCGTCACGTAGGCATGCGAATCGTTGATGAGCTCTTCTATGAATTGCACAATCGCCGGCATGTTGCTTGTGACGTGGGTGCGTATGTCCGGTGGCTGGACGTTGAGACGCAGCATGTCCTGTTTAAACTCGGCTTCATAGGTACGGGCCATTCCCAGCCAATCGCAGCCGGAATCGCGGGCTTTTCTAATGATTTTGTCGTCCACATCTGTAATATTCATGGCAGTGACGAGATTTATATTGAAATAGTTACGTAGAATGCGTTGAATGATGTCCACCTTCACATAGGTGCTGGCATGGCCTAGATGGGCAGAGTCGTAGACTGTTGGGCCGCATGTGTACCAGGTGACCATGTTCGGGTTACGTAGTATAAGGGGAACTTTCCGGCGCATTCCATTGTTGTAGATTCTTATGTCCGTATGCTGGCCCATGGGCTTGTGCCAGTGGTACGGCGGCGGCTCTGTGGGGCTCTCGCTGAAGTTTCGTCGGCAGGACTGAAAGTTCCGCCAGGACCAGTGTCTGAGGAGCACCTCTTTGCTGTAACTGCGAAGACACTGAGGTATTATTATTGGCCAACTGGCAGGGTAGCTATCTTACTTACTGACTCAACATGTTTCTGTTCGTCCCAATTTTTTACAAATTTTAAATATCTAAATGAATTTTTAACAATAACAACAATCAACAATTGACTGGATTGACGAAGGCTGCCAGACCATTCAATACAGTCGCTTAGCGCGTGGAGCTGCCACCCAGTCTGAATTGGATGAAGACGAAGCCGGCAGAATGCAGTGGCTTAAATTAAAGTTCCCTTTTATTTATTTAATTTGCACTGTAACAGCAGCAGCATGGGCCAATTTGGAGCGCGATCCCAACGGCTATCTCACCTACTGTCCCTGCATGGGTAAGTCTGGCGTTGGATCTTTGTTGGATCTGTATTCAAGTACAGTATTGATACTCCCCCTTAGGGCGCTTTGGCAACCAAGCTGACCATTTTCTCGGCTCATTGGCCTTTGCTAAGGGTCTGAATCGCACCCTTATCCTACCACCATGGGTGGAGTATCGCAAGGGTGAAATGCGCTCCCGACAGGTGCCCTTCAATACGTACTTTGACGTGGAGCCGCTCAAGGATTACCATCGGGTCATACTGATGTCGGACTTTATGTGGCATCTGGCGGACGACATCTGGCCGGAATCGGAGCGTGTGTCCTTCTGCTACATGGAGCGCAAGAGCCTACAGCAGGAGAAAAACAATCCGGACCAGCCCAACTGCCATGCCAAGGATGGAAATCCGTTTGGGCCTTTCTGGGACACCTACAACATTGACTTTGTCAAGTCGGAGTTCTATGGACCGCTGCACTTTGATGTACACCACAGCTCCATGGCAACCAAGTGGCAAAGCAAATACCCAGCCGACTCCTGGCCAGTTCTGGCCTTTACAGGCGCCCCAGCCAGCTTCCCTGTCCAGTTTGAAAACCGTGAGCTACAGAAGCATATGCAATGGAGTGCCAAGTACAGGGACGCTGCTAGGGACTTTATCCGGAAAGTACTGCCCCGGGGAGCTTTCGTGGGCATCCACCTGCGCAATGGCATCGACTGGGTGAGGGCCTGTGAGCACGTCAAGGATAGCCAGCATCTGTTCGCGTCGCCCCAGTGCCTGGGCTACAAGAACGAGCGGGGATCTCTCTATCCCGAGCTCTGCATGCAGACCAAGGAATCGATAGTGCGACAGCTAAAGAGGACCATCAAAAATGTGCGCCAGACGCAGCCCAACAATGAGATAAAATCCGTATTTGTGGCATCCGATGCTAATCACATGATCGGAGAGCTAAATGCGGCGCTCAGCCGCATGGGCATCTCCGTGCACAGGCTGCCCGAAGATGATCCTTATTTAGATTTGGCCATTTTGGGGCAATCGAATCATTTTATTGGAAACTGTATCTCATCGTATAGCGCATTTGTGAAACGTGAGAGGGACTCTCACGGCTTTCCATCCTACTTTTGGTCCTTCCCCAAGGAGAAGGACCGCCAGCAGTCCAAGGCGCATGAGGAGCTATAAATCTCCTGGAAAAATCTCAGCTTAAACGCAATGCAGACAGACGAGGACCTACTGTAGTGATAAGCTAGAAAAGTAATCCAATCCACGCATTTAACGAGAAATGGCTTTTACGTTCGATTTACTTAGAAATTTATTCAAGCTTTCTACGCATTCTTGAAAATAATTTAGTTTGTAATTCAAACGCCCCGAAATATTTGTTTTTTCTTGGCCAATCATTTCGATTATGTTTCGTTTTTATGTACCATTTATGACGGCTGCCTAGTGTATCAGCTTTTGTGTGCGGGCCAAATCCAATTGCGCGGATGAAACATTTGTGAGACCATCACGGACTGAGCTCAGGTTCTCCTTCCAGGCCTGCAGTAAGTCCCGCAGCTGTTCCCATTGCGGTGCGCCAAATGTACGATGCATGGTCGATGAAATGTGTACCTTGCGGTTGGCCTGATCCAAGCGAGCACGCACCAGTTTCGTCTTGAGCACCTGGATGACGAAGGGTTCCACTTCATCTTCGGTGATTTGCAGCTCCTTGGTCAGGGTATCGAAGGTCATTTCTGGATTGCTCTCGGCCAACTGCATGAACGTCAGCAGGCGCATCTTCTTCATGTTCTGTTCGTGGTTTAGTCCCTGAGAGTTGACAAACTCCTTGTGATCCTCGTAGAACTGAACGTACGATGGCAATTTGTCAGAGACAAAAATGGAAAGCAAATCGTGGATGAGATCGCCCTCCAAGAAGCGCACTGGCTTCAACGCTAGCAACGGATCCAGCAGGAATGTATTGGGATCGGCCAGGGCGGTGACAATGCACTTCATGGCATCCTCGCGTGCCACACAGGCATTGTCAGCCGTATATGTGCCCAGCAGCTCAATCATTACCTTGGAAGAGAGCTCCATGTTAGTATCCTTGGTGACATCATGGAGCAGGCGGTACAACTTCTGCATTTGTTCAGAGGATGGCGGGCAATTGGCAAACTGAGTTTTTAGCTGATCCACTCCAGTGAAGACTTCCAAAACCTGTTCGCATTGCTTGGCCACCTGCACCAGATGGTAGTAGACATGGTAGCGCAAGGGTGAGGCCGTGTCCAGATTGTTAAACAGACGCCACAGCGACTGCAAGCACACCTTGCCCAGCGGCTGGTTCGGCGCCTTGGTCATCTTTTCGCAGTACGCCAACACAATGTTCTCTCCGCGGTCCAGGGGGATCTACAAATCAGAAGTAATTAAGACCTGCATCTTGAATTCTCTGATGCTTACTCACCGTTATCATTATGGACACTATGCTATTGAGGATGCCGTCGATCTGAGAAGGCTCTCCATCTTTAAAGCAAACATCGCAGACGCCAATGATTTTGTGCAAATCATCTTCAACGCCTTTGTTGGATTTCTCCGATGAGATTTCAGCTCCCAACTTCTTGAAATACTTGCGCAGCTCTTGCACCTATTGCGAATTTGTTTAAATATTAGCTTCCCGTTTGTTTTGCACCCTTTCGGGACAACATAACCTCAAATTCGGTTTAGTCCGTCGAAAACGGGACACATAGCTGTCACTCAAACTTTACCTGCTCGTCCAAGGAAAGGTCAATGAAAACCGGATGCGAAGTCATATTGCTAATAATTGTATTCCAATTTATTGAATCAAATCTTGTTGAAAATAACACGCACGCACACACTTCGGTGCTATGACAGTCGAAAAAGGAAAGAGAGCTAACAGTGATGCCAAAGTGGCGTTATTCTAGCTGCTTTCGTTCTGCAGGCCAGCGCCAGCAGATATTAAGAATATAACGCAAAAAAGTTATAACTTTCCCAGCATCAATTCGAAAGTAGATCTTCTACATCTAATTGAATTTTCAATGTATGATTCCAAGTCATAGATATATGGAATTTTTTTGTCTACGTATCTCTTTTTAAGAAGCCAAAACAGCCAAACAATGACAGAGCTGCCAGATGGCACAAAAAACAGTGCCGGAAAACGTAATACAATTTTCCGGCTGTTTTAGAAGGATAGAATGGATGATTTCGACGACGATTCTTTTAATGATGTTTTGGGCTCCATGGAAATGCCCACATCGCCCAAGAAGCCTAAGGTGCAGCCCAGTACCATCCAGCCCGTTCCCGCTGCGACATCAACCGCTAATAGCAGCAACAACACTTCCGCTTCAATAACAGTCGCCAAGCCGGCTTCAAATCCTCACAGCGTCCTTGTCCACAGCAAGCAGCGAGGCAATCCAATACTAAAATCTATACAGAACGTACCTCTGGAATTTCGCGATGACATTGTACCCGACTATGTTGTGGGCCGCACTTCCTGCATCCTTTTCCTATCGCTCAAGTATCACAATCTCAATCCAGATTACATTTGTCAGCGACTGAAGGCTCTGGGCAAGATGTACGAGCTACGTGTCTTGCTGGTCCAAGTAGACACGCCGGAGCCGCACAACGCTCTTAAAAGCTTGACTCGGATATCACTGCTAGCAGATCTTACCATGATGCTGGCCTGGAATGCAGAGGAGGCTGGCAAAATAATTGAAACCTACAAGCAGTTTGAAAAGCGACCACCTGACTTGATAATGGAACGAGTAGAATCGAATCCTCATCAAAAGGTGCAGTACAACAATGTTATCAAATATGTATACTCCTAAATATGCTCATAATATTAATAATGCTTGTTGATCTTAGCTGGTGGCCGCTCTGACCAACATCAAGCCTGTGAACAAAACGGATGCCGTCACGCTTCTTCAGACTTTTGGCAACCTGGGAAATGTGATCACTGCCAGTGAGGAGAGACTGTCACAGGTGATGGGTCTGGGGCCCCGTAAGGCCAAAAGGTTATTTAAAACCCTGCAGGAACCCTTTCTTAACAAGTAGTATTTGAGATTATTTAAGAGAAAAATCATTATTAGGTCAAGATTATCTGTAATTTAAATACTTTTATTTCTTATTAGGAAGAAACTTTATTCGTATAAAAATCAAACTACTCTTTGCTTAAACACTTATGACCTACAACACATTGATCGGATTGCTAATCAGCCACCTTCCATATCTTGATGGTGCCGTCATCGCTGCAGGAGATCAATTGTCCGGCTACAGCAGGGTTCCACTCCACCGCGTTGACGTCCTGCTCATGAGCAGTCTCCTCTGCGGTGAGTTGCTCGAATGTTGGTTCATCTCGCTTGGAGTCGCTGGTCTCCTTAAATATCCGAATCCCATCATCACCACAGCCGGTGGCAATCAATCCCGTCAGCTTACACCAGGACACATCATAGATGGCTCTCGAGTGCTGACCAGACAAGGTGCAGACACACTTCCAAACGGATTGTTTATCTGGCGTGGCTATGCCAGCATCGTTGCCCGGATGGTAGGCTCTCCAAATCTTGAGCGTTTTGTCATCGCTGCAGGAGACCAACCGGTCGCCCTCGGCGTCAAAGTCAATGCTCCAAACTGTGCTCGTGTGGGAGGACAATGTGGCGGTGCAATCCCAGTCGCTGTCCAACTGGCTCTCGGCAAACATTTTAATGGTATTATCATATGAGGCGGATGCCAAAATATCCTTCGTCGGGTGCCACACCACACGCTTGACATCCTGTGTGTGAGCATTTAGTACGGCGGCGCATTCAAACTCATCATCACCTGCCACTTCCCAGATCCAGACAGACTTGTCCCGGGAGCAAGTGGCCAATAGTCCACCGGACCTCGACCAACTAACACTCTTCACCTCGTTCTCGTGACCCTCCAGCGTAGCATTACATTCGAATTCCCCAGAGGACTTTGACCAAATCGCTGTAGTTGCATCAAAGCTGGCCGAGGCCAAATACTGACCGCATGGGGACCAGCGTATCTCGCGTATGGTGCGCTTGTGTCCGTCCGAGAGAATGGTTTTCGTGCTCCAAGTATTCCCCGACAGAGACCATACGCGTATGGCTTTGTCTTCGCCACAAGAAGCGAAGACGTTCCCCTTCGGATGCCAGGCCACACCCCAAATCCGTCCCTTGTGTCCTTGTAGAGTGTGCTCCAAAATTAAACGTCCCATGCTTACAATAACTAAATTCAACTTGATCTTTCACGGAGTTTTTGATAACAAAAGCGCATGTGGTAAGAAGAAGGTCAGTCATCAACAGCTGATTTTCTATTGCTGCCGAACAACACTGACTTTTGGCGGGGGTGGGAGTGCGCAGTTCTGCCAGATTTTAGAGTCACCTTAAGCTAGATTGAAGAACAAAATAAGCTAGAATAAGCTAAAAAGTAAAAAACAAAATGGCTTAAAAATAATAGGCTAAAACACATCAAAATAATGGTTCATTGAATTTTATTGATACATTTTTTTTTAAATTTTGAATTAAGGTAATGACATGGTTTTTCCCATTTCACTATACTATGGCCGATTGCTCAGCAAAGTAAAAACAAACTGCAGCCTCCTGCTCCTCTGTTTTTGATGACTTTCTGATAAAAACTATTTTGTTAGTTTGTGCCATGCTTGCATTGGACGCAATATGTTGCTGCCGTAATTCGCACAACTTGGCGCCAATTGTTGACTTACAAAAACAACAGTACGATTTTTTGGGGTCACATTGCGTAACCACTTCGTAAATTAATTTTTGTATGTAATGTAAATTAACAAATATTACAATACAATAAAAAAAAAAAAAACAAATTGTTTTGTACTCAATTTTTTGGAGCCAAAATAAGCTAAATGAAATTTCAAGCTATAAGCATATAAATTATTTTTCAAGCTATTTGGTTTTAAAATAAGCAAAATATAGCTTAAAATAAGCTAAAAGGGCAGGACTGGGGGTGGGTGCAAGAGTTACATTCCGCATTCTGTTACGTTACCCAGCACCAGTGAAGAAATTTGTGTATCCTGTATTTTCCTGTTTTGCAAATTAAATGATGATAAAATGAACGGCTTAATCGTATTTAACAGCGGCAACGATGTTGTCTATCAAAAACTGAACGCTCCACTGACCGAGAAAATCTGCGATGTGGCCGTCACTCAAGGTCTGCTGGAGTCTGCCCCCGATCCCAGCTGTCCGATTAACAGTAACATCCTGGTGCAAATCTTCAGCCCCATCATCAGCTCGCAAAAGATAATGCAATGCCAGTTTGACAACGCGTACTCCAGCTTCCAGTGCGAAAAGGGATTCAATTTGGTTTTTGGGGAACTTTTGGGATTTACCTTCCTGAAGATTGGACACATGCCAGTCGACACGCTGACGCGACAGATGGGCGTAGCAATCACTCTATCGCGCTATTGCTATGGAGCGAACATCTTTGGGGCCCAGGCAGGGCAACAGGAGCTGCTGACGCAGTGCCTCGAGTGCTACGAAACATTGCTTTCACAGGAAGAGCAGGCATATTTAATCGAGGCCATACCCAAGCTGGTGATCAACAAGGAACTAAAGAGAACAATTCACTTGACACTTGATGCTACGCTGGAGCAGCTGCGCCAGGACGGACTACCCCGGGCCCATGTCCTGCTGATGGTCTCCAACAAACTGGTAGCCGTCAATAGCACCAAACACGCAGTGCTGCTGGCTGCATCCGATCTTCTTTTTCTGAGCATTTTGTCACGGGCGCTTGAGTCTCTGAATTCTCCATCGCAAAGTGCTGTGCCGGTCTTTCTGCAAGGCGCTTCCCACGACGAGAACTCTGGATGTGTACCCACCATTGTGCACATTTCCCGCTTGCATGGCAACCAGGTGCTCCTCCAGGTCATCGAGTACGCGAATATGCCGCTAACCAGTTGCATCTACGACTGCTTCTTTGTGGTGCAAAAAATCAATACAGTGCACCAACAAGGAGACTCGGACGCTTTGAAGCCAGCCTTTGAAAATTTGGAGCCCTTTATTGTACAAACTTTTGCTGCCCTGAAGCGGCATTTGAAACAGACGTGTGGCGACTTGAATGAATTGGAGAGCTGCATTAAAAAGTTTACTGCTAAGTGGGAAAATCTTCGCAAAATGTACATGGAGTACTTTAAAAACTTTGAGCGGGAGCTGCTTGTGAGGATTGAGTCGAACGTGCCCTCGTTTATAGAGGAGCTAAAACAGCTCTTCACACTGGCCTCGTGCGATAGCTCAAGCGCGCACCTGGATCACCTATACGAGTTTGGCTGTCTTGTCGAGGCCAAGTTGCTAGAATTTGCAGAGTTTTTGGCTGTAAAGGCTACACGGAATATATCCATTGATGCTTACTTGGAGGACTTTCCCGGCCTGGTTCACTTTATGTACGTGAATCGCAGCAGCGGACAAATGTTGGGCCCCGATCTCCGACCGAATCAGCTGGTTACGAAAACAAAACTATGGAATATGGTAGAGTTTGCCCGAAGGTATCTCAAGAAGGGCCAGACTACAGTCATGTGGAAGGACAAAGTCTTTCACTACTCGTACTTCCTCTGGTTCGAGGATCAGTCGGGCGGCGTCCTCAGCCCAACTCTGGACCTTCAGCACCATTTTCTTGCATCAGCTGCTTCCAGTGGCAGTACCGCAAAGGCGCCAACCGAGCCTGGTGCCCTCTCGGTGGACTATTACTTTGATCTGGCTGAGCTCTGCTTCCCTAAGCTGGCGCCTGGCAAGGTTCGGGTATACGAGTTGTTCTGCATCCATCTGGGACTGGTCACAGCCACCTGCGCTGTAGAGCATGCCCGACGTTTGGTGGCCACTATCAGCGATGTGGTAGGGGAGGAGACATTTTAAATCTATATGAATATGATGCATGTTACGTTAGAAAGCTTAATATTCCATAATACCATTCCAGCGGTCGGGCGCATGAATCTAGTCAATTTATGGGACATATGCAATGTGAAACGTCAAAAGGACAGCTCTCCACTGTTATAAATTATTCCATTTAAATGTTAAATGTATAAAACTAAATTATAAATCGTTCAAAGTGTAACAAAAAATATGTTTATTGGGACTCGGTCGGTGGCTGCTGGGCTTGCGTCTTATGCAGCTCTTGCAACTTTTCCAAGAAAAAGGACTTGCGTGCCGTCAACGGCATGGATTTCTGACGCAGCATATAATTCTCATTGCCCAAGGCGGTGTAGGTATTATCTCCAATGAGTTCCCTCAACGCAATGTTCTTCTTCAAATGCTTATCATAGAAGCTGGCCCCTGCGGCCACAAATTGCGGCCCCAAGGTGGCCAGCTTCTTGTCAATCTCAGCATCCGTGGACACCTGATTAAAGTCTTTCATGAACGTCCAACTGCCGACGCCGAAGAGACCCAGTATGGAGTAGAGGACAAAGCGGACCTGAGAAGAAAAAAGCCAAATGATTACACAAATCTCTCGTCCACCCAAGTACTTACGCTGCCATGACGGGCAAACAGATTAAGGCGCAGGTTCAGATAATGCCCAATGGTGTAGACCATGAGAAAGCTGACGGTGGGGAATATCGAGTTAAGCAGCACACGATACGTTTGCAACTGGAGGATGGCCTTGCTCAGGCCAAACACCTGCTCATCTTCGGTCAAAACAATAGCTTGTTCCAGCAGCTTTCCGCTGGGAGAGCTCCAGTTAATTTGCTTGTCCCTAAAGCGGATATCAGGCCTCTTTATCTCTGCGGGACTGTCGTAAGCGTAGTTCACAGGTATGCCCAGAGCGGACCCGAATCGGAATTTCGTGGTCCCAGCTTGAAACAGATCGAAGCCGAACACGGTGAAGGGTTTGACGAACTTGCGCTCAAAGGGTTCCACCTGCAGTTTATCCAGCGCTTGTTCCAGGCGTTTCTTCACTGCTTCAGGCACGGGCCTTTCCACGCCATGTCTGAAATAAAGCGTCAGAAATCATTAGATTGGCTTCTTAAAACCAGCCATTTTCTCACCTACTGGTAGCATTGCACGAAATCGCGGTAATATTTTAGTCCAAATGTGTGGGGGAGGAAGTTTCCAACAAATAGGCCAATAGTCGTGGCTCCCGCTGTGTAAAAGACTAGTCTGCGTCCAGGTTCAGTCTTGAAGTAGGCAAAGAAGCCACCAGAAGATTTCGGTGCTATATGCATATCTTATCTATTCTATGTATATTGGATCAGCGGAACTTTTTCATTGATATTCGTCAAAAAAATTGATCAAAACAACATTTTTGAATATTGAATAATCACCTTAACCCTCTTAGCGCACCATTAAAAACCCTATATTGATTAGCTGATCAACTTGAGGTAAGCCGCAGAAAGCAATACTGATTACCCAAACAAAATTAACATGCCAACTTAAATCCACCAAATTATTCAATCAAAGTAATATTTGCCGCCATTTACCTCAAGTCGTTGAACGTTTAAATAGAGGGGGCTTAAGTGGGTCAAGTTCAGACGGCCACATTGGTGCTCTCTCTGCGACGCAAAAATGAGTCGTAATTTTTAGTGGGCTATAAAAAGGGTATGGAAAACAGGCACAAAAAACCAAAGCGACTTGCAAGGTTCGTACGAACCTTACCTTGAGTGTGAGGACTATATACCTTGAGGACAAAAAGGCGATATTGTCTGCCATTATGTAGCGAATGTGTAGTAACCGTGTAGTTGCGATGTAATAAATTTAGCAAATGTAAATGTAAAATGTAGAGGTGTAGAAACGAATACTAATCACAAAGAAATCGAAAAAACAATTCAACGAAGCGCTTTCGCGGTCGTCGCGCTGTGAATATTCTGTGTAATTTTTAGCATTTAGACTGAATTAATAGTGATTAAGAATCAAACAAATAGTACTTTGCTGGCGGTGCCCTTTTTCTGTACGGTTTGATACGGGGTGATAACTTAAGTTAGGAAACGTGGGTGTTGAGAGGGAAAACGTAGCCGACGCGCACTCAACTCATTGATTTTTTCACGGCATTGCCTTGCCGGTGAGGAGTCGCCGTTAATAAGTGTACTTGTATTTGTATCAATAATATGACATAATCGGCGTGGGCTGGGGTTAATTGACACAGTTGCTGAGCGCGGAATACCTAAAAGTGCGGAAAGAGAAGCATAAACGAAGCAATTCTTGTGGTCAAAGTGGCGAAAACAGGACTCGCGGCGTTGTTGTTTCACATATTCGTCCAAATACATATGCGACCGCACACACACACACACACACCCAACATAATTGTGAATGTATTTGGGCGTAGCAGGATGATACACTTCCAGGCCGCTTTCCAGTCGAACAGCTCTCTCTATCTCTCTTTCTGCTCTGCCTCATTTGTGCATAGTGACATGGCGTCACAACAATTTGTACATTATTTATTCTGAAATTGTTTTTATTTCATTAATATGTTAGCTCTCAATTTTACCTGTTCCCAATTTTTAATTTTTGGAAACGCTGCGCACCTTTTGGCGTTAACGAACACTGACGACCGAACCGCCTTCCAGCTCTCCACTCTCGTTTTTGCGTCTTGTTCTTCGAGTTGTGCGGACGTGTGCGTGCGCCTCTATTGTACTCGTGTGTGTGAAACGACTGGAGGATCGGCCGACCGACATTTAGAAAAGCAGCCACGGTGAGTTTCTTATAAATTAGAATTTCTTCTGGTGAAAATGTGCGCTGTTCGTTGAATTAATCTTTTGGAAACTAAATGGAATCTTTACTGTTATGCTTCTACCGCTATGATGGGCAGAGGTTATGGCCGGTGACGCCATCTTTTGTACTTCCCTAATAAGTGTTGTTTTTGTTTTTTGGGTTTGGTCAAGCACACGCAACATTCCTAATTGTATGCGTGCCTTTGTGTGTGTGTGTTTTGATGTTATGCTTTGCGTTTGATGTTCTGAAAATTTCTGACGCGGCTTTTTCTCTTTCTCTCTCTCCCTCTCTCTTTCGTCTTTTGGGTGGGTGTGAGTACCTTTTCCTTTTCACGTGATTCATGCTTTCTTTCTTCCCACTTTCTATGCCCCCCTGTCGGATTATGAAAATACAGTTGCATGTCGTACGGACTTCGGATTTTAGCTGTTGCTTTTATAACTAATTTGTTATCGACTCGCACACACACGCCATCTTGGTTGCAAAATCTTCACGCTCGAAGTGCATATGTGTGTGCGTGTGTGTCTAATACAGTGTGCTTTTGCTCCCCCTCGCGCGACTGTGACCCACATTTTCTCTTTCGGTTTGGCGAAAAAAAAACTGCGACCTGCAACAAGTGATAAACAGATTTGTAAATGTTGAAAACTTATTTATTGAAGAACGATACGGTGCACAGTAGTTTGCAAACGTAAGTTCTCCCTCACAACAGATGTTTTTTTGTAGGCCGGACCGTCTATAACTTGATTTGTATTTAGTGTTTATTCAGTTGTTGTGCAATCTTATCGAAGCTCTGGCTTGTGTTTTCTAGTTAGATTCCTTTTAAAAAAGAAAAGAGTTTTATTCCTTAGTTCATTTCCATGACCGAAGAAGTTTATGACGTCACTCCACCTGCTCAACCTGGCTTCCGGCATGGCCTGGATGTACTCGTGCATACTTGTGTCTCATATCTCTGCATCGAGCTTTTAGACTGCTGATAAATTTAGCTACCTTTTATGTCACATGACGTCATTTCGCACACAAAACCAAATGACAACCAAATGAAAATGTTCTCTTTTTTGTTTGCTGCCTTTTTGTTTCCAATTCTAATTTGCTATACGCTCACACATACACACTCAAGCGGGCACAATGATGTTTATATTTGAATTTTTTTAATACGGTTTCCCCGAGTGTCTGCTGCGTCTCTTTACCCGTTCCACCCCGCTCTTATCATTTTTCTGTTGCTCGTCTCTTTTTAAATTAGCTTCATCGCCTGGGGCATTTATTCTGGCTGCAAACCGCAAAAGCATTCAGCCAAGTGTTTGTCTAAAATCGTTGCGGCATTATTCCTATATTCCACTCTCTCGAGGGATAAAGGGAGAGAGAGAACCAAATGATTGCGCACCGTTATTTGCCTGTTGTGCCGTTACTCGAGTGCAAAATAACTGGGGAAAGTCAAAAACCACTGTTTATTCTTGTTTCCTCTATACATACAAGTGACAAATTAACGTGCACTGAGAGCGTCAAGGTGTGAGAGAGACAGTTGGATGTTTGTGTGTGTGTGTGTGCGTGTCTGTGTGGGTGGGAGGAAGTGCATAGTTAAAACGGCAAACAATAGCGGGAGAAATCAAAACCTAACCTAGAAATGTGTTCCAATAAATGACGGAAATACAAAATTAAGAACGTTTGCATATAAACAACAAGAGACAAAGAGGTCCCTCGATAAGAGGGAATGCAATCCCAGCAAACCGATATTGTGTTCAAAGGCCACCGTCTCAAATACTTTCTAACGACTTGGGCGTGCCCCTCGCCCTCATCCCATCCAACAATGCAAATGCATTTAATGGACACATGAGTAGAAGGGTAAGGAAAGGAAGGTGAGGCAGAAAATGATTTTTGATTGGAAATTGTTTACTCAAGCGTGATGTGGGGTTGCCTCTTATCTAATTTCCCACTGACGTCATTTTGTGATTAATTGATTTGGAAATCGTTGGGATCGAGCTGCATAATTGTGACGTTCACTCTGATTAATGGAGTCCATCCAGTAGGGTGGAGAGAAGGGAAGGGTATCTTGGCTAGGACAGAACAAACGGTGAAAAGTGCAGAAACCATTGAAGCAAAAGCGGGAACTAAAGCCAGCTTACTTGATGATGGCGAAAAGAGGGGGATGGATAGACAAATATACAGACATAAATAAAAGAGGCGTACGTGCCAAGCTTCAAAAAAAATAAAATGTTGCTGCTGGCTAAACAACTGCAGCTCATCAATAAAACAGCAACAACAAACAGAAATTCGGTGGAGAGGAGACACGAAAAGGAAGAGAGACCGAGAGAGAAGTGCAACAACAAATGTACAGTTGCAGAAGCAGCAGCAGCATCAGCCGCATTACCAGCAACAACAATGATGAAAACGAGACTGGGGCCAAAGAAAGTCGAAGTTCCTATACCCTATATACATATAAGAGCATCTAGCAACGACAGAGAGAGAGAGAGAGAGAGAGAGACAGACACAAAGTATGTCAATTCGAGAGCAGTCGTTTTGTGTTATTTTTGTGTTTGTCGCTTTTAAGCACTCGTGATAATTCGTACAGCCTAGTTTATGATGTACTTTAAGCCCGGTCTGCAGAGTGGCAGAGTGAGCGACAATGTGGATAATTTATACCTAAAAAGTTGGAAAGAGAAGCGGGAGTAGCAGAGACGAGACGGATGATGAGGCTGTGTCTCTGCATTTCTTGCCTTTTTTCATGTTGCTGGTATTTCTTTATGCTGCGCCGCTGCTGCTGCTGCTGCGCTTGAACTTCAATTGGAAATTGTCTTGAGCGGTTCTCTCTCGCTCTGTGTATCTGTCTGGTCCGTCTCTTGCAGCTGGAAAGTGATTGAAAGCCTGTTATTATGTGGCTGCCGAACTGTATTCAAATGGGAATTTAGGTTTTATTTTATTCTCTTCTGTTTGTGTTTCTGTTCGTGGAGGCGTGGGAAATACTGTTTTGTTTTATCTTGTTAAATTGCCACAATTTGTTGTAATTAAGTTTAATTTGAAAGTAAATACTACGAGATTAAATGTAATTTAGTTTCAGCTTTCAATTTGTCATTGGAAGACCTGAGAAAGCTAGTAAGAATGATTGGCCTCTTGCTTCCTCTTTAGGAGCTTCTGCTCCTTCTATGCATAACCCACTTTGCCAGTGCAAAAATCTCGTTTCTGAACGGCTCTTCTTCATTGTAGCATTGCCCAACAAGAAATCAACAAAAGCAGCCGCGAACAAATGGCATCAACATCATCATCCTCATATAACAATAGCCGGGGAGGCAGCAAGCCAAAGTACTCCGTCCGTGGGCAACAATAAACGCAAACGTGTTGCTGCATAAATGAATTCATAATGCAAAAACACAAAAATTAAGAGAGAGAGAGAGGGGAAAAAGTTTATTGTGAAGCACACGAAAGACGGCTTACATAATCTTTTATATCTTCTACTCCTCTCGATCAGCTCCCATGCCATTTGAAGTTGTGTGGGTGCTGAGGGGAGGTAGGGATCGACCGCAACAGCATTTAGCCAGGCTCCAAATGAAACTGTTGATTAACGCACCAGAAAAAAGTGGGACTGGAACTGGGCAATCTTTCATGTCTGCGTCTTCACGCTTAAACTTTTTAGAGCCCATTCCGTGCTGTTTTGTGTTGTGCTCTATTGAGCAATCCAGTTATTAAATTGTGCGTGAAAAGTGAAAATGGGATGCACTCGTGGGTAATTATTATTTTGATAGTCTTGATGAGGATATTATAGTTTTGCTTGGACTCTCCAAGCCCGCGAACCACCACGAACCACAAAAATACACTTAAATTGTATTATTCTTAAATAATTCAATCGCTAAACAATTTCTAATATTTCCTGACTTCACTCGTATTGGGACTGGGGCTAACGAATTATCGGCTCATAATAATTTTGCAATTCGTATGCAAATTTTTGCTAATGGAAAGTCTACAAATTTATGGAAAGCATGCAAATCGTTCCAGCTGATAAACGTAGCTTGCAGAGCGAGTGGAAGTGTTTGTGAGTGTGTGTGTACGAAATGAAGATGTAAAAAATTACGGTGCTTGTTGGATGCCCCCATCGCGATCATACAACCTCTCCCTAAATTATTCAATTATTTTGTTGTATACTGAGAGAGTTCGGTCTCTCTCTCTCTCCCTCTCTTTCGCCGTCGTCTGTTTGTGTGTGTGTGTGGGTAAATAGCAGTATAAAATAACGAGTAGTATAGAAATATTTTAACCCGCGCCAACTAAAAATATTGGCATGACATCATCGAACAGCGACGTCGGCGCAGCAGACAGCATCTCTCAATGAATCTCAGTTTTGTTTCTCTCTATGTTTGGCTATACAAAAATAAAGTAATTTGAAAAAAAGTGATAGGCAAATTTCCCATTTCCATTTACTAATCAAAGTCTTTTATTTTTTGTTTGCCATTGCAGCCACATATTAAAAAGGAAGAGAGCAAACAATTTCAATTTTAAGGTGAGTTCTGGGTATTTTTTATCCGACATCAACAGGCTATGTCACGTCACACTCTGCTCTTCTCTTGGTGTGTCTTGCGATGGCATATCTCAATGTCTCGCAGGTTTTGTGTTTACTCTCGCTTTCGTTGACTCTTGTTGGGGAGAGGGAGTGGTGCGGCAGAGAGCTGCACCACCTCGTCTAATGGTCAGAGAGGGCTACTGAAAGATACAATAGAAGGATAAACATAATGGAAAACAAATCGTGTTAGCTTTCGAACCGAATAAATGTGGAGATAGCCAAAAGTATTCGTGTTTCGCTAAATAAACAACCAATGATGCTGTCAATCTGGGATACTCCATAGCTGGGGGGGACTAAAACAAAAAAGCGTAATCAAGTTTACGTTTTTTACGAGGGTATCTTTTGGTCGAAGTATTCTCTCTGTTGGCTTTGCGATAAGCTCCTAGAATATACTGTAGTAGATATAGAAATTGTTCTCTTTTGGGGCTCTCTTCTCCTTGAATCTTTTTTACATGTTGACACGCATAACTTCACCTCTAATTCAATTAAGACTGACCTTTGTTTTTGTGGTTTTTTCATGTACATATATGTATACATATATACATTTTTTCGCACTAGTCACTAGTCTGCTCTGCTCTCTCTTTTTGTCTCTGCCTCCTCGGATTCCCTTGGAGCGTGTGGCTCTGCTTCAGTTGAAATTGAATTAAAAGCCACTTGAGCGTTGAGTCTGCTTTTTATTCCGATGTCGATATGTCGTGCCACAAATGTGTACATGTTCGTATGTCTCTGTGTACACAAATATCTCTTTAAATAGTGCAAAAATTCAGATTTACCCCTCCATGCCGTCGGGCATGGTACACTGCGTTTTTACACATAATGTATGTATTTCCATCTTTATAGGGGGAAATCAAGAGTCAAGGGGATAGAAATGATATTCTTTACGCTTGAAATTTTGTTGGCTCTCATAAATGGGTCATTCAACCAAACTCCAGCCGATGGCAAACTCTCATTTCTCGCTTAATAGTCTTCAAATATGGGGAAAAAACGGAAACTTGAAAATCTGGCACTGTTCTTTGTAAGAGAGGCCCCAAAATTGAAATAAATCTTCTATTAGTTAGATTACTTCAATTAAAATTCAAATAGAACATTTTGCAAGTATTTGAGTTTTTTGTTGTTGTTTGTGTTCCACCTGTGCTACAACCCTTCTCGACTGTAACTGATGTTCAATTAAAAGCCCATTTAATGCCTTTAATGTGCTCCTATCAGGATTGAGTTACTGTCGTTAAGGACATGTGCCCTTACATACTCGTATATGCGGCTCAAACCAATTGTAAACACGCATCAGGCACTGCCCACATTTCCTGCGTTGCTCGCGTGTTCGGGTCAACGACCCACAACCTCCCACCCCCGGCCGCGAACCCCAGAAATTGGGCCCAAGAACAAGGACAGCCATCGAAAGCAAACAGACACCCTCTTGGGCAATAGAGCGAGGGGGTTCTTGACGGCCTCTGGAAATAAAAATACCTGTGCGGGACACGCCTAGCATTTTATTGGATTTTCCTTAGAGCATTGTTAGTTTAATTCTTTTTTCGCCGGCAATTTCACTGTCGCCGTTGCCTAGCCGTTGCCATGCAATTTTGAATGAATGGCGCCGGCCAAATGACGGAACTGTGGCGCCACCAATGAATGTTTGCTACCACGCGCCTCGTAAAAATATCCTGGAATTGGGATTGGGTGGGTGGTTTGGTGGGGTTGCTGCTGTTGCTGTGCCGTGCCGTGGTTGCTTCTCGTTTGCGTTTTGAGTTAATGACAGGAAATGACGTCATGTGCCCCTCAGAGGGGATGAAATTGTATTTGCTTGTCTTTAAGTGCCGGGAGGGTTGTGGGTGTGGGTGCCACAATGTCCTGGATGATGTCATAGTCTACAAATATGATTACTTCCCGCCTGACTAGATTACAGAGCAAACGAGAGACAAGGAATCGATACACTCCTGAAGATCTCTTAACAAATCTTTCGAAAACTGATATTGAGCGATTTTCAATGCAATAAAATGATCCCCCTTCCTCTCTGGACGTTAGCAAATCTCAACAGCTGTGCAGATTTCAAGTTTATTTGGCAATTTTACAAAACCAAACCAAATTTATGTGTATCAAAAATATCAAAAATACTACAAATTGGCCAACAGTTTTGGCCAACTTCCAAGTGAGTCAAAGACAAATCGCCAGCCATCGTCCCATTCAACAAAAGGCTTTAATCAAGGGCAAAATTAGAAAAATGAAAATATACTGACGAAGTATTAAATACTCTTTGCTATGCCAGCTAAATAATATGCATCGAATTTTTTTAAAATGACAACAAATTACAATCTATATATTCGTAAAACTATGCCGATATTTACCGTATCTAGCGTTTCAAGGGCATAAAAAGCGAACGCAAAAGCATTATTTATTTTTTTGTTTGCTTTGGCGATTCACTTTCTTTTGTGTCTGTCCCCTTCCATTCATTCCTCTCTCGGACTCTTGCTTCTCGGCTGCCAGTCTGTTTTTATGCAATTTTGCTGCACCACTCTTCATAAAGAGGGCGTTGGCGCCAACTTTTCTGCCGGCATTAAGATTTATGTGCGGATTTTGTAATTCAAGCCACGCGACTCACAAGCGACTTTCGGCGCCGTCAGATACCAGAAGCAGGCAGCAGCAGCAGCGGCAACAACAACGGGTTGTCCAGAACAGTGGAGAATGGGGCGACGAGCCCGACCAGACAGAGTGGCAGCTTGTTAGCAAAACAAACAAAATTAGCAGAGGGCAGGGGAGAGAAGGCCAGACGGAAAAGCCTCACGGCTACGGATAGACCAAAACCAAGACAAGTCGCTGGCTGCTGATGCTACTGCTACCTTGTTAAAAAATTGCACACGCACGAGAAATTCCCAGAGCAGAGCTACAGGCCCAAATGAAGACATTTTAACGATAACTGTGCCTAGATACGAGACAAGCGAGCACGAAACAAGCGTCTTGGCACACTCCATATTGGCCGAGCTGTTATAATTAATGCTTAAAAAGCCATTTAGTCACGAAAAAAATTAAAAGGTTACCTTCGAGAAAAGAAAAAAAGTTATTTCAACCTGTTTCCGCCCGGGATCGAACCGGGGGCCTTCTGCGTGTTAGGCAGATGTGATAACCGCTACACCACGGAAACAGCTGGTATTTGAGTGGTCAAATACTTATTAGTGCAAAGCTGCTATTGGAGGGGGAGGCAGTAAACAAATTGAAATATTATTTTAAAGTTTACTGTGTACTCATAATTTAACGTAATTTAAATAGTTTTCGTGTCTGTACCGAAACCTTACCTTGCTGATTTTACTCCTTTCATAAATATTCCGAACTTTCCTAGATCTTATCAAATAAAAAGTTATTCCCGTCTGCCCAATCCATGCTTCCAAGGTTTGGATTTAAAATAGACTTCAGATAAAATTAAACTTGAAAATCGAATGCAAAAAAAGTATTCAACCTGTTTCCGCCCGGGATCGAACCGGGGGCCTTCTGCGTGTTAGGCAGATGTGATAACCGCTACACCACGGAAACAGCTGGAAGCAAGGTGACCAAACACGGAACAGTTTCTTTGTACCATAGAAGTGTTGATGGAAAAATATAAAAATACTGTAGAAATCGCTTATTGAGATAAGATTTTAAAGTATTATTGGTTTCATACAGTATGCTTTATAAATAAAATAGGTTATACTGCATTATGTTTCTGCTATCGGCTACAAAATTACAAAAAAGGTCGCAAGAATGCAAGTTCTGTCCGACAGTATGTGAAAATTCATTTCATGAAATAAAAAAGTCTATCTATTTATTAGTACATTACATTAGTAAAAATTAGTACTAAAAAATATCGTATTAAAGCATAAAGTAAAGTGCAAAAAAGAAATGAATGTTTCATCGCAGCCGGTAGGATTCGAACCTACGCTCCCAGAGGGAATCTGATTTCGAGTCAGACGCCTTAACCACTCGGCCACGACTGCTTGTGGAAGACTCATGTCCAAAGCTGAATATACCAGAGATGGGTGGCGAAATACTCTAATATTATTTCATGCAATATCTATTTGACAAATTTCCGCATACGAACACGTTTCGCGTCAAGCTTGTGCAACAAATGATTTAGAATCTAGGCTAAGTACGCTCCATGAAATATATTGGAATGCCTAGGCACAAAAAATATGACTTCCACAAATTAGCACACTATGAATGATTGCATAAAAAGTAATGATTTATTGCACTTTTTCTCTGGTTTTCTTGGTGATCGTTTTTGTACAAATTTCTGGCTGGATGAAATGCTTTTTCAGACGACAACAGCTTTATTATCATCATCAGATCTCTGGCGGTGTCCCACTGACTGACTGACTGAGTGAGCGACTTGTTGCATTATTGAAACTGAATGAATTCATTTTCTGTGCGACCTTATGGCCACTCTGTGGCATATCACACTTGAGACGATGGGACAGCTCCAGCTCACCCCCTCCTCAGCTGTCTATCTGTGCTCGATGGAGTGGAGGAGATTACGTAAGATTTCTTCTTTGGTTGCGCGATAATTGAATACTTGGGAAATTTAATTAACGCCAGCGAATACGAGTGTATGTATGTATGTATTGTATGTGTGAAAATGATGTACGATCATTCAGAGGGTGTTCAGTTCTTTGAGTCAATTTGGTTGCGAAGATGTTTGCTGTTTTGGCTTTAATCTTATCTTTTATCGTAATGTAACGTTAGCATGTTTCTGCTTCTCTCCCGCACTACCCATTACCGCTCTCAGCATTCTTGAGCTGTCTGTTTTGGGGCCACACTGGCACACGACGCTACCCATTGAAAGACATGGGTGTGTCCGCGACGACGTCGTCGTCGCCGCCGCCGCCAAACAAGTGTGATGTAATTGCATAATGTCAACAAGAGTCAGGCGGCAAACAAACTGCGGCGCTGACAGGCCAGCCTATGCCGACGGCGGCAGCGGCAGCCGCTCGCGTCATCGATGGCGTCGCTGTGGCGTTAGATGCTCCTAAATTTAATTGTTTTCTTCCGCACAAAAAGGTCAGAAACAGAGAGAAAAGAGAGAAATAGAACGAGAGAATGGTGTCTGCAGCGTTGACAAAGTTAAAGTTCAATAAACTGAAATGTTTTGATACTTGTGCTCAAATTGGGATTTAACAAATCAATTGGTTGATCCACTGGTTGACACTGTTGACTATATTGGCCAACCAGTGTTGCCTTATCTCAGTGGAAACGCGTCGATTTTTGGCAGAGAACAACTTTAAAGGCATTCCTCTCTTCGTTCTTCAATGCATTGAGTATTGAGCGTAGTCAAGTCTCTGCCGCCACCTACGGAAAATTATAACTTTTTTGTTGTTGTTAGGGCTACTCTGGTGGGAGGGAGTTGATGATCAGCCTACGCAGTAATTGTGAATACTTGTTGGGGATCAACTCCATGCGCCCACACACACGCAAACCCTCTCACACGGCAGAGTGCACTTAAAAAGCGTTTATTCAGCATTATTCCGTTTGATTGCAGCCAAAAGAACGTCTTCGAGCACCCACGCACCCAGGCATAGTCAGAAAAGGGAAGAGAGCAAAGGAAAGGCAAAGTTCAATTACCTTAGCATCACGATAATTCTGTAAGAGTTGGCTCTGTTGTGGTTGTTGGTGGGATGTACATATATGTATGTCCGGTGGGCAATACGTCATCATTTGCAAATAGTCTCTTGTGAATGCAATTGTCTTCCATTAATCTTATCTAATAAGGAAGGAAATGGGGAACTAAGCCAACCGCCCGCGGTAACAGAACTTGCAAGGGCAAAGGCATGTAGGGAAGGGAATTGGGTCAGCATAAATTATACACGTTGCTCGTAATTATTGTTTTTGTTGTTCCAGTGTGTCAGAAAGCCGCAGGAGCGTATTCCACCGTTCTTTAGTTGAGCCAAGAAATTTCTTAAACGATATGTTTTCTCAGCCTCTCTCTGCTGATGACATTCCCTACTTTGTTTACCTTGCTTATTGCATTTGTTTATATGTTTTTGTATGTATGTTCGAGTACCGCCTGCGGCACCAATCCACCAGCATCAGGGTGCAATTTGAAGGTTAGTGCTCACAGTGGCTGGGGTCTGAAACACCACGCCTAAGATTTAAAGAGCAAAGCATTTCTTTCCCGGTCTTGTGTTTATTTATTTTCGATACATCTCCTCTCTCTCTGCTCGGTTTTTCGATTTCCGAGGCATTTATTTGAAATTCGTAAGAAGCAAAATGGATCTTAAAATAGTTTTTTCTGTGTTTTCCTTTCTGCGTTGCTTCTGCTCTGGGTTGTCGCGCCTGTCGTAGCACGTGGGCAGGAAGGAAAGTGTGTGGTTTATTTTCCAATGGTTTCCCCCCCTGCTTTTCACTGTGTAAAGTGTCAGACTGGGAAGTAAATATATAATTTTTTTTTTTAGCCAAAATTAGAAATTAAATAAAGTGAAATATGCGGCACAACTCCCTCCTTGGTCCCATTCCTCTCTCTATCTCTCTGTCTCTCTTGCACTCTCCCCCAAAACAGTTTTGGTCATTCACAGGAAAAGCAGACAGCTAGAAAGTTCTCTCAGCGCTATTCCTCTCTCGCTTAAATTTTGGGTGGTTGTGTTTGCCCGCTCTCTCTCGCTCTCTCTCTCTCTCTGTTGCCACCCCCTTTTTTCCATTTCGCATGTGTTTGTGTGTGTGTACACAACGGGAACAGTGTAGAACGGTGCTCTGCCGTTTTAAGGTCAGTTGAAAATTTTCCAGCTGAGCGTAAAGTAAGCGTACAAAATGTGAAGGAAAAGCAATTGTAATTTAAAATACCCTTTTCCCCTTTTCGTTTGCAGCATTTAAACAGAAAAGGAAGCAAACATGACTGAAGTCGAGCAACCGCCACAGAATGGCATAGACCCAACCGCCGGCGATCACGACGAGGACAGCAAAGCGCGTCCCGCCGATATTGAACAGGTAAGTGGCGATTGAAAGCAATTTCTGCCTTTTCCGATGCACCATCACCTCTGGGTCACGTCGCTCTTCCACAGGATATGCGCGAAATGGAGCGCCGCAAACGCGTCGAGGCCATTATGGGCTCGAGGCTGTTCCGCGAGGAACTGGAACGCATCGTCGATTCGGCCCGTGAGGGAGGTGGCGGGGCCAGCGGCATACTGCAGCAGCTGTCGGACATTGTGGGCGTGCCGGTGAGCCGGGTGGGCAGCGTTTTCAAGAGCAGCAGTTGCATGGTGCCCATTAACGATATACGCGGCGTGGAGTCCATGGGCTATGCCAAGGGCGAGAAAATACTCCGCTGCAAGCTGGCTGCCACATTCCGTCTGCTGGATTTGTACGGCTGGACGCAGGGTCTGGGGGCACAGATCACCGCACGCCTAAAGGTCGACCAGGAGTACTTCCTGGTCAATCCCTATGGCCTGCTCTATCATGAAGTCACTGCCTCGGCGCTAAACAAGGTGGATATGCAGGGCCATATTGTGGAGCAGGGCACCACCAACTTTGGCGTGAACAAGAGCCGTAAGTCGCCAACACACCCCTTGCATTTAATATTTTCAATTTTTAATATTGGCTTTTCCGCTCCCCCCCAACCAGACTTTGTCCTCCACTCGGTGGTGCATGCAGCACGCCCCGACATTCGCTGCGCCATCTACATTGGCTGCAGTCCGGTTGTGGCCATCTCTTCGTTGAAGACCGGCCTGCTGCCCCTCACCAGGGATGCCTGTGTGCTGGGCGAGATCACCACGCACGCGTACACGGGCCTGCTCGATGAGGAGGAGCGCAACCGCCTTGTCCGCAGCCTGGGGCCCAACTCCAAGGTCATACTGTTGGCCAACCACGGCGCCCTATGCTGCGGCGAGACCATCGAAGAGGCCTTCTTCGCCGCCTGCCACATTGTGCAGGCGTGCGAGACGCAACTGAAGCTACTGCCCGTGGGTGTGGACAATCTGGTGCTAATTCCCGAGGAGACGCGCAAGATCATCTACGAGCAGTCGCGCCGGCCCCCAGAGGACCTGGAGAAGAAGTTTGCCGCCGTCACGGCTGCCGAGGATGGAGCCACTGCCACGGAGCCTGCTGTCGCTGAACAGGCGGCTCCCACGCCCAAAATCGGCAGTCCGCCCAAGTGGCGTGTTGGGGGAGCCGACTTCGAGGCCCTTATGCGCATGCTGGACAATGCTGGCTATCGCACAGGCTACATCTACCGCCATCCCCTGATTAAATCGGATCCACCCAAGCCCAAGAACGACGTGGAGCTGCCACCGGCCGTGTCATCTCTCGGCTATCTGCTCGAGGAGGAGGAGCTCTTTAGACAGGGGTAAGGAACAAGGAACAGTCAACGCTCTTCCAAGAGTGATCCTAATGATTCCAATTATCTAATACCTCCAACAGCATCTGGAAGAAGGGAGATCTGCGCAAAGGAGGCGACCGCAGTCGCTGGCTCAACTCCCCGAATGTGTATCAGAAGGTCGAAGTCCTGGAGACGGGCACCCCAGATCCCAAGAAAATCACAAAGGTAGAGATCATAACTTTCGAAGATAAACACCAGACCACGACAGCGTCCACACAGCAGCGGAATGTTGCTAGCCTTAAGGAGATTGAAGGGAATTAGTTGAGCCGGCCAACCCACCCCAACCCAACCCAAAGAAAACCCCACACTACCCAGACATTCCACTTGCTCCGCCTCCATTTATGAGTTCCCCTTTAGCTAGTTTCAGTTCCGATTCTGCTGCTAAACTTGCGAAGATATTCACGCATAATATTTGTCTGCCTAGCCACTAAGTAAATCAAAGTAATCGTCTAAAATATTAGTACATGAACTATATATTTATATACATTCTTATATATTTTGAAAATAGATTTTTAAATCGTGCTAAACAAAACAAAAAGATATTTTACCCGCTTTGCCAGCAAACAAATTCTGTAATTTGTGCATTACATTACCCAAATAAATATTTAACTTAAAACCGAAAATAACTCTTGCATAGATGGATGATTTTGTGCCTCCTTTAGGGGTCTTCCCCTGCTGTCTGTCTCTCTGCTTTTCTTCCACTATAACGAATCGAACGAATGCTCTGTAAAACAATGCAAAGAAAGAGAAAGAAATTTGTTATTAAGTATTTAATCATTCAAATACAAATTCATTTATATTCATTTCCAACATTTTCACTTCATTTTTTAAAACATTTGTTTGTTCCGTTGACATTTAAACAAATTTTTCTTTGCATGTTTTATGGTTAAGATTTCTTTCAATTAAATAAATATTTTTTTTTTTATTTTTTAGTATTTGTATAAACTTTTACCTATTTTTTTTTCTCATTTGTTCTCAAGGCACAAAATCATTTCTGACTGTTATTTTTGTTATATTAAGAACATTTTCGATAATACAATAGTTAAAAAAAAAAACATTGCTCACAAATGCTTGAAGAATTGTATTTCTTATATAATTAACACTGAAGCGTATTTATGTATAAGATGATTGGCTAAGAGACCCGAACAATCGTTGGGCTAACGCCTATAGAGAGCATTTCGATGTAGCTTTAAGTATTTTAGATTTAAGCATATCGGCCCCTAAATTAAACAAATTTCTTTCTCTTTCTTTTCTACTTGCATTGTCCCACCCCATTGCCCCACACCGTAAAAATGCTTGCGTGCTCAAATTGAACACTATAACCTTCAAAGTGGGTCGCTGAGGGTTCACCCACCCATTCGACGCCCGTGAGGATCGAAGATCCGCTGCAGTTTGTGCCATGTGGGACGAATACCAAGGAGTTTAAGCGCGTCCAACAGCAAGTCAGTATTCATTTAGTTGCCTCAATTCCCCTTTAGATCGTCCACTATGTATGCTTGTCTTAGATCAAGGATAATCGACGTGCGGACAAAATCTCAGCTGGACCACAATCTCATATACTGGAGGGCGTGACCTGGGACGAAGCGAACCGCATCAAAGATGCCACTGTCTCGCAGGCCGGTGATCACGTGGTGCTAATGGGTGCCGCCTCCAAGGGAATCATTCAGCGGGGCTTCCAGCACAATGCGACTGTCTACAAGGCGCCATACGCCAAGAATCCCTTCGACAATGTGACCGACGATGAGCTGAATGAGTACAAGCGGACGGTGGAGCGCAAAAAGAAGAGCATTCATGGCGAATGTAAGTGTGCATCTAAGATCCTGTCTGTTATACATCATTCACTCAAATATTGGTACCTCTTTCAGACACCGATACGGACTTTTCGGAATCAGAGGCTCTTAACTCGATGCAGGCAGCGGGAGCTTTGGCTCATGCCAAACACGCACAGAGCGAACCCGAGACGGGTATGTCACGGTCGTGCCATCCGTTTGGCTACATTTGGCTAGATCTGCATTAATAACCCTCCAAATCTGTTGTTTCCCATAACGTTTCTGTAATATTTTAGAACACCAAATTATCCAGATTCAAACGCAACAGGCGCCCATTCCCAGCCAAGCGGAAGTTGTATTGAGCGATGGTAAGTCCAGTCCATGTTCTCTGTTCCTATCCTTTTATGTTTTGCTACTATCCAGTTCATATAATCGTGATCGTATGATTTACCATACTCCAATACCGAACACATCCATATAATGCTCAGAGTTATGTCTTTGCTTATCCATTATATGAACAAAATGTCAATTTTCAGATGTCTTATGTTTTTTTAATGAGTTAAGTCCTTATGTATTTCCTTTTTATCCCATTCCATTCCTCTGGATGCATTTGTTTTATGATTGTATCAGTTTTTTACATGTTTAAGTTACATAAGTTACACGCAGAAACACGATAAATCTAACGAAGTTATTTGTTTTGTTTATTTTATGGATCTTCTAGTTTAAGGCATTTATTATAATTATTAGACTTCTAACATTTGATAACCTATTTTTTTCTTATGCTATTTTCCCCTCTTTATTTTTTTTATCTGCCTAACACAAACACACACACGCCTATAAATGAATTTACAAAATAATGCTAAAAAAAACAAACCTATAGTTAACAAAAAAGTACTCGTAGCACTTGACACAGTCTCGACTTCGTTTCTGTGAGGAAAATTGTTTAATACTTTCACTCCACTGCTGTCTCTACTGTACACCACTTATTCTGCAGTTTGAAAGCTCCTAGCCAACGGTCCTAAAACTGTTTTAGTTAGTTATACTAACTAGATGTAGATATCGGTATTTTTGGATACTAATTATACGTACTAGTCGTGTTACTCTCCTATATTTGTATATTACATACTTTAAATACTTTTCGGTGCCAAGGAAGAACAGCCAACTGTTGTATGCCGTGTATTAAATGAGTATTATTTTCAACGATGAACTGAAAATCACAGCACAACAACAACTACTACGCACAACAAAAAAGCTAAGCTATAGATCAGATCAGATCGGAACGCATTCTCCTTTGCAGAAAATCCATCTAGTACAGTCCGTTTGCCAGTTCAGTATTTAAAAACATTCCTCTGCCTTGAATATAAATTCATTTGATAAAAACTGTGTGTAGGGGTGTGCGAATAAAACCGATTACAAATGTAATATAAATATAGTGTAAAGAATAAACCAGACCAACCATCAACAACAAGAACCAACCAGCCCCGAAGCTCTCAGCAGAACACAAAACTTGTACTTCTACTACCACTACATACAAATACCACCTTTTCTACTACTACTACCAACACTACTACTACTTCTACTACTTCTGCTGCTGCGCTCTATAGTGTAACCACAAAGTCAGGCTAAGAACAGCTAAACAAAAAAAAAAAACACTTATTTTTGAGCTAGAGGTGAGTGCAGCCCCGAAAGGTTTAGTGTGTAGAAACCAAAGCCATCACAAATCGAACAAATTTACTCGTAGTATATACTATATAGTTTATAGAAAGCAAAAGAACAGAACATCCGCATCTGCACACTAAACCCCATTCGACATGACATGTTAACCGCTGCCGCCTTGCCTTGCCACAGAACTTTCTGCTCGGCTCTGCTCTGCTCTGCCCTGTTCCGTTTGGTTTTATTTTGTGTTGCCATTCAGAGCCGATCAATTCTTTATTCTTCTGGCCATTCTAGCTTCATTGTCCAAGGAATTCTTTGGCTTTTGCACAGCTGTTTTTGTTTAAGCCTTTTAGTCGATACTAATGCACATCTATGCAGCATGCTTGCTTATCCAGTACTAAACCTAGACACCTTTCAGCTCACTTTCTACACTAAGTATTTCTAGTTTTAAGGCATTCAATTTAAGGGCTTTACTCTAGACGCCGTTTTTGTGTGTTTGCCATGCCATTTAATTGTTTTATTTGATTTCTCAATACTGTTTTAGCCACACTTAGTTTTATAAATGGCGAACGCTCTCACACAGCAACAAATCGCAAGCCGCCAACAGGCCGAGGTAACAAAAATTCCCCCCTCCACCCAAAAAAAAGAAAAGAAAAAAAAACCGAAGGGTTTCCTTCAATGTACTCAGGCTGTACGCCCAGGAACGCCCATGTATATATAATCCCAACTAATTAATTGGTGTATATTTGTATGCAAAGATAACCCTTCTATATACTCGTATATAATCCACCAAAACAAAGTCACCGAAACAAAAGCACCCGAACTAAACCCTAGCTCTAGTCCATCCATAACATCGATCTAATTCAGCAATTCAGTTCATACTCTGGTTAGACGATAGAATATATCATTCAGAACTATTCGGTTTGGTGGAAGCAATCGTATTACCCCTTGCTATGGCAATGGCCAGGAATATTTATTATTTGTACTCAAGTTTCAGCCTAGGTACAGCCCCCTTGGATATACACACACTCTTATACATCCAAACGAACAAAAAATACGTATCGAAATCTATCTATGTATGTACTACTCTCCCCTGCCCTCGTATGTATTCATCGAGTCCCAGACTCCCTTTACGTATTTTGCCATAGATACTAATTGTACACCTCTTTGGCTCTTCTCTCCATATTTTCGTCTTGCATTGTGAAGCTGTGCAAGTCCTTGGGAAGTCGTCCATGGGTAAGGAGACCGAGACACCCACCAGTTCAGATGCGAACAGCCACGGGCATGAGCTGGACAAGGAGAATAACCGTATTCGGAATAGAAGCGTCTCTTCGACTAGCAAGTGTCGCCGCGATCTATTCCCAGCGCCAAAGAGCGATCCTCCGTCGATTGAATTAGATATGGGGTCTGGGTCGGGCTCGGGATCGGGGTCTGGGGTGGCCGACTTGGCACAGCATCTGGTTCCTGTCCAGCAGGGGCAGGACCAGCTTTATTCCTATGTTTATGCGGCAGTTGCCGCCGCCTCCTTGGGGCAATGCGCTCAGCCGCAGATTTGCTCGGCCCTGCTGAGGACCCTTCATACCGAGCAGTTGGTTAATCTGGCCGCCTACTATCGCAGCTCAAATGGCACGTCTAGTACGGGCACGGGCACAGGCTCCTCCAACATAGTCCGGCGCCCGCTGGAGCCGGCCAACACCAATCTCATTCACCCGCCGTACCGCACCCACTCGCACTTTGGATTCCAGTCCCCCCGTCAGATGCCATGCGCGGCCCACAAGCATCTGCCAGGACGCGACGGTTTGGCCGCACTGGGCTACCGGCCCATGCAGCGGGCCATCAGTTACGAGGAGATCTTCGCCAGTCCCCGCTACGAGCAGCTCTGCCAGCCCTGCATCGACAAGCTGCTGCGCCTCAAGCCGGAGTTGCAGCGCGTGCGCGGACCCAACAGTGGCTCCTGCGAGGAGGATCTGGCCAGCATGGGCAGCAGCAGTGTCACGCCCAAGCAGCAAAGGAAGGCGCCACTGCCAGAGATACCCGGATTCGGGCACCAAGATGCCAGCACGCAGACCTCGCTTCAGTCCACGAACTTTCTCAGCGAAATCGAACGCTTCAACTTCTCCGAGGAGTCGACGAATCTGGGCTTCACGCCAGGTGTGGTGGCCATCACCAGTGATTTTAGTTTGCCAGGCTTGGAGGGCAGTCCGGGCGCCAGTGCGACGAGTGCCCCGCCGCCCAGAGCTTATCCCCCAATGGAGCCGCGAACGGGCACAAACATCACCGAAGTGTGGAACTTTGGCAACTGGCAGGAGCCAACGAATCGGAATACAGAGGATGCTGCCGATGGGGAGTCGGAGTTCCGCCAACAGCCGCTTACCGAGCGTCGGATTACCCTGGAGATCACGCAACACTTCCAGCCCACTGGAGAGGCGCAGAGGCAGGACCAGGAAGAGGAGCAGGAGCAGGAACAGGGGCGCCAACTAATGCCACGAGATGAGCGCCAGCGCCGCAAGTCCGAGTTCCAGGAACTCTGGCAGGACCACGTCCAGTACTTTGGGGACAAGGAGAAGATGCAACAGGAGCCGCCGTCCAGGACAGAGCACACACTGAAGGTGAGCCTGGATGAGCAGGAGGTCAGGGCTTTGCGGGCCAATGGCTGGCTAGACCATGAGGGGGACCCAGAGACGGAGGAGAATCCAGTTCCGATCGCTGAAGATGTGTCGCTCCTTCCGCAGGATGACAATACCGCAATGACTGACAATACGGCGAATGATCTGCCGCAAATCCTGCAAGATTTCGAGGATAGTCTCAGCCTGGCCGGCGAAAACCTGCAGAAACTGGTGGCAACCACCAAAAGGCTTCAACCCCTGGAGTTGGATGACACTGAGGTGCCAGAAACTGGCACGCTCTTCCGATCGATCAGCCTGGAGAACATTGCGAATGCCAACGACTCGGTTTGCCTGGTGGAGCGGGCGACGGAGCTAGCCGACGACACGAGCGATTCATCTAACGAGTCCATCATCCACTTTGAAGAAAAGCGTGACGATGAGAAGCCTGTCACACCCGTTCCGAACGACCCGGAAGAGGCCACTGAAAAGGAGAGGGTCCAGATTGAACGCAACGATGAAAAGGATGTCGATGAGAATGAGAACGAGATCGAGACAGGGACAGAGTTCGAAGGCTTCACCAGTAGCTCTGAGTCGGCCGAAACGACCGAGGCAGAGCCCTTCCATGGGGAGGAGATTCCTGCAAGATTCCAACCCCCGCAGGACATCGAGAATTTCTCACCGATCGAGCTGGAAATCCTGAGGCGCATCGAGGAGGACAAACTCAAGGAGAGCGATCCCATCTTTGTCAAAATTGATGACAGCATTCGCAACAAGCTGACGCCCAAGAAGCTGGAGGATCTGGTCCGCGAGGGGATGCTCCGCACCTGCACGAACGTCTACACCTGTCCGGGTCCGAGTACGAGTCGGATTTCAACCAGCACAAACTCGGCCCTGTCCATGCACCACATCAGTGCGCCGTGCAGTTCCACGGCCCACAAGCACCTGGTGACGCGACCCTGCCTTCGATTATCGCAGTCTTTGTCAAATTCCCAGCCACAGCATCAGGAGGAGGAGGAGCAGTCGGAGGAGAGGGACCGCCTGGACACCCAGCCGAGTAGCCCTCTGAAGCGTACCATCTCCTCCACGACCTTCGTGTGCCGTCGCAGTCCCAACAGGAAGCGCAATTTCATCCAGGAGAACATCCGCAATGTCGGCAGGCCGCGATCGGCCACAAGGCCAACGACCAGCTCGATCAAAAAGCAAAGAACTATGTCACAGGCCAGGAGCGCTGCCAGCGTGTCGTCCGTGTGCACCTTCGAGATCGGCCAGCGGGACAACGGGTCTCGTCTTTGGGTGTCCCTACCCACGCCACCGCGTGCCCAGAACCGGAATGCTGCAAGCAGTCCAAGCACTCCGCGCCAAATGCCACGCAGTCCGCACTCGCCCCATAACAAGCGACGCAAAGCGGGTGTTTTTCTTACGCCTGTGCGGCGTTGCGCCATGAATCCGGCCTTGAACCTCGATCGGATCTCGTCGGACACATCGCTGAACTACTCCGTGGATCGCACGCTCTCGAGCAGCACGTTCTGCGTGCCTACAGAGGGTGAGCCCGAGGCGGATAACGTTTCGACAACAACATTCGAGGTGGACTGCAGTCAGGATCAGGAGCAGGGGCAGGAGGATCAAAGACCAGTCTCCACACAAAATGAATCTTCAGCAGCTATGGGAGCAGACGTTGGGAATGCCACCGCATGCAGCATTTACTACAGTGTCAATGACAACACTCAGGATCAGAGTCACGAATCGGTGCAAACTTTAAGCGATAGATCCCTGACAAGCGATGAACAGCCAACGGAAGGGGAGACTGCCGGTGATGGCCAGGATGACACTAGAAATGATGACACAGATTCGACTAAAGACTCCTCCCACGTAATAGAAGATGATACTGAGACATCCTGCAAGAGTTCCGAAGGGATACAATCAATTGAGTTCGAAGTTCAAGAGGCAGAAACCCAGACAAATCTAGATGCCGCTGAAGAAGATTCATCCTCGTCGGATGGTCAATCGAATACGGAAGAGGAAGAAACCCCTTTAGAGGCCGAAGTAACTAATCGCGACTCGAATGCTAGTAGCTCTACTTCATTCAAAAGTGTTCTCGAAATGTCCGCTCAAAGTGGGGACGGAGACGAAGACACGGAGAGAGACACCGGAGGAACTCCAACGGAAAAGCAGCTTGTGGGCTCCGATGCCGAAGCAGATGAATCGAACGACGACGAAACGGATACAAAGAATACTTCCGATAAAGCGGAGGACAGTGAAGGGGAACAAGAATCCAGTGTAATCGAAGAAGGTCTAAGACGGATTGAATCAGAACCGATCGATAATCATCCCACTGACACTGGAGACTCGACAAATGACGGGGAAAACTCCGGCAATGTGGAAGAGATGCCTCCAACTAGTTTAACATTGGGGCTCACCGAAGAGGAACTTCACGACGAGGAGGAGGTGGGAGCGATGACCCCCCAGAGTATTGCCGCCGTCGAGGTGTTACATATGCCAGAATCTGAAACTGATAACGAAAGACCAGCAGATGCGTCAAAGGAAACCCAGAATCGCGTAACTGGGGAAGTAGGAACATCAGAGGAGTCTGATGACGATGAGGAAGTTGTCCTGGTAACGAATTGCACTTTACAGGGCACGCAAATCCATGTGTGGGAGAACGTGGTACAAGAAGAGGATGTGGATCCTACTCCGGACACGTTGAAACACGATAAAGATCTCGATAAACAAACGGATTAAACTGATTGATGGTCAAAACAGAGCCGAGCAAATCCCCAATATTTCTTTCCTTGTCCATCTATTTTTTTCCACTTTTCTTCTCCACATTTGCTGTGTCCAAGCAGTCAGTCCCCCAGGCCCCCGTCAGATATTTTTATTTTTATAGGTCTCAAAGGAATCACATATTTACAGTTTTTATGTACCCTATTGCTTGGCATGAATGGAATTTTTGAGTTGTAGCCTTGTTTATGTGCACTTTACATCGTATCATATGTATTCTAACCCACACAAAACACGATTAATTATTTGTATGTATGGCAAAGGGTTTGTATTGAATGAAAGTATCAAATAAAGATTTATTTTGTAATATATTTATTATTATTTAATTGGTTCAAGGTGTACAAATCCCCCAGAGGTCCCCCAGTGTTTGCGTTGAGTCCTGTGGGCAGCTACGTCGTACAATGTTAAATGTTTAATGTAATAAGTACAGTACATCGTATACTATTAAGTGGAATCCGGATACCATCGTCTGCGTCTGCGTTTTCGTCATTGTTTCGTGCAGTTTCCCCCTCTACATCCCTCCCCCACACACACCTACCAAGCATTTATACATACTCATACTCATACTCATCCCCCCCACGCCCAACATGCACATGCTCCCTCCCACTTTCTCACTTCCAGAGGTACGGTCTTATTTGACCCGGAAATATTCATTTCTGTGGGATCCCAGGCAGTACCTTGACGCCTGCGTCGGTGCCACCCATCGAGTGCAGCAGGTGAATGTAATACACAAGGTGGATACAGTCAGCAGGCACAACTATCCCCCCATCAACATCCACAACAACATCAACCACAATACGACCATGGAGAACAATGCGACAAGCGCCTGGGTGGATCTGCCCAGCAGTACACCGCATCGAGGTCCCATCGTTAACTCTCCGAATGCCGGGGAGACGGTTCCATTCCGGACAATCTCTCACTATGGATTTAATTGTCCACTCAATAGTGCACCCAGCATCCTGCTCCATCCAGAACACAAATCCATTTGGCAAAATGTATCTGAGCAGCGGGAAAATGTGTTCTCTTTCATTAATCTGTCGATCTTGACCAAGGAGAATCGGAAGATGCTCGATGTCCTGGCAGCTGCAGCAACAACACCAACATCGGCGTCGACAGTCAAGCAGCAGCCATTGTCTTCACCCACCTATGTCTCGGAGAAGCAGATTCGATTGGAGCCAACGCCCCCGCAGAGGAAGCAGCGCGTTTACAGTGCCACGGCGAGCAGTGGCAGAAGCTTTGATGATTCTTTGGACGAGCTCGAGTCTATGTTCGAATCCATAACTATGGCCAGCCCCCAAAGACAGCCACAGTCACAAGACTATAGTCTCTATCGCAGCTATAACTTTCTGCCGAGAGACCATGCACTGTCAGTGGACACGGACGCGAATGGAAACGGGGTGAAGCACAGCAGACGGCCCGAGGCAGAGCAGAGCATCTACCAAAACGGCGACGACAGCGGCTTGGGTAGGCGGCGGGAACGAACCACTACGAGCAATGGTTCGTCTACGCAGGAGGCCGAGGCCTATACCCCGGGCAAACATGTCAGGCTGACCTTGAGCAGCTCGCCCCTGGCTGGCGCTACATCTCCGACCCCCACGACCATTGAGGTTCTGATCAATGTGTCGCTGCGCAACGCCGAGTGCGTCCAGACGGTGCAGACGCACGAGCAAGAGTTCCGGGCCAAACTGGAGAAGGTCATCGATGAAGAGATCCACTACATCTCGCAGCAGCTAGCCACGCGACAGCGAACCGCTCAGATACTCCAAGATCAGCCAGCCCCTACTCGTGCTCCGCTGGCCACGCCCACACCGTCCCAGTTGCTGCAGCGCAGCAATTCGGCACCGGTCCTGTGCCACGCCTACAGCTATGTGGACCTGGCCGAGACCGATATGACTGGAAAGCCGTCGCCCTCAACTATTTCCGACAGTGGTGTCGGTGCCGGTGCAGCGTCCGGTTCGTCTCCATTGGTGTCCCCAGGGGAGGCTGATCTGAATACCCATCTCAGCTCATTCGAGAATATGTTGCAGAGCTTGCTGAATAATGTTATTAAAGCCCATATGCTCCACAACCAGGCCTTCATCACGGACTGTCGTGCGCGCTTTTCGCAGCTGTCCGAGGGTCTGGCCTCCTGCGGAATATCCCCCGTCAAGTCTCTCAATCATTACTAAATCATAATATTTGTGAATTTTTAAGTTTTTTTTATGTTTTATTTTTTTTTGTCTAAATTTGTTTTATTTCAAATATATTGTTTATTTACTGGATAAGTCGTAACTTAATTATTGCCCAGAACTCACTCAAACGCAATCACTATCGACGAACAGGTAACCATTTTGCATTTATCATTTATCGCCTGCTTTTGCTGTTGCACATGCACTTGTATGTTATTATATTAGTTGTTGATCCTGCGCTGCATGTCCTTTCGTTTGTTCTAACCCTAACCCAAGGTCCATAAGTGTACTAACACACCTCACTAATACACCACTCGATACATCTAATTCTTGTGACAACCACTTACATATGTACATGTTTTAGTTAGATCCAAATTTGTGTGTTTGAATTTTGTGTGCGTTTCATAGCGGTGAAAAGAGAGTCTAATGAAATTGTATAACATATTCTGTGCGCGTCCACTGAGTTACATTTGTAGGAACCGCCAACCCCCGACCATTGAAAATCGTGCTAATCATGTGTGTTTACTCTTTGCCTTTCCCCCAGGTGAAAACGTGCAAAATGGCGACCACTCGGAGGCACACTTGAGCACCTTCTCCCAAAGCAGTAAAGAGGTAAGCGATGATGACCTTAGCTTAGTAGTCGGCAAAACGAAAACGAAACTATACTCTCAATGTAAATTTATATTACAGTTCCAGGATGTGTCCACGGACGGATCGCCGAAGAAAGACAAAAAGAAGAAGAAGGGCCTGCGCACACCATCGTTTTTGAAAAAAAAGAAGGAGAAGAAGAAGGCCGAGGCCTAAGCTGATGCTGGTGCTGATCTAGAGCGGCATCCGTAGCAGCAACACCACAGCAATAGCAATCATTACACCCACCCAACAGCAAACAGCGGGTAAACGCGGGGACAAGAACAATGTGTAACCGAGGGCACTAAGAGAATAAACGATATGATGAAACGACGAAAAATAAACAATAACCAGAGCGAAGCAAGCATTGCACGAGAGAAAAGAAGAGAATAGAAGAGAAGAGGCATAAACCAGCAACAAATGAGCAGCTAAAGTTGATCAAGACGCAACTAAGAAGTAACCGAAGGCAGCAGTTCAATCAATTAGCATTCACAGCTATACATACATATATCTTCTAATATAATATAAATCTATTTTTTAATTTATACGATTATCGCAGCACACACAATCTGCAACGCAAACCACATAATTTTGTATGATAAAAAGAGACTTTACCGAAATTCTCAAATTCGCATGCAATACCCGACCCCAATCCCGACCCAACCACCCCGACAGACACGCGGGCCGCTTCGTTCTATGCGAGAAGCGGGGAAATCTTCTAGATTTATTAGCGCTTAAATATACATACTACGTAAACCACATTACATAGTAATCAAACATAACAACAACATAAGCAGAAACACTTATTAATGAAGTGCGAAAGAAACGAGACTTTTGTTTTGAAGAATTGGAAATTTTTGTGCACACATAGAAGCAGACGCAGACGCAGACGACGAGTGTGTTATTTGAGGGAGCTTGCACTCAACATAATACTTAAACGCAATATTTTTTTATAAACGCAATAAAATTGATCAAATGAAACAACACTTTGATATTCTTTACATGTGTATGTTTTGTGTTTTTTTAGTTGTGTTAGTTCATTCAAAAAAGTGAATATAATAGGTACATGTTTGTATACATGCAGCAATTGTATTAGGTTTTTATATAAATAATTATATACTGTTTATACATAAATACACACGCAACATATATATTTATAAAAACAAATAAATTATGGAGAAAATACAAAACACAAAACAGCACACTCTCATATGTATGTAAAGCCGAGCGATAAATGCAGAGGAAAGCAGAAAGAAAACCAATCGCAGAAAATTAAGAGAGTCGAGTCCCGTGAGATATACAGCATTTCTTTTGTAAGTAGATGTGCTGCATCGAAAATACATGCATATGTACGTTCGATAACTACACTCCAGAAAAGTATACATATATGACTGCCATAGCATGTAAAGCCTAAAGGCACAATTTAATCGCATTTCAAATAATAACTAGCATTAAAACTAAAGCCAATCAAATCAATCAAATGTTTCTGCTTTTCCCGCCCGCTTATCCACACAAATACACCGACACCCACACCCACAATACTAGGACACACTCGATACTCTATATACACAACACACACGAATGCATGCATTGCGGAGCCTTAGACAAAAACGACAGAATAAATATTTATGATAATTACGAGTATACATATATAAAGAAAGAGAAACTTTAAATGATATGATTGTTTGCACAACGACAGAAGCTTATTTCTAGCAACTTTTTGCGTCATCGAAGCAAAAGAGTTTGTTTTGTAGAATTCTCTCGTTAGACTTAACTTAGAAATTTGTCAATATTCTCAATCTCTGTGCAAATAATAAAAGGAAACTTAAAGAAAAAAGCAAGAAAACGCTGGACAGCTGTTTCTTAAAATTCGTTTAGATCTTAAGCAAATGCATATAATTATATATAAAATCGTATTATACAAAATGTACAACACACACACGACACACGAACAGAATAAATAAACACTTGGAAATTGTACAAAATTCGAAAATCACTTGGATATCATACAAATTTTTTGTAAACTTCTACTGCCCTCCTTTTTGTTGCTGTAAAAAGTTCATTAAGTCGAGAGCGTACTGTTCCATACGGTTTTCAACTAGGTGGCACCTCTGACCGAATATTCTTTCTTTGTTTGGTTCGACGATTGCTGACTCGGAGAAAAACAAAGCCTCAGTATCGAAATAAGAATTTAGTCAGTCAGAAAAATAAAGGGCGTCAACATGTCTCTTGTCGCAGATGAAGAGTGGGCCGAATACAAAGTAAAGTACATTCTTTAGTTACAACGCAGTATACGCAATTCGTCATTCTCGTCCATTGATTCAGGCGAAATTCAACAAGAGCTACGAGGCTGCGGAAGATCTAATGCGACGGGATCTGTACGAGAAGGCCAAGGCGAAAGTGGTCGAGCATAATCGAAAATATGATAGCGGCGAAGTAACTTGGAAAATGGCAATCAATCATTTGTCGGACGACACCGAAGAAGAATTTGCCAAGCGTTGCGGCAAGAGGACACCTCCAAAGTAAAGTATGAATTCCATGAATCTCAATGAAAGTGCATTTTACAATGGCTGCAAACGGAATATTCTCTATTTTTATAAATATTTGTATCTGTATGTTTTTACCCAACAAACAATAAATTAATCAATAAATCAGCTGTTCCACAAGTGAAAGATCTGGTCCCACATTGAAGGTAAACAGTTCATTGAATTATGTTCATTGAACTACAGTGGAATGATATGTAGTAGTCAGACTGGCGTTGACATTTTACAATTGTCATATTGCGCCTGTGTATTTTAAAATTTAAATATTATTTTACGTATACATGTATACTGTCTTTTTTGGCACATGCATTCCCGCCTATATGTAAATACGAAGCGGAAACGTACCAACAAATGAGCACGGTTCATCACCCTCACCTGATCTGAGAACCAGTTCATATTATTCATCCAGCTCCGTAACTCAAGTGCCGACGAGCGGCACACAACATTTAAAACGTAAACTTTTCCTTTCAAAATAGACATGTAACTACATGACAAATATTTTAAGAAACATCAACGCGTACGTACTAAATTTTGACTAAAGTGCCACTCTTTTGCAGAATCAAGACCACACTAGCCACCTCGAAAGCCCAGCCGCAAACATGTCCGGAATCATGCGTGTGCCATCGATTTTGGCCAAAAATGCAGTCGTCTCCATGGTAGGTAGCGCATAAACTCCTTTCGCCAGGCATCCACATCGTCGCCCACCTGTCCACCTTGTCGGACAGCGATTATACAACTAGGGAAACGGATTTTATTTGCTCGTGACGTGAAGTGAAAAAATCTTAAGAAGTTGACCAAAAAACGCGCCCCTCGTAGTTATGTAATTTCAATCAATTTTGATGGCCAGGTGTAATGGATGGCCCCACTCGGAGTTAATATCCCAGAAGGGGGCAACTGTTGATTTTGCCCCCATCTCTGGGCTGTTTTTAAGATTTTAGTGGAAAATTTGTGTTCAACGGTCGACGAGGTTATGTTACCTGCCCCGCCCCCGCTGTCGATGCTTTCGTGTTTTGTTGGTCTGCTCGAATGGCTGTGCGTGCAACAAATGCATCTAAGACATTAAATGCAATTGCAAATTGTGTATGACGGTGGCTCATTGCTATAGGACAAGCCTTGATAAGCTCAGCAAATTTCATTCAGTCACAAGAATGTCCAGAGATGCAGGGAGGCACGGCCGCGGCTAACAACTGAGCTGATTATACAATGGGAGCTGGCCATTGCTACTGATGTCTCTACAACAGTTTAATTTATCTATTGCATAAGCAACTGTCGCATTGTCACTCTATGTAGAGGCACCATCAAGTCTAGTCTCGCTTCTTGAGCATCCCAATCTTGAGGCTGTCGACGTCACCACTGTCTTCGCCTGGGAATATTCCTCAGCGGCAGCGATGGCCATGGCGTGTGCGGCTCTCAACTTATCTGTCAAGTTGTCGTTAATTTGCGATCGTTTTGCCAAAACAAAACGAATGCATCTTATCGATGTACATATGTATTTATACATTTACTGTGTATTTTTCCGTCTGCGTGGGGCGTATTAGCCAAGGGGTGCCGGACACTGCTGATAAGATATAGCTCCTTGCTAAGGGATCTTCCAGAGAATCGCAAGAGCCTGTAGTTTAAAGCGCTTACGTAATTATTTTAGCGAATTGAAATAGCGTTGAAATATTCTTAAGTGAAAGGTGCAAATAATGACTAAATGACGGATCCGTTGTGCAAAAACCTGATTTCGCAACGGTTTGGTCTCATCACAGCGCTGCGGGCGGCCCGTTCAAACAAACCCCTTGTAAACAGCAATCAACTAGCTCTGATCCCATCTCTCTCTCTTTCAGCAGCGCGCAGCTGCAATTGCAGGGCAACGTAGTTATCACATAACGCACGGTCGCCAGCAGGCGACGGCAGCTAATCCGGATAAGATATCGAAGCAGTATCCTGTCGTCGATCATGCCTACGATGCAGTTGTGGTGGGAGCCGGCGGTGCTGGTCTCCGGGCCGCTTTTGGCCTTGTCGCCGAGGGATTCCGCACGGCGGTGATCACCAAATTGTTCCCCACCCGCTCGCACACGATTGCCGCGCAGGGCGGCATCAATGCGGCGCTGGGCAATATGGAGGAGGACGACTGGAAGTGGCACATGTACGACACAGTCAAGGGATCCGACTGGCTGGGCGATCAGGATGCTATACACTACATGACCCGGGAGGCACCCAAGGCTGTCATCGAGCTGGAGAACTACGGCATGCCCTTCTCCCGCACACAAGACGGAAAAATCTACCAGCGCGCCTTCGGTGGCCAGAGCTTGAAATTCGGCAAGGGCGGACAGGCGCATAGATGTTGTGCTGTGGCGGATCGTACCGGGCACTCCCTGTTGCACACCCTCTACGGACAGTCGCTCAGTTACGATTGCAACTACTTTGTGGAGTACTTTGCCCTGGATCTGATCTTCGAGGATGGCGAGTGCCGGGGCGTGTTGGCCCTTAACCTGGAGGATGGTACTCTGCACCGTTTCCGAGCCCAGAACACCGTCATTGCCACTGGCGGCTATGGCCGTGCCTTTTTCTCCTGCACCTCTGCCCACACCTGCACTGGCGACGGCACTGCTATGGTCGCTCGACAGGGCCTCCCCTCTCAAGACTTGGAGTTTGTTCAGTTCCACCCCACTGGCATCTATGGAGCCGGCTGCCTCATTACCGAGGGCTGCCGCGGCGAGGGTGGCTACCTGATCAATGCCAAGGGCGAACGTTTCATGGAGCGGTATGCTCCGGTGGCGAAGGATCTCGCCTCTCGGGACGTCGTGTCGCGTTCAATGACCATCGAGATCATGGAGGGTCGTGGTGTTGGCCCCGACAAGGATCACGTTTACCTGCAGCTGCACCATTTGCCACCCAAGCAGCTGGCCGAGCGACTACCCGGCATCTCAGAGACTGCTATGATTTTTGCCGGCGTAGATGTAACACGCGAGCCAATCCCCGTCTTACCCACGGTGCACTACAACATGGGTGGTGTGCCAACCAACTATCGCGGCCAGGTGATCACCGTTGACAAGGACGGCAAGGATATCATTGTCCCCGGCCTCTACGCTGCAGGGGAGGCAGCCTCCAGCTCCGTTCACGGTGCCAATCGTCTGGGTGCCAACTCTCTGCTGGATCTGGTTGTTTTCGGACGTGCCTGCGCCAAGACCATTGCCGAGGAGAATAAGCCCGGCGCAGCTGCTCCCACTCTCAAGGATACAGCTGGCGAGGCCTCTGTGGCTAACTTGGATAAGCTGCGCTTTGCCAACGGCCAGATCACCACTGCCGATCTGCGCCTGAAGATGCAGAAGACCATGCAGCATCATGCTGCTGTGTTCCGCGACGGGCCCATCCTCAAGGAGGGTGTGAGCAAAATGCAGGAGATCTACAAGCAATTCAAGGACGTTAAGGTTGTGGACAAGTGAGTGCGCGAACATTTGAATTTTAGTTGAGATTTATTTAATCTGAAATCATTTTTAGGTCCCTAGTCTGGAACTCGGATTTGGTCGAGACGCTGGAGCTGCAGAATCTGTTGGCCAATGCCCAAATGACCATTGTGGGAGCCGAGGCGCGTAAGGAGTCGCGTGGTGCTCACGCCCGTGAAGACTTCAAGATCAGGCTTGACGAATATGTAAGTTGATTTGGGGCCACAAGAAAGCCGGCACTGGCTCTTATTGTATGTTTCTTCGTGCAGGATTACAGCAAGCCCGTCGAGGGACAGGAGAAGGTGCCCTTTGAGAAGCACTGGCGCAAGCACACGCTCGCCTGGGTGTGCAACGACAATGGAGATGTTCAGTTGGATTACAGGAACGTAATCGATACCACGCTGGACAACGAGGTGTCAACGGTGCCGCCAGCGATCCGCTCCTACTAAATTGATATGATTAGATGGAGGCTACCCGCATACACATAAAACACCACAGCCAACACACACCACACACACGGATGTCTACTTAAGGGGTCGCAACCTGAGGAAAGGAAAGATATTTAGAGTCGAGTCGCAAATTTTGTACTATTTCCGGGAAACTTTGCACCCCAACGTCTTGCGACAGAATGTAAAGCCAGTTATCCCATATGCATCCTACATATATATATTCTCTATATATCCTATGTTGCTCCTGTTTCTATCTATTTTCTGTACGCCCTGTATGCCCTCCCTCCACCTGATGATTACTTTTTTTCGGTTGTTTATATACAATTTACAATTTTACATTAGCAAAATGTGTGTGATGGCTTTACTGAGAGACGATTGCGACGATAAGAACAGAACGAAGCTTTGCTGTGCTTTGCCTAGCAATAAGAAAAAGAAAAAAAAATCCAACAAACATTTTCTAGTATTTGTTAAACTTATTAAATTATTGAAACAAAAAAATGTAAAAATCACAAAAAAACCAAAATCTGAACTATTTGCTGTATAGCAAATAAAGTGAATGAAAATGAGTTTTGGTCAAACGATAATTTTAGCCGCGGAATATATGAATTTGATTCGGCTTAACATTTAGACTCTTCAAAACATCTTCGGCAGCAGTGTTGAAGGAGGTTGGTCCACAAATCGCCGCATAAGTACACCTGTCCGGCTGCTTTTCCTTGAACAAAGAAGACAGCAGCTCCGACGATATTCGTTGCGGCTGCTCCTCTGCCTGGGACAGTATGTGGGTGCAGATGAAGCGCTCGTCCTGCGTTTGCAGATTCTGCAGTTTGTCCCTCAGCCAGATGTCCGCTTCAGTTTTGTTGAAGTAGTACAGGTGCAGGGATTCGCTGTGGATCAAATACAGTTTGTTAGTGTACGGATTGGAAAGACTTTTGATTTCCTTGTAAACTTACATGCGATTTGTGTTCCGCTTTAGTAGATGGGGTATTATACTTAAAATAGGTGTCAGACCGCTCCCAGATGCCAGTAGAAGGATGTTCCGATTTGCGGTTATGTCTGAGAGCATAAAACCGCCGCGAGGCGCGCTTAAATGTAACCGACAGCCTGGCTGCAGTTGGTGCAAGTGACTAGATACAGGTCCATTAGTATATCGCTTAATCAGAAAGTGCAGGCTCACAGAACTCGCCAGGGAGTTCGTTTCGGAGGGCAAATAACTGTGATCGACTGGCGTATAGCTCCGCTGGATTTCAACCCCATTCACAGGGACTTGTATGTTCACATGATGGCCCACTGGTAGTACCATCAATACCTCCATCTGAACGCTCTGTAAGCTCAGCTCAAAAGAGTCGTGATTGAAATCGTTAGAGGCAAGCACTTCATATTCATACATTTCCTCTTGTATGTCAAGAGAATCCAGTTTGCGTGACGTGTGCGTACCGTAAGAACTCCAAGGAGCTGGCTCTTCTTTGGCCAAGACCAGCTCGATCTTTCCAGTCTCAGTCCCGACTCGCACGGCCTTCGGTGGCCACTCCACCTTCCCTGCTAGCTGTAAGTCAAACGTGTGCCATCTGCTCTCCAGGAAAACACGCGCCACCAGCTGCTGCGGATCTTTTCTTCTCACAATCAGTCCGGGATTGGAGAAGCTTCGAGTGTAAAAGAACAGGGTAAGCTCGCTTCTTTGTTGGATCCAATCGAAGCGAGGAACAATCTCTACTGGCTTTGACTCCCGTGTGTCTGTTTTGAGGGAATCAGTCTCCGTCAAAGGTCCAGGGGCATTCTCCTTTAACGGCCCTACGTAACATTTTCCCAGCAGCTGTGGATAATTGACCCAGGCATGAACCTTGTCAAACAATGTAGTAGCATCTTGGCCAACTCCACGCATTAGCTCGTCCACTCCGCCCGGATGAAAATCCATGTATCGAGTAACATTAAAGACTCTGCCACGAATGGCCATCCAGGCATCAGTAACCTTGTTGTGCAGAGCTAATTCGCTTCTGGTAACTGGAACCACCCGTCCTCCGGTCCCCGATAGATCTGCCCCAGAATTGCACAGACGTATCCAGCTCATCAGTGAGTAGCCTGGCTTTAGTGCACATTTGTTCCGCGGGTTGCCTGTCGCTGAGCCCGAGCAATCGGCATTGGATTTGAGCTTTTGCGGCGCTGTGGTGGGCAGTTGAAGGCCAGCAGAGGCTCTCGGTAAAGGCACTCCCTGTGGCGGCCCAAGCAGCGTATTGCTGGTAGCGGATTTGTGCGATAAATCAGACATAATCTGTTAAATGGCTTGGAATTGAAAATCACAACAATACTCTGGTATAAACAGCTGTTGCGTGCAACTAGTTAAATGGTTCATATTTCGGAATCATAGCATAATCGTTGAATCGATATTTTTGTGCGATAAGCTTATCGGCGTTTTATTTCAAAATAGAAATCAAAACTATGATCAAAATACAGTTTAGACATATCTTATCTGTCTCCTTTCTTGTCTCATTGATCGGCAACGCCAATGAAATGAAAACAATGTTGCTTTTTTTCTCGATAGTGAGCAAAATGGCATCGATAGTGCACCAAAAACAAACAAAGTCGATATATGGCTGGCCTCTCAGCACTAGCGGAACATCGATTGCTGTTTGTTTTTGTCACGAGCTACCGAGCTTTAAAATTCGCTGTATTTTAAATAAACTTTGACCGTGCAACCGAGCGAAAGGAAATAATCTTCCCTTTGAAGTACGCTAGTATTTAACCAGCAAAATATCACACAGAGCCCATTGCTTTTTCTTCGCGGGTACATTATAGTGTTTGCTATTTATCGACGCGCAATAGTGCGCAGTGTGTATCTGTGTGTACTTTATCTTTTTTGTGCATTTGTCCAACTGCGAAGTTAATTTAGTTTGCACATTCATTGCACATTGCAGCATTCATTGCTAACCGCTTTTGCTGTGAACAGGTTCCAAAGTATTATTAAACGAAAAAACTACAATTGCTGAGTGTGTTGTGTGCATCTCTGATCGAATGAACATGAATTATACATATTCAATTGAAATCCGTCTGTATAGTTTGGTTCTTCTGACGTCAACCTCTACTCCTGGGTTTCGTTTGTGGTTTTTTTCCCGCTCCCGAGACTAGAAATGAACTCTCGGAAAATGAAACTTGATGAATTTTATTTATAATCCAAACAAAAGATCTGGGAAGAGAAATGATGTCATTGCCAGTACGCAGTTCGGATTGTTGTCCTGCATATGTACATATGAAAACCCCCTTTTCGTACCACGTTACACTCCCACCCCCTACAGATATGTACATATGTATATGTATGCTGCAAAATGAGGCCGTATTTGCAAATCAATAGCTATCCTATTCTATACTATAGCTTGGGGTAATGGGCGCGGATAGCAACAGGTCTTGTTCGTGCCAGACTCGTGTTCGTAAATCAGAATAGAAGGTTTGTGGGGCTGCTGTGTCAAGAGCCCCTCGAACTTGTGCTGGGACTTTGTCGCCTGCTATTTGTGAAATCATTTGTAGCCTATCTTATCCAGATTGTCCACTTACAGGCATGCTATTGTGCGATTATCGTTGTGCATCACTGCCCACCAAAATATTAAAAACTTTCCCCTATAGCCTCTACCACGTATTGATTCCCAGCCCCCTAACTGAAAGTATTTATCACGTTACAGTGGCCATTCGAATGTCTGGAAATTCATTTAGCCGACCTACAAGCTGATAGCCTGCTCTCGACATCCAAAAACCAATGCGATAAGCAGTCGGAAAGTTTAATTCCATTCCTGGTAATCACAGACCAGACTGTTGCTGTACAGACTAGTTGCTGTACGAGTATTGCTATTATTACTTTTATCGCGTCTAGGCAGGCGGCTTTGACCTGATGTATGACTCATTTGGGTATACATTTTTCCCTGTTCTCAGAGCGCTGAATGCTGATAAGTTTTTATGTATTGCCTCAGCTTTTAAGCAAAATAGTTAAAGTTTATAAGCATTGGTACATATATGGGTTATTGGGGATCGGTTCTTTACTCCACTGAGATATGGGGGGTCCCCCTTATCTACCGATACTTGAGGCATCGTAAATGCTGTCCCAACCTAATTCGGCTGAATACAACATTACTGATAAGATATTAAATCACATCTGTCGAAAATAACGCGAATAACAAGCCGAGCCGTTTAGGGGTATACTCAAATTACGACCAAATAAGTTGACTTTCGATATCCCTAGGACTCTTCTACATTTCCCTAATTTTCGGTCTATTTATCAGCTGGTTTTTTTTCCCCAATTGTTTGTAAACATTTGCAATTATAATGTGAAATATGTCCGTTTCTGTTTATTCGCTACTCCCGTGTTTGTATTTTTGTATAGTATTCTGGAGTGCAAAGGTGGACATGAGTCAGCGAGCCCCAACTGTGGAGACGTGGCTCGGCCAAAGCTATCAGATTATAGCCGCTCGGAATCCAAATCGATTGCCTACAGCCTGAGCCAATCAGCCAGCAAAGGAATGAAGTTTCAGCTTCAGCTGAATAAACTAGATAAATTTAAAGTAAATTTACAGAAAAAGTATTAATGGAATGATTCAAAATAGAGTGTGTGTATATGGGGAATTTTTCAAAGTAATTTTTTTACTACGTTCTCCTTCTCAATGTGGGTGTGGGTAGCCGCTATTGGGGCATAATTGGGAACTATTATCTTATTTTTTCCCCCCGTAATTATTGATTTACCACTGAAGGCTACAATATTATGTATATTTTGAGCCACATACAATTTATTTCAGACAGAAATACGTATTTTCCTAATATTGCTGATAGATGGATTGAAAAATATGTATTCTTTAAAAATAATTGATACACATTTGTAATTTTTTGACTTGTCGAAATCTTCCAGATCCACAACACATGGCCCAAAACCAAGACACAGACGCGATCATCAGCCATTCCCAGTAAAAAATAAAAAGCCACATTCCATCAACGCAAGATGGCGCAGCACGTGCCCTTGTCACGCGTCATAGGTTCCTATATCTTTGGTATACTGCAGGCCTGCATTCGTTTCCTTTTCCGCCTGATCTATGGCGCGAAGGGCGAGAGCATGCCACCCATAACGGACCCCATTCTGCTCGAATCGGCATCGTCGCTTGCAAGAAAGATACGCAACCAGGAAGTGAGTAGATCTTGATATAGATACACTAGCCATCAGTATAATAACCTCTCATGTCATCGAATAGCTTAGCAGCGTTCAGGTAATGGAGTCGTTCATACGCCGCATCAAGGAGGTGAATCCCATATTGAATTGTGTGGTGGACGAGCGATACGACCAGGCTCTCCAAGAGGCAGCCGATGCAGATAAGCTGATCAAGTCCGGTCAGCACACCGTGGAGGAATTGGCCAAGCAGAAGCCCTTTCTGGGTGTACCCATCACCACAAAAGACTGCATATCGGTCAAGGGTGAGGTCGAACTAAACTAAAACTGAACTAAAACAGTTATAAATTAAAGTTTACCTGTGTTCCAGGTATGCTCCACACGGCTGGCTTGTATGATCGACGAGAGGTGCGCGGCTCTAAGGATGCGGATGCCATGGCGTTGATGCGCAAGGCGGGCGCCATTCCCATTGCTTTGACCAACGTCTCCGAGGTGTGCATGTGGTGGGAGAGCAACAACACGGTGCATGGACGGACGCGTAATGCGTATGATACAAATCGTATTGTCGGCGGCTCCAGTGGCGGTGAGGGCTGCATACAGTCGGCGGCTGCCTCGGCCTTTGGGCTTGGCTCTGACATTGGTGGCTCCATTCGCATGCCGGCCTTTTTCAACGGCATCTTCGGACATAAGCCAAGCAAGCTGGTGGTTTCCAATGTGGGCCAATTCCCTGCACCTTTCAGCGACGAGCAGAACTCTTTCTTGGGGCTGGGCCCAATGTCGCGCTTTGCGGAGGACCTGCGCCCAATGCTTAGAATCATGTCTGGCGAAAAGGCCGATCTGCTGAATCTCGACAAGGAAGTGGATCTAAGCAAGATGAAGTTCTTCTATCAGGAGTCAGATGGCGGTGCCCGCCTAGTGTCTTCAGTAGACCCCGATCTACAAAAGGTATTAGTGTATAATAATAATTTACATACTGATTATTCAATATTTTCACTGCAGGCCATGCAACGAGTTGTGCGGCACCTGAGCGAGAAGTTTGGCAGCAAGCAGGTGGAGCGCATCCAGCTGCCGCTATTTCGCCAATCGGCTGCCATTTGGTTTGCCAACATGCGGGACGACAGTGGACACGGCTTCGCCTACCAACTGGGCAATTTGGAGCATGACATCAACACCTATTGGGAGCTTTTCAAATGGCTGTTTGGGGCTTCCAAGCACACGTTCATTGGCTTGTCAACAGCGATCATGGACAGTGCTCAGTGCAAGCACGGTTCGCCGAAATATGATCACATGGTCCGTAAGCGAAATGATTTGCGGGCCGAGCTGCAGCGTCTTCTTGGCGACAATGGAGTGCTGATCTATCCCACACACCCCACCGTGGCGCCCTATCATAATGAGCCTGTGACGCGACCCCTTAACTTTGCCTACACGGGCATTGTGAATGTTCTTGGCTTCCCAGCCACGGCTGTTCCGTTGGGAAAGGGCAGTGAAGGATTGCCCCTCGGTGTTCAGGTCATTGCCAACTTTAACGAGGATCGTCTCTGCCTGGCTGTTGCCGAGGAGCTGGAGCGAGCCTTTGGTGGCTGGACGCGACCCCAAGTCAGGGTGTAAAGCGTACAAGAAGCCTAGTTAGTAGAAGGGGGGCACTCCACTTCTCATCTGTCCCCGCCCCCACCCTCTGTAACACAAACAAACCCTCCCGCCCGGCGGTATCGACGTATGTCGAACTTGCGGCCTTTGACCTCAGAAATGTATTAATTGTATGGGTGTACTACAGTGCCTCCTTATATCAGTTTTAGATGTGGTTTTATATATTTCATAGATGTTTTTAATAATTAATAATATCAATTACTGGGTCTCGTGCACTGCCTGGGAGGCCGTGCATTCTCCTTATGTTTCTACAATGCATTTATGTATAATAAATAATTGCAACATGAGATAACTCGTTTACTTTCAAAACGAATGACGGCATGGAACGTCTTGTCTGGTTCCGCTTCTAAACTAAATAAACAAATATGATTACACTGTTAAATTTGATTTGATATCGATTGCGCGTAAACAAATCTTTATTTGTAAGTTAATCCTTTTCACACATATCGAGTGCGCCTCCTTCTGTGGGGTGTGTTATTTCACTACCGTGCCTGGCACTGGCTTCCACATAAACATTTTCTAAATGTCTTCGTGGAATTAAATCAAAATTAAAATTAATTCATGGGTATCGTATTCACATGTTTGCGTACCTCTCTCGCCTTTTTCAGGTTGTATGTGTGTGTGTGTGTGTGTGTGTGTGTCAGTATGAATGTATAGCGGTTTTCTGTAAATGATACATTTACAATATTCATTCGATAACTTAAAACTAGCAAATGGAGGAAAGAAACGACGTCTAGTCCTTGCCGCCCAGCGACAAGATCAGCTTGAGCAGTTCCGTGCGTTTGGCTTTAACGGTGTCCACCTGCAGCGGCGGTAGTCCATCAATCACCTCATACCTATTCAGATAGTCGGCAATGTGGTCGGTCATACAAATGACGTGTATGCCGCAGTCGTAGCCGTTGGCCTGTTGCAGGCAGCGCATTGGACGAAACTTGGCAGAGCGCATGTCCATAGTTTCCTTCACCTTGTTCATCAGCTCCACAGAGTTGCTAGTGTTGTTGTTTCCGTACGAGTCAAAGTGATAGAACGTCTTCTCCGGTCGCGAGAAGACCAGCAACGACCAGTGCGTGCCACCGGCCTCGAAGCTCATGTTATCATTCAAGGCGAAGAATATAAATGGCTTCCTAGTGGCCTTGTTCTGATCCATGAGTTGCTCCAGCTCCTGGTCGTCCATGTACTTCATGCATTGGGTCACCTCGGGGGCTATGAAGACGATATCGTCGTTTGTCTTGTACTTCACGTGCGTCAGGTACTCGTAGTAGAAGCTCAAAATCTGGTCGTTCAGCCAGCGGGGCCCATGCAGCAGCTGCACGTCGGACATCCGCAGACACGAGTCGTGGAAGCTCAGTGAGATCGGATCCGCCTTCGAGTTGGCGCTCATCTTGGAGTGATGGTTGTTGTTGTATCTATTTGGGGTGCCGCTCTTTCCACCGACGCGTCTCGAAGCCCCTGTTTGATTCGAACTCTGGTTCTGGCGTGTATGTTGCCTGCAAGAAATTGTATTTCTGAAATTATATGCTCCGCATTTAAAATTTCGAACTAATCTAGCACCTTAAAATTTTTCTATCTTGGGGCAGCATGTTTCTAACTTATTTTAAATAATATATTTGTTTTGAAAAGTCAAAATTGTCCACGAACAATCCCCACGCACAGCTTGTGCGTTTCAAAGTCGGCGTTCAAATATTTTCCTTGATTTCCTTTTGCTTTCGTCTTCGTATTGCCGTACTGCTCGCCGGCCGGCAAATTTTGTTGTTGTGACTTTTGTTGCAAACGCCATGTTGCTTAATTATCTGTGTCGCGTCGCCTTACAACACAGCTTCAGGGTGCAGTGAGAAAAAAGCAGCACAGCTCAGATTTTTAAATGTTTAAACGTTAATTTGAACATTTAATTTGTTTTGTGTACGGGTGCGAATACGCGAAGCACAACAAAGGCTGATAATAGCGGTTCTTGGTATGGGATTCATTGCGTCACACTTACCAGAAAAAATGGCTGCGCTGCCCCTTCGAACTTTATACCTCCGAATAAATTTACTAGTCGCTATAATTAAAGATTCCTTGCGTATTATCATTTATTTGGGTATGACAGCAACAATACTCGTGGACTTAATATCTTTTTATAAATTTTTAAACACTGCTCAATATTATATTGGATGAACTGATGTTAACTTTATCAATCTGTCTGCTTTTGGGGCTAATTTTTCTTTGTTGATGGGGGATGGGGGCGAAAAGGGGAGCACGCCGCATCTAGCCTGGCAACGCTGGCGCCCCACCAGTATTGGTAAAGGAGAGCGGAATAATGTTAAAATGCATATTATTTTCTAAATGTAAAAAATAATAAATAGTAATGGCTAAAAACTGAAAAAAAAACAATTTTGAGTTACTTTGGCTTTGGCAAAGAAGTTATAATATTATGAAACGAAACTATTCGAAATAAAATAAAGTGTTCGGTGTTTTCATTTAACCCTTTACCTGCCGCTCTGTAACGGCTTTAACGGCAAAGTAGTTGACAGTGACAACAAACATTTTTACTTGTGCAAAAACCACCAATACATGTAGCCCGTTTTGGAAACTTTTTTATTGTTTTTACCAAATCGTATTAATGTTTTCATCTGCTTGTTACTTCATATAAAGTTTCCCAATAAAGAATACATTTGGTATGTAAATTACAATTTTCTTTGCACTTAACTTGCGAACCTGTATAGAAAAGTTGCTGTTGGAAAAGTCTCCTCTTTCCTCTTTACTTAACAAAAAGAATTATTGCGACATCCTTCACCAGCTTTGCGCTAAAATACATCTTAATCGGTTAACAGATAAAACACAGGAAAATAAGATTTAAAGGAAAAAAAAGAAAACCCAACTCCGTGACAATGCATATTTGCAGCATTGCCGTGACCAGGATTCGAACCTGGGTTACCACGGCCACAACGTGGGGTCCTAACCACTAGACGATCACGGCTATGTCGGGTTGTTGGAAGGTCGCGGCCAAAAACGAAACGTTATCGACCAACATTTTATTGATTGTTGTTTACAATTGGAGTTCAAGTGCAGTTTACTTTATTAATATGTAATAATATTACAATTAAATAATTTTTCCAACATGTTTACCAGTTAATTTTAAAATAGCACTGCTCTACAATAGTTAGGACACATAAATTAAACCCATGTCATGTTTAATTTATATTTCCTATTTTTCGAATTGTATTAAGCCCCAAATCATTGGGGCATTAGCGCCAAATTTAAAACAAGAAGTGTTTGGTAATTTTTACGCATTTATACTGCCATTGCTCAGCACTCAAAAGCTGCATTCCTAAAACGCCAGTGTGAGTGTTTTTGGGGGCCTGAATCTTTCCAATTTCTCCGCAACAAATAATGGGATATTTCATCATTTATAAACTAAATTTAATTTTTAAAGAATAAAGACTATATCTCCATACGAAGGTTATTTGAATTTTCAATCTTTAAAATCGTACTTTTAATAATTCGTCAGTATATTTACGGTATTTGTTGACACTGTGACGTATATTTCGGTATATTTCTGAGAAGTCGGACCGTATAACTTATCGACTGTTTCTCGGCCCACCAACAATTGTAAACAATCTGAAATTAAATGTTCAATTCCATTGAAATAACAGATTCTGACGAAGAGCCCAATTTCGTCGTGGATGCAATAGAGACAAAATGTTCTGGAACTCGGCGGCCATCAGGCGAATCAAAAGAAAGTGCAGTAATTGAAATTACTCCAAAAAAAGCAAAACCGGCGTTTTTGGCAAAGGGCGCATCAACGTCGCCATCTTCCTCGGAGAAAACAACCACATCCACTGGCACAGGAACAGACGTCAACGATAAATCCAATGCCAAAGGCCCAGGACGACAAAGGTCTCGAAAGAGCCAGCATCAAACCCTTCGTATGAGCCCCGCAGACATACAATTCGAGACCATTGCTTTGGAGGATGAAGAAACACGAAGAGCCAATAAGATGGCCAGCGTAAAGACAGATGAACCACAGCTACAGGGAAATGTGGTGGACGCCATTGACAATATGATAAATGGCCACGAAATGCAGGCGCTTATCAAACGCATTGCCAGGGAGCGCGTACGCTGTAACTTTTTGCTGGCCACCTATCAATTGCCCGACATGAATTTCGCGCTGAACACTCACATTGATACACTACGTTATCAATTTCGGGAACGTCTTAGGCAGCGGAACGAACGGAATTTATTAAATGCAGCGCCAACTTCTCTTCCTACCGTACCGACTACATCTCGCCCTAACTTAGCAACAACCGTCAATCCCACTAAAGGGACGACCAGCAAGGGAATTGTCAGAGCCAGACAGCCCCAGTCGTAGCCCATAGAAGTTTATACTATTATTGAATAAAAATAAAATTCACCCCGCTTCCAGTACTTCCTCATTGTTAACCAAGATTAAATATTTCGATTTCTGTGATTTGACTTTGATTTCCTGCCACATGCCACGCTTGTGAAAACAGCGTTTTGGCCGTCGGCTTCCAACAACCCGGCGTAGCCGTGATCGTCTAGTGGTTAGGACCCCACGTTGTGGCCGTGGTAACCCAGGTTCGAATCCTGGTCACGGCAATGCTGCAAATATGCATTGTCACGGAGTTGGGTTTTCTTTTTTATTTCTCTTTTATTCACCTAATACCTCAGCTACGATAAAATCTTTTCGCAAATACAGTCGATCTTCCATATAGCGAATCTCAAGGGGACGAAAACAAGTTCGTTATACGGAAAATTCGTAATATATTTACATTTGATTGTTCCACTTTTCCTTATCAACAAAAACTTTAAGGATGTTCAGGGAAGCAAATACCTTTGTTTAATTTATTCAACTATCCTACACTTGCCTCAAACTTTTTTGCCTTGTTTCTGATATGGATGGAAATAAATTCATTGTACGGAAGCTCGTAATAGTTCTACAGTTCGACTGTAGTGGATAATGAAGGAAAAAACTAAAATGTGAGTAAATGAAAGGCACTCGACCGTGAAAAGTGAAAGGAAATGTTTGCAGATCATGAAAGTCTGAATTATGTTTTGCCGCTACCAAAAACATTCTTTTGTTTTTACTGTGAAGATAAATTTAAATCTGTAAAATAAAAAAAATAACGCAGTGTTTGTTGCAATTTTGAGAATTAATCGACAGAAGCTACCGTCGCCATCTATGACTCGATTTGCAGATTATATCAGGAAAATATTGAGAGAACGCATAGCTGGTTTTGGGCATTTTCTTGATATAGGTGTTTTGGCTGGCACAATCCTACAACCTAACGTAGCCGTGATCGTCTAGTGGTTAGGACCCCACGTTGTGGCCGTGGTAACCCAGGTTCGAATCCTGGTCACGGCAATGCTGCAATATGCATTGTCACGGAGTTTGGTCTTTCTTTTTGTCAGAATAATTTATAATTCTTTTTTGTTGTTCTCTATTTGAGCTCAGTATAGAAACATTCCATTGAAAGCAATACGGTTTTTCACCAAATAAAGTTCAATTTGGACTCTGGATTGACAACTTAATTTCAAATTATTAATGAATTTGCATTATCTTTGAGTGTAACCGAACAGCTTGCGTTCCCGGACGCCGAGTTCCAACAGCCCGAGGTAGCCGTGATCGTCTAGTGGTTAGGACCCCACGTTGTGGCCGTGGTAACCCAGGTTCGAATCCTGGTCACGGCAATGCTGCATTACGCATTGTCACGGATTGGGCTTTTCTTTTGTTTCCGCCGCCACCTTTCCATATATTTACCTTTAAAAGTTTCGTGATCATTTCAGTATACGGAATGAAAACAACCGATAATTCGCATATGCATATTATAATTTGTTGTATATTTAAATTTTGATTATTTACAGTTGCCTCTTTGCATAACATATCGTACTCGTACAGAAGATATAATTAGTTAAATATTGATAAATTAAACTAATTGCATTGCTAAAGCTTTTAAGGGATTTCTTCTTAAAATAGCGGTTAAACAATTGTCGATTCTCTGGATGTGATTTAGTACATATAGTTAATTAGATAATAAACACGCGCACAGGCGGAATGTGTTCTCACTATGGTTTGGGGGGAGGAAGGAGAAAAAGGAGGCATAACAATAAACAAATTGACACAATCTTTGTATTACTACGAAGGTTTCTTTCCATTAAAACACAAGACATAAACAAATAATTCCGAAGGGACTTGCAATCATGTTTCAAACGCAGTTTACTGCTGGCCATAGAGCAGCTCAGAGCCAGGCGGTATACTGCTAGGATCAACGCTCGCGTTAAAATAGTTGGCTGGAGTCCCCGCAGCGGGAAAGGGGACAGCCACACCTTGGCCGGGCTGCTGATGTTGCTGCTGCTGGGAATTGTGCTGGAGCGTTAGGTTATAGGGATTCTGGACATATTCCTGATAAATATCCGCCGCTGGTCCAACACCGTCGCCAGCTAATGGCGGGGCCTCGTAAACAGGGGCAAAGCTATGAACAATCGATGACTGCGGCATCTTAGGCAGCGAGGGATACGCGTTGCCGGCCAGCAGGTGACTGATTGGCACATTAATGGCGGGATCGGTGGACTGAGCTGGCTGATGTTGGTGTTGGTACGCCTGATATTGCTGATAGTATTGCTGGTAGAGCAACTGTTGTTGCTTAGACTGATCTTCAAGCGCTTCCGATGGAGCGGGCAACTCAATGGCATAACTATTATACGTATTGTTGGAGGTGATGTTTAACTGCTGCACAACCGGTATTGAAGCAGCGTGGGTTGGCTCCACTGCTTCCTGGGAGCCGTGCACCGCTGCAGCAGTAGCTTCATTCACAAGATCCGGCAGCATTGGGATGGGCTGAGAATCCACCGTAGCCGGCTGCTGGGGGGCCAACATTAGGGGCTGTATAATGGATTGTAGAATGACTCATTAACCGATTGACTATAAATTGGGATGGGCTGAGGTTGAGCTTACCTGAGCAAAGACGAAACTGGGTGCCTGCTGCAGAGCATCTGCCATGGGAGGCTGCAGTATAATGCTCCGCCTTGGAGATTCTACTGGGGATGCCGTGGCCGCACACACAGCCGTCTCTGTGGCCTGAAGCTGTGGCTGCAGCTGGGTGGGCTGTTGTTGCAAATGCTGTTTGGGCAAGATTGGTTGGGCAAGTGGCGGCACCTCTTGTTGTGTATTGGGATCACCAGATGGTGCAACAGGTGCAACCGCAGATGGAGTGTTGGTTAGTGTGTGGGAGCGTTTGCCTGAAAGGTGGAGGATATTTTCATTTGATAACTAAGTACATATGTAATTCTATCAAAATATAATGAAAGGAACGCAACACGAAGCTCAAACGAAGTGGGGAAAAGGTTCAATGCTCAATTCTTCTTTCCCAGTCCCTTGAGCATCTTTAACTTGGATTTGAAGCTAGACCAGGGCTTCGGTAGTTTCCGCTGTTTGGGTTTGGTTGACTCTTTAAGGGTATCATATTTGCCAGTGGCCGCAAAAGCGACACGAAGCCCATTGCTACACAGAGGCAATGTCAACGATTGCTGGCCAGCAAAGAATTGAGACTCGTATAAAATTTTTGTAAAGTCCAGCGATATTGCTGATGAAAGCAGATCTGATGGCAGGGTCAAAAGTTAAGCGGGTTTAAAAATGGCCGCCTCACGCACCTTCGTCACGGAAGAGTTCCTCCTTCAGATTGGGCAAAAATTCCCCGATCCGTCGCCAGGTGAGCTCCCACAGCGCCTGATGCAGGCTGCCATCTTGGTTGTGGAACACACGGACCGAATGCATAACCAGCAGCATGTTCTTCAGTATCTCCTGCATCTGCTCCGACAAAGTGTCCGATCCGACCTTCATGAATCTCTCTATGTAGTCCAGTATGTCTAGCCAAAGTTCGTTGAAAGCGGCCCCCAGCTCGATGAGAGTGGTGAGGTGCTGCAGGAATACCTTGGACATAATGGTGGCGGTCCGAATGCGTGACTCTTCCAGGAGCGCTGCATCCAGCTGCCCTGAAGCGCTGCTCTCTGGCAGCAACTCGTTCAGTAGCGGGAATAGTACCTGAACAAAGCAGGAACACCACTCTGCTCCAGAAAGCGTTTGTAGATCGTGCACTAGCAAAGCCCTTTGCTGAAGACACGATATGGCATGGGTGCGCACTTCACGCCGCCGATCCATTGCCAATCTGGCTATGCCCTGCAGCAGCGGGCACCATCCTGGTGTCCACAAAGCCGCCGACTGAGGAACAGTACAGCCTTCCTCCGCCCACCATCGGAAGATCTGAGCTGTTCGCGTATACAGAGTGTACATCAGGTCCAGCAATTGAATGGACAACTGCTCGTATCGCTGGGCCAGGTCTTCCTGTTCGGCCGAATTCACGGGAAGATTGTCGGCAGCGTCGCCCGTCAGTAGACTCAGGTTGCTGCTCGAGCCGGACGAGGCCACACCTGGCTTACGATCGCTTCGCTTCTTAGCACTCCTTTGCTTTCCTGCCGCTTCCAACTTGCGTCGCTGACGAATCCCTCCATCCCGACAGGCCTCTACAAAGATACGAATGCAGCGAACGCAGGCCTCAAAGTTATAGGGCGTGATGTGGGCCACACTCCTCACAATGAAAGACAGCGAATCCCAGCACTTGAACAAGGCAAATGGCGCATGATCCAGAAGCTGGCAATTGTAGACTAGGCTACTTGAAAAACTTGAAGCACCTGTGGTGGAGCTGGGCGGCGATTGCGGTCTGTCAAACAGATTCAGTTAGAATTGGAGATTAAGATTTCATCGTGGCCCAGAAAACTCACCTGGAGGCAGTCGTCAGTTCACTGTCTTTGTTGTTGACCAATATCCAATTCTCAGCACTTGGACTGGGTGCAGTGGGCACAGCAGTTGCTTTGGAGAGTTCAGAGTCTGATGTGTAGCCACGCTCGGGGGGTGCAGAGGCATCTTCCTCACCACTCAATGCGCCATCCGATTTAGCGCCTCCATTGGGCGGCAGCGGCAACTGGGTATCCTCGTAGTTGGGGGGGACAGCACCGGCACCCACACACTCAAGCAGATTGAAGATGATCTGCCAGTCCTGCTCAGAGTGAATGTTCTGGGCAGAGGTCTTCAGCAGCTCGTAAATGCCAATGGAAATCTGCTTGGATATGCGCAGCAGAAGGGCAGGCTTCAGCATCAGCAGCATCTTGAGAGATTGGAGAACAATAGGGCACAGTTCCTCGTTGCGCATAAGGTAGATGGCCAGCTTGAGCACTGCCACTATGCAGCGATTAAGGAGATAGTCATAGCCGCACGAGGCGCTGCCCATTAGCAGAAGATACATTTGATCCCGAACCGCTGGCCACAGGGGAATCATGCGATCGCGATTGTGGATGACGATCTTGACGAGAAATTCCATCCAGAAGACGGTTTGATCTTCAGCATAGGGCAGACCAATCGACTTGTGCCCCTGAGGAGCCTTCAGCAGACCCAGCACACATTTGAGCAGCTCTTGCAGGGACTCTAGTTGCACGAACTTCGACTCCTGCAGCATTTGATCGAGCTGGCATTCCTTGATACATTTACGGCCATGCTTAATAAAGTCCTGCTCCTCGTAGGTGGGCTCACGCTGACCCTCTGAGCTGATGAATGAGTACAGACTAGAAAAGAGACCCGATTCCTGTTTCTCCCGCGGCTTCTCCAGTATCAGCATAGCCTTGCCGTTTGCTTCGCAAAAGTCCTCCACCTCGATGAGGGATTTGGGCAGGAGCTTCAAGCGGAAGAGCTGCAGAAAAATGTCGAGGATGTGCTTCCAACTCTCCCTCAAACAATCGCCATAATCGTGAACCAACAGGAATACCGTCCTTATGGCTGCCTGCGCCTTGGCATTCAATCCAAAGTTCACTGCCTGCTGCATCTCATTAGGCGCCGGTGCCGGCTCGTGTTGCTCCACGCTGCTCAACAGCGTTGTGAACTTGCACAACGTCAGAACGAGGGCATCAAAGTCCGCATGCAGATTGTAATGCGCTGATATAGCTGCCGACTTGCTAAAGCCTGAAACGTATTCAGATGCCGGATAAAACTCATACTGACGCTCCTCGAAATGGTTGTTCACTTACCCGTCAGTGTTCTCTGGTAGCCAGACTCAGTGCTCTTATCGAACATGAAGCTCAGAGCGCTTAGGGAAGCTCCCCAAACAATATTGAATATCTCCACATCGTAGGAGGCATCGTGGACATAATGGAAATGGCCGTCGTGGGTGTCCCCACGTCGAAGCAAAACTTTCCACAGATAGTTTTCACGCACTAAGCCGGTTTGTTCTGCAGGCATTACAATTTCTTCGTTTCTGGAATAGAATGAAATGGGACATAGGCAATCTATGCTATGTTGTTCCAAGATTAAATTCAAAGTGTACTCACTTGATGGCATTGAAGACCTGAGCCAACATCTCTTGATCAAAGTCTTTGCCACCATTCAGGCCACGCAAATTCTTGGTGAAGTCCTCCAGAGTCATTGGAACATTCAGGCGCTTTGCATTGGAGTTATGCTGATCCATATTCAGCATGATGATGGCATAAGCCAAGCGGAATGCGGCATCAGTGTTCGCAAACGGCTCCAGATTTTGTGTCTACATAAGAGATTTGAATTATAATTGTCCTATTCCCCATGCCCACGCTCACTTACATGCCAGTGATCGGAGAAGTGTTCCAACACCAAAAAAATCAACGGTGCCTCGCCAGGCAATCGGAATGTCTCCAGATACAGGCGCAGTGCCTGATCCACACGGAGACCAGTGAAGTCGAATGAGTCGACAAAGTTGATCAGAATCTTTGAATCGACATTCTTCTTCTTCGAAATGTATTCGCCAATCATTTTCTTGTCGAGTCCAGGATTCTCGCGCAGGAAGAGCGCCACTTGCATGGGATCGAGCTGAGCATTAAGAACCCCGTGCTCTTGAAGATACTGGATACCCTTGTCCGGTCGTTGATTGAACCGCTCTGTGCCCTGGGAGAGCAAGCGTTTCTTCTGCTTGACATTGGCCAGTTTTTCACTGGTTATTCCGCCACCTATTCCATTTCCTCCAGACTGCGACTGCAGCCGCAGTCTTTGCGAGCTGCTGTTAATGAAGTTGGAGATGTTTTCTACACGGCCTTGTTCATCCACGGCTAAAGATCCGCCACCAGCATCTATGACAATCCCCTCTAATCCGCTGTTGTGACGCGAGTGGCGACTTCCGCCGGCTGCCGGACCGGCTTCTGTCACAGCTTCCCTGCTGTGACTGTTCTTGGCTGCCGCACAGTTCCGCTCAATGCTGTCGATGACACTGATGAGTGTGTCCATGGAGATGATGTGAGTGCTGTATACTGCATTGGTGGCTGACAGGGTGTACTTGCTTAGCAAGTTGGTCAGACTCTCGAACATATCCGTGCAGTACAAATCGCAATCATAGTTGATGTACAGCTCGGTCACGAAGCCAGGAATGCGCCACAACTGCAGTAGGTTGTCCAAAGCCAGTTCTCGCATCTCGTAGGGTGTCTTGGGATTGTCGCTGGCTATAATCTCGCTCAGCTTCTTGAGGTAGCCTTCTAGCTGGAGCTTCAGGTGTCCGCGCAACGACTCGAAAAGCAGGAAGCATAGCTGCAAATCGGCAGCGAAGATACTCAAGCGCTCCGACGTTAGGAGCTGCAACAGAAAGATCATTATGATTCATATCCAATCTATCTAATGGGGGGAAAAATGTCTAACCGAAATTAAATTTCTGCACAAATCATCTTTGACCAGTTCCAGCAAACCCTCATATTTGCCAATATTATCGGCAGCCACTTCAAAAGCCACAGTGAGCAAACTCAAGCCCGTATGCATCATGCTGTCCGAATTCTGTTTGTCCAGCGGGTTGCACAAGATGATGAGGAATCGGAAGAGCTCTTGGATGAACGGCAGACCGTAGGGCGACAGGGTGGCAGAGATTAGCGCTCCATCCTTATCGGACGATTGCTGGGTGAAGCGAACACCCACCGAGTTGATATACTCGCTGCTGTTCGCGTCGGTCAAGCTGTTCTTTCCATCTCCCCCTTCTACGATCTCCGATTCGGCGGCACTCTCCACTTGAATGGCGGGTACATTCGCTGCGGCGTTCTCCTCAACTCCCGAACTCACGGGTGCTGTTGTTGTTGGCGTTTGCGTGATCTTGCCCTGCATGTCCAAAATGTTGCCCGCTGGGCTGGCTGGAGTGGTGGCCAGTATGGGAGCCTTGAGGTGATTTGGCGCTGCAAGACTGCATTGTGGGGTCTGCGGGGGATCTTCTACTGTCGAAGACTTGCGTTGCACCGATGGGGGAGCTGGGGCGGCGGCCGCTGCTGCTGTTTTTCGCTTGTGCTTCTCTTGGGCGGCACCGCTGGCAGCATCGCCAATAGTAAATCGCTTCTGCAAGACGGTATCGCTGGGCTCCTCCGCAAACTGCGGAAGACGCATGAAGAACAAAAGCACCATGTCCTTCAGCGATTGCTCTGCCGAGCGTCGCAGCAGCTCACTGAGTCTAGGCTCAAAGCAAATCTTGAAGCAACTTAGCATGACCTCGCACATCGACTCATTGCTGACGGCAGCTCCCTCAGGACTGCGGATTAAAGTGTGCAGCACTTCAATGACCCGCATGAAAGTAACACCGTCCGAGGATTGATCTGTGCCCATAAAGCGAGCATGTGTCACGGCATCCGCTATGCGTTCAACAATATCTGCTATATTGGGCGAAGTGGGATCTGCAACATGAAAATGCGATAGGGAGTGAGCACGGAAAAGATTGGACAGCAGTTTATCTCACCAATTAGGCCATATGACAAGAATTTATTGACTGAGGCGAGAGCCAGACTAGTCAAGGGTCCCGTCGTATCCGCCGTGCGTATCACCTCCAGAAACGGAGATAGAAACACCTTCGGTTCAATCAGACGCAGATCTTCAATACGATTTAAGTCCTGCTTGAGGTCTATAAACAGCTTCAACAACGAGTCCTTCTCATCGTCCTGCAAAGCGGGGAGTACGGGATATGTCACAACTTTCTTGTAGTGTTAGAATAATTAGTTACCACGTAGGCTGTGGCATTCCAACGCGTTCCACGTCGCATGGCCGTCATCAAGGTGGCCATTTCACCGCGCACCACGTAGATGCCATTGCCAGGCAGTGACATTGTGTCCAGGCCTTTCTTAATTATTCGTCAACAGCAGCTAGCTGGCTTCCGCCGAAAAAAATTCTCAAATTCGTGGGCAGCTCCTCTCTCCTTGCCTTGCGTTTTCATACATATGTTTTCCGACCTGCCCTTTCTACCGCACACATACACACAGCCGCAGTCCTGTTTTGCCTTGAACAAAACTTGACGCGCCTTTTAGTAACACATTTTTTACTTAATTATTAATAAAATAAATGTAATTTGTTTGCAAATAATTTTTGGTGACGTTTACGTGTCTTGTATGTTCTTTCTAGAGCTGGAGAAACATCGATGATATCGATGTTTGGGTTATCACAGCACACATCGATGTTTTTTAAACATTAGATTTACACTAGAAGCTATTTAAACAATTATTAATATGTTTGATAAAATTAGCTTGAAGGATTTATTTTTACTTCTTTTCCATCCGCCAAAATTATTACGCTACTATTATTAAGTGGTGATAGTTGACACGATAGGCAGAACAGGGATAAGATATTAGGAAAATCGAACAGACGTAACTGAAAAGCAGCCATAATTAAACTTTTTGCCACCACTAAGCCTCTATGCTTATCCAATTAAAAAAAGAGCTGAGTTTTGACCAAAAGGAAACGGATTACAACGATTTGGAAGATGGAACATTTGAAAAACATCGAGATTCATCGATATTGTCTCGTCGATGTTTCATGCACTCAAAGCATCGAAAATATCGACGTCCGCTTGTGCACTGACAAAAACTATCTAGCTAATATTTGAACACGGCAAGAAATCCACGGAGACTTAAAAAACATCTCGTTGCAAATATTTTGCCTATGCCTCGTATAATTTTACTGTATAAAAAAAGGCCAGACTTTGCGGAAACAAGCCAGTTGGCCAGCAAAGTACATTCAAAAGTTTGCATATTGTCGCACAGTGTAGTTTTGTAAAACATTGCAATCCTGTTTGATATTCTATAGATATGCAAAATGCTTCCATCGTAATATTTACACATAATAAAAAGGTAGTGTAAGGAGTTGCAGATTTTAGCCATTTTTTGCATTTGTTTTTCGAATTGTATTGACTCAGAAAATCTGGCAGCACTGACGACCTGTCAACAGTGCACAACAACAAGAACAACAGAGCTGGTTGCTTTTTCTTTACGTGCGTAGGCGAATTTGTGAATCTTTCGGATTTTAAACAGAAAAGTATTTAAATTGTATGTAAACTCATTTCAGACCACTGGAAACACTTGAATTGGGGCGACCGCACACGGGGCAGGTGGAAATCAGGCACTCAACAATACCAAAGCACATCAGAACCCAAACAATATGGGAAACACAGATTCAAAGTTGAACTTTCGCAAGGCAATTGTGCAGCTGACGCAAAAGAATCAGAAAATCGACCCCAGTGATGAGCAATTCTGGGAGCAGTTCTGGCAAGGCCATCAAACAACTCTTGAGGATGTGTTCGCTTTGGTTACATCGAATGAAATTCGACAAATAAGGAACGATAACCCAGCCAACTTGGCCACTCTGTGCTATAAGGCTGTCGAGAAACTGGCCCAGGCGGTGGACAGCAGCTGCCGCACTCAGGCAGAGCAACAGTGCGTTTTGAACTGTGTGCGCCTTCTGATCAGATGTTTGCCATACATCTTTGAGGATGATAAATGGCGCGATTTCTTCTGGAGCAGTTTGCCGTCCCAGGAAAAGACAATGCCTTTGGCCCAGTCATTACTGAATGCCATTTGCGATTTACTCTTCTGTCCAGATTTCACTGTTACATCGGCTCGTCGCGCGGGTCCGGAGAAGGCCGAGGAACTCGCCAATATTGATAGCTGCGAATATATTTGGGAGGCAGGAGTGGGATTCGCCCAGTCCCCACCTCACAATGCCCACATGGAGCGCCGGCGCACGGAGCTATTGAAGCTGCTTCTCACTTGTTTCTCAGAGCCGATGTATCGCTCGCCTCAACAATCCGAGGAGCCCAACAAATGGATAGCCTACTTCACCTCGGCCGACAATCGTCATGCCCTGCCTCTCTTTACGTCATTCTTAAACACAGTATGTTCGTATGATCCAGTTGGATATGGCGTACCCTACAACCACCTGATCTTTGCGGACACCACGGAGCCCTTGGTCGAGGCTTGTCTGCAACTCCTTATTGTCACGTTGGACCATGACATGGTGGTGCAGCAACAGCTCACCCAGCCTGGACAGCACTCCTATGACGAAGGAAACTGCGGGGACAATTTGTTCATCAATTATCTGTCGCGTGTCCATCGGGATGAGGATTTCCATTTTATCCTCAAGGGCATAACTCGTCTGTTAAATAATCCCCTGGTTCAAAACTATTTACCCAATTCCACAAAGCGTTTGCATTGTCATCAGGAGCTGCTCATTTTGTTCTGGAAGATATGCGACTACAACAAAAAGTTTTTGTATTTCGTTCTGAAGAGTTCAGATGTTTTAGACATACTCATTCCCATATTGTATCACTTGAACTACTCTCGGGCGGACCAATCCCGCGTAGGCCTGATGCACATAGGAGTATTCATACTACTGCTGTTGTCAGGTGAGCCCCTTTTTTATTATTGACAGTGTGCAACGACTTAAGTTCTTACATTTCAGGGGAGCGAAACTTTGGTGTTCGCCTAAATAAGGCTTACTCCGCCACTGTACCGATGGACATTCCGGTCTTCACCGGAACTCATGCGGATTTGCTCATCACAGTGTTTCACAAAATCATTGCAACTGGCCATCAGCGCCTGCAGCCGCTGTTCGATTGTCTGCTGACTATTTTGGTGAATGTTTCACCGTACTTGAAGACCCTTTCGATGGTGGCCAGTGTGAAGCTCCTGCATCTTCTCGAGGCCTTCAGCACGCCTTGGTTTCTGTTATCAGCGCCAAGCAATCATCATTTGGTGTTCTTCTTGCTGGAGATCTTTAACAACATTATACAGTATCAGTTTGACGGGAATTCGAATCTAGTGTATACCATAATACGGAAGCGTCATGTGTTCCATGCCATGGCGAATCTCCCCACAGATATGGCCGGGATAGCCAAGTGTATGAGTGGGCGCAAGGCAGGTGGAAAGTTCAATTTGCCACGTGTACCGCAGCGGAGGATAGCAGCTGCTTCGCAAGAGCTGCCCTCAGCCCACGTGCCGGAAGAGTATAATGATGATGAAGATGAAGATGAGGAGGAGGACACGATAAATGCGGAGCCGAAGGCTGAGGAAGATCTTGAATCGGAAACGGAATCCCATGAGCGGTCACAAATAGAAGAGCCACAGCCAGAGATACTAACTGCTCAACCAGCCGAGCCGGGCACTTTAAAAACATCCTTGCTAGACACACCAGCCATCAGTCAGATGACTGAGCGTGAGCAGGCCCATCCAAATGATAAAACGCAGACGGAAGAATCTACTGAAATCGTCCCGTATGACAAGTCCCCCGTCACAACACCAACGGGTGGTCGAAAATCTACCTCACCCACCAACCACCAGTCACGGCTATCGGTGGCCCATCGCAGCAGCATTCGCATGGTTCCCGGCGAAGGGGATCGATGGGCACCCACACCCGAGTGGATTGTCTCCTGGCGCTCAAAGTTGCCGCTGCAGACGATAATGCGCTTGCTTCAGGTTCTGGTACCGCAGGTGGAGAAGATATGCATAGACAAGGGCCTTACTGACGAATCAGAGATCCTTAAATTTCTGCAACATGGAACGCTGGTTGGCCTGTTGCCTGTTCCACATCCCATACTAATACGAAAGTATCAGGCAAACGCTGGCACCACAGCCTGGTTCCGCACTTACATCTGGGGTGTCATTTACCTGCGCAATGTGGAGCCTGCCATTTGGTATGATACGGAGGTCAAGCTCTTTGAGATTCAGCGCGTCTAGGTCAGTATCTGGAATCACCAATGCAATCAAAGCGGCAACAATGTAACTAAAACGCTTTTGGCATTTACTGTAGTTAAATTATTTAGTGCATATATCATTCCGAAAGTTTAAGTGAAAATGTCAATGTTTAATGAATACCTTTTACCATATTGTATGACTTCTTATCCGTTTCAAATTCATCAAGAATATCTCCAGTATGAGGCTTATCAGTTGCAACAATATAGCGTGAGTTCTTTTTTGAGGATAGCATTTTGTTAATGGCTTTTTACATTGTTATTTAATTCCCTTTTTTCGTTCTCTCTCTATCTTTTTATCCAAAAACATGTATTAATTTATTTCAGCCGTTTAAGCATAAAGTTTTGTGTGTTTTAGTCATAAACTAAATTATGAAATTAATCTTTTATTTATTTTGTGTAATATGAAAATGTTCCTTGTGCCGTATTTTTAGTTGATTGCTTTAATTGCTTAAATTATAATGTATCTTGTGCGCCGCCTATAATTTGTATCCAAACAAAGCAAAATTCACTGCTATAGTCGTCGACTTTTAGGTACACGAAATAAATGAATGTCCAAAAGTCAACAAACTTTTGCTCTGATTTGTTGCTTTTTCAAGTTTCCAATATGATTAAAAAAACACTATTTATATTTATTTCCAAACCAAATAAAAGCTTTACCTGCTCGTGCAACAATAGTAGACTTTAGTTCAATTGTAAGCTTTGCTTTAAACTAGCGACTTCATATTATAAAGAAAGAGTGTAATATTTAATTAACTTATGTGTTTAGAATCCATACAATTCATAACACATGCTATATACAAAATATATAACAGAAAATACCAATTAAATTAATGGCACCTATATAAAATCAACACAAATCTATATGAGAAATAAAAGATATCGAAGTGAATAGATTGGAGTTTTAACTTTATCATATCATGAGTCCCATGAAAAATTCGAATTATCTTGAGGTTTTCTGGCTGTTTATTAATTGGCTTTTCAATACAAAATAAAAATTATCTTAACGAAAATGCTGAGCATACATCAGACTAAACTTTTCAAGCATTCAACTATCCTTCTTAATTAGAGCGTGCATCCAGAAGACATATTTTATAGTAAATATAAAAATAATTGATGCGGCCGCCACCTTTCCAGGTTTGGTTGGATCAGTGGGTCGTCGTCCCCCATTATTTTGCGTGGTGGAGTAGTTATGGGCGCCCCGTTTAATGACAATGGACAGAGGCAACGCCATTGCTGTGAAATGATTGGGATTTATCCGAGGCAATGGCGTTAGTTGTCACGACTGGGAGGGGGTAGGCGTAGTTGGGGCTGGCTGAGTCACAGGCAAAATGCTAAATTTTATATATGAACCTTTGCTGCGTTTTTGAACTATTTTGCCAATGACCAGCGGCTCTGTAATGGTTTGTCCAATAGCCTTGACTATGCGCTCAGCGCTGCTTTCGTCAGATCCGCTAGCACTGCCCTGGATGAGTATGCGGATTTCGTGTCGCTTGCCCAGCCACTTCACAATATTCTTGAGTCGCGACTCAAGATCATGCTCCGCTATTCGGGCACCTATTGTCAGTGACTTCTCAGACTTTTTGTTGATTTTGTCGGTAGCTGTGTTCGTTGCACCCCTATCATCGGCTAACATTTCCGCAGACGTGACAAGTCTGAAAGAATGTATTCCAATTAATAGAGAGTTTCCCTATAACTGCGTATTTAGTACCAACTTAAACATGGCGCGCCCGGTTTTGGTGTCCGTTTGGTCCAGACGCAACAGGTGCAACTCTCGCCGCTTGGCCAGCTTCTGAGCTTCCTCCAAGGTGGTTATGCTCAGAGCCTGGTTGTGCTGAACAAGTGTAATCTTTTGTGGCGGATTTTTTGGTTTTTGGTCACCACCTGACTTTTTTCCTGTTCCTGGAGCTCCAGCCGTCCTTTGTGATTGTGCCAAATGCCAATAAAGTGATAAATTACGTAGTTGTTGCTGGTGTTGAGCCATTGCAGCAACCTGTTGCACCCTCAACATGCTACGCATCATGAATTGAAAACGTTGCAAATGCATTTCTTCTTATATTGTTATTTTTACTTTTCACTTTTGCTTTTCTTTGTGCTTGTGCAATTTGCGTTTCGTGGTTGTAGGCAGCTCTGGAATACAGCTGATTATGCTGATATGACACTAGACTGGTGCGAACTTGATAGCAAACCGCAAAATAAGTAGTCGTAACCGTCTCAAATTATTCTACAGAGAATTTATTAAATTCATTAATCAATCTCAAATCGATTTTTAATAATTTTTCATAGGCTTTAAGGGTAATTCGTAGCTAACGTCGCAGTTTGGGAATCCTCCTCGTGATTCTTACTATTCGTACTATCGTGCATCGGCATATGCACATGTCGAGTGCCATCACTATCAGCTGTCGGCTAGTTATCAAAACAAAAAACACAAACAAACACCTTGTGACGACCGGCCAGCGAATTATTTTTGATACTTTTTGTGCAGTGGAGAATTCACACGACTTTCGGTTCATTTTGCCACTCAGTCCCACGGAACTGGCCAACTTCTGCGTCTAAAGACATAAAGACATAAGAGATCCCCGACAAACGACTGGGTAAGTGGCCGTTGTGGCGTCTGAAGCATTTAATTGAAATACAGGCTCAAAATTAAGTCTACTTGATGCTTTAACTCGTCTGTCGTCCCACGTTCTGCAGAGTGCAAGGAAAACGATAGATTCTATTTATTCGCGACCTTTGACACGTATTACTCTATCAGTGAGTCGAGCAGCTTGTATGCCGCCTCCATTTGAAACCTGTTACATTCCTTCGACATGTTGTCGAAAAGCTGGCCCAGGGCATGACAGAACAGCTAGGCGTCAAGGAGCCGCCTATGAACCATTTCACACTGCTCCTGTTTGAATCTCTCCTATCTCTCTGCTCTTCTTATCTCCTAGTATTGAGGCAGGAGTTGACCAGTTCGGTGCGATTGATCTTCATTCCACTTGCCTATATATTCTATAGTTACAATACATAGTAGAAGGCAGAACAAGGCCGACGAAACGCTCTCGGTCCTGAACGAAACAGGTACGCAAGGGAGCTGCTCCTCTTCCCAGCAGGAACACCAAACGTTGTGGATGCACCCGAGAGGTCCTCCGCTGCTACCCTCTGACAGTGAAAGTGACTGAATGAAACCTCCTGTTTTATCCCTAATATATTATTAACTAAATACATATATGGTTAGAAAGCTTAATGAAATAATGCAAACCTAAAAAAGTATTTACTAGATATTAAAATGTACATAGGTAATTTAATTTCTACCGCGTTGCCGTTGGCCACCGTAATTCCGTCTTCTATTTGACGCTCGTTGCTCTTCCCGGACTCTCTCCTCGGCATACCATGTGGCTCTCAGTGCCTGGCATTCCGGAGAATTGGAGCGGTTCTGCTGCAGGGGAGCGAACTCAGGCAGGCGACACTTCTCGCACTCCTCCCATCTGCTGAATTTGTTCAAATTGCGATCGCACGGATCTGTTGCATACAACATGCATTCATCGGCACAGAAGTTGTAGAACCAGAACTGTCCCGTTATCGTTTGATTTTGGCAGCGCGGCTGAACGGTGTGCAGCATTTGGAAGCAGCGGGTCGACAGGACGGGATCAGTGTCGCCATTGCGGTAGCCATTGGGTCGTTGCCATGCTTCCTGCTCTGTACCAGCGCCAGGAATGTCTGTATCCGATGTAAGGAACTCTCTGCTGTGTGTGTTTCCGGGACCCTGTCGCTGCCAAGGAGCCCGTTCTACATCCTCTAAACGCGACGGCTGGTAAATGTCACTGGGACGTTGGCGTGACCAGGGTGATGGTGGTTCCGTTATCGGTTCATAGCCGGCGGCGACATTGTAATTACTTTGAATCCTGGGCTGCTTGTAGGACGGTGGCTTCTGGTTCAGAGTTGTCTGTCGCTCTGGAAGCCACATAGCATCCGATTTCTGTGAGCTGTCGCCCCAAATGGGGGTGTGGCCTTTAAGGTTGCCAACCGAAAAGCCGAATCCCGATCGATCCTGATTTATTGGAGTCCCATCAGAGCCTCTGTTAGAGTTTCCCTCAAATCTATTGGCGTCTAGTTCTGAGGGTGGACCATACATGCCTCCGCCGCCTCGTCCGCCCATGGACTCTTCATAAGGTGACATACCCATGTCCATGTCGCCGTTAATTGATCCTGGCAGATTACCGAGGCAAGCTCTGCCCTCACATTTGCGCGTCTCTTGCAAGTCCATTCGATGCACACTCTGGCACTTCGATTCGGCTCCAGGATTGAGATACTGGCGCTGCCTCATTTCGTAGCCCTCTCCGCAGGTCACGCTGCAAGCACTCCAGCTGCCCCAACGGCTCAGTTGACACTCGGGCCCTCGTTGCTGGGACGACTGACGGATGTTTCCGCCCATTCCCGCGCCCATGCCAAAGCCCGTTCCCATTCCCATTCCAGGGTCCAGATCATCAAAGTCTTCAACGTTCCCCATTAGATTCTGTGCACCGCACATCTGGCCCTGGCACTCGCGTTCGTCATACTGCGGCTCATTGCAGTTGTAGATCCTCGCCAGCTCAGGCTGCTTGTAGACGCGTCTCCTGTACTGCATGCCATCGCCACATTTGGATGAGCAGTCGCTCCAGCTTGACCAGGGATGTGTAAGGCACTCTCGGGGTACTTCTGCTGGATTGTTTGCTGGGGATTGGGGGATCAGTTGGTTATCATAACAAATGGGATATCTATGTATACACTCGCTACACTCACAGTCTTCATCCGCACAGCGCCGCTCGTAGATGCGTTGACGTCGTACGGTCAGGATTGCCATGGGCTTCATGGGAGCCCCCGTCTCGTCGTAGAAGGGCGAGCGAGGATCATTTGGAAAATCGGAACGCATGCGCCTGATGACATCTGGAGGGACCTGCGGCTGGTCAGGTGACTATCAAGTAGAGAGGGCTCAAAATTAGTGCAAAATTAGCGACTGATCGTGCTATCGCCTACCGTATAGCTTGGCCCCGCATCCGTGCCGACATCCCAGGGATACAAATTAATAACCTTTCCCTCCAGCCACGTGCAGTTCCGCAGACATAGCTCCAGTCCACTGACGCCCACGATCCAGTCTGGCGAGGGCTCTATTTTGGAGGCAAACGATACCATGTGATGCAATGGATCCACTCGCACCGAGGCCATGGACTTGCTACTCATATTGGGGAACGACGGGCCGCGTGCCTTGATAATAGTGCGGATCTTTTGATCCTGTTAAGACGTGGCGTTACTTTGGATTTCCAGCCGATCTAGAGAAATATCAATTCACCCGAAAGTTGATGCTGAATTCCCGCTCGAGCAGACGCGAGCTGCAGTGCTCCGCATACTGCTTGAGACCCTCGCTCGCCAGGGATCCGGATTCCCAGAAGCGGTAGTCGGCGCTGTGGGCAGCCCCCAAAAGCTCACAGAATCGCGTTTCCCAGCCTCGAGCTGGAAAGTCCCTTGGATGCAGGTTGCGGGACCAGACGCCTTCAAATATCAGCTGTATTGTTGGACAACAAAAAGGTTACTGAAGAACTTCTACGCCTTTGCTATACCACTCTCACCTCATAGCGCGCCTCGTCGCAGGCACAGCAGGGTATATCCATCAAAGGAGCCGTCGGCTGGCTCTCCACATCGTCAACGACCTCCTCGCAAATACGTCGCGTTAGTCCACCGTCATCCATGTGCCATACGTCACGATGCTGCAAGACCGTAGCCCGCATAAGGATACAGCCGCTGCCTGGCTCGCTGGGCGCCACCCAGGTCAGGTGCATGTGGGTCTTTGGATTGGTGTTGGTGTTCTCCACCATGTTTATGCAGTTGGGACTGAAGCGCGACTCGGTCATGTCGCTCAGCTCAAAGCTGCCGAGGTCATCCGCATAGTTGAAGTCCCCGTTTTCGTTCTCCAGCGCCAGAATGAAGCTAATGTAGCGATGCCCGTTGAATGCATTCAGGGAAACTGTAAGATCATTCAGTTCTTTAGCTGTTATCGCTGACCTTGAATAATCGGCTTTCGAATTCGCCAGAGCCCGCGATAAGCCAGATCGACTCAAGGCACATGTGCGTAATTTGTTTACTAAACAATAAACATTGCGAAATCTTGGAAGCCTAGCTATTCCGATGATGCCTCAAAGCCCAAGGCTCTCTACCCATGAAGTTCAAGCGCAAGGGCCAATGAACTTTACTCACCGTTGTACTCCTGTCCGAGAATGTATGTTTCCGGATTGCCTGTTATGCTTATCACATAGTTCTCATCCACTGGCGACTTGGGCGTGGCCGTGTTTGCCGGTCGGCGTGTACAGATCAGACTGCGGGCTGTGCCGATCGTCAGCGCCGCCAGAAGCAGTGGAAACAGAGGAACAGAGTCGGTCCGCCACATTCTGAAAAGTCTATAACCATTCGACTTGGGCGACTGTTGCAAACTGAGCGAAGCTTTTTCCCTTTTGCGAAAAGTGAATCAGAAAGAGAGTCTTGGCTGCTGTTCCGACGGTTCCCCGATAAGCCCAAGCAGTGTAGTAGAGTGTATTGCCGAGCGCCTTATTTTTCTGACCCACTGATTCCTATAGACTGCGACTGGGGCCTTATCAGCGCCGGAAAAACAACCAAAGCTTTGGTTCTCTTCAAAACTGCGACAGAGAAACCGAAACCCAGCTGAAATTCTCTTTCAACTCTGGATGAAAGTCGAGTAAAAAGACCCTGACTGGCAATTATTCATCGTAATACTTTATTAAGCAATTCGACCACTCTTCAGCTGCCATAACGACCCGTCCTGTACGGATCGTATGTGTTCCGTGTGTGTGACAGCGGCTCACCTATATCCCCTATCGCTTCGCCGAATCGAGCAGCGCCATAAGCTTCGCCTGTCTGGGCATAGGATCCCCCGGTCTGGGCGTAAGCTCCCCCGCCATATAGATCCATGGATTCATTTTCGCTACGCTCCACGTTCATCTGGGGCTGCAGACATGTACCCTCACAGGCCATCAGCGAACGGAAACGGTTCTTGTTCTCATCGCAGTTGTCCGTGGTGAAGATCTTGCACTCGTGGTCATCGTGGTCGTAGAACCAGTAGTTGCTTACAACCACCGGATTGGCCAGGCAAGGACGAGTGGAGGCAATGGGTTTCTCGAAGCAGTAGTCCTGGACCACATTGTAGTTGCTGTTGCCGCTGCTGCCGCTGCTGCTCGGCGGCTCAGCGATGTCCTGCTGGCGACTGGGATAGCGTCCTGCGTAGGGAGATCTAGTGGTGAAGCCAAGGCCCGGCCTCAGGTTAGGGGTGGTGTAATCATTGCTGTTGTATCCGAGGTTGTAATCACTGTAGCTACTCCCGGGTCTGTTACCCAGCATTTTCTCACTGCCGTAGGTATTATAGTTGGGCCGCTCTTGATCGAGTGGCTGGCGATTTGTGTTATAGCCCCGTCGACTGTCGGTTGGATCAAACGGTGATCGTTGCTGGCTGTCCGTCTGGCCAAAGGGCGCGTTGGTTTCCTGCGATCTATCCGCAGAACCGTACGATGACCTGCCAAAAGCATTGTCATTCTCAGCGGGGCTGAAACCCTTTCTGTTCCATCCTTGATTAGCTGATCCTCCATACGGACTATCCAGCCTGTTATTGTGACTATTAGTGTTCCAGTTGGGTGTCTGATTGGGTTCGCCGAATAGCTCTGGCTCCGGCAAACCATCGAGCTCCCCGTTGTCGGGTATGGTTCCGCCACAGTCCGAGCCCAGACACTGCCTTGTCTCCTCCAGGGGAAGTCGCATGACCGTCAGACATCGCGGCCTCGCCTGTGGATTGTAGTAGTCGCGGGTCCGCGTGGAGATGCCTCGGCCACATGTTTTTGAGCATGGCGACCACTCACTCCAGTTGCTCAGCTGACACTCGGCCATGGAGCCAGTGCCTGTCGCACCCTCACCACCCAAACCCAAGCCCACATCCACACCGGGACCCGCAATGGCGTACTCTTCCTCCCCCTGACCGCACTGGGTGCCTTGACACTGGCGAATCTCCTCCAGCTGAATAACGCAGTTGTAATTGGCCGCTAGGTTGGGATTCTTGTAGCTGCGAATGCGCTGGGTATAGCCCTGACCACAGCGGGTGCTGCAGTTACTCCAATCGTTCCAAGGATGTACGGCGCATTCCAAGGGCGCCCGTCCACCTTGCGATACTGAGTAAGCCAAGGGTCAGCTATATAATTGAATCATTATGTTTCTGGTCACTCACCCTCCTCGCACTCGCGAATGTAGAGTTTCTTCCTGGTCAGGTAGAGCGTGGCCAGGGGCTTCATTGAGGCGCCCGTATCGTCGAAGAATGGCGAACGGTAATCGCTGGGATACGAAGAAGTTATACGTCGTATCACATCTGGTGGAACCTGTGGCTGATCGGGAGACTGAGGGAGAAACCCGTTCTTCCATTAGAAATCTGTGACTGGCAGCATGTGGTCTGTGATCTGTGACCTGTGATCTTTACCCACCATATATGAGGGTCCAGAATCGGTGCCAATGTCCCAGGGGTACAAGTTCAATACCTTTCGCTTCAGCCACGTGCAATTGCTGAGGCACAGCTCCAGACCCGCCACACCCAGTATCCAATCGGGCGATGGATCGATTTTGGCAGCCAGCGAGATTTGATGATGAGCCGGATCCACCCGAGCATTGGCCAACGTGGAGCCAAAGGCATTCAAACGATGAGGGATGCCCGGGGCTTTGATGATGGTACGCACAGCGCCATTCTGTAAGAGATCACCAGATGGAACAGGAACCCTCACGAAAAGAAAAGGAATAGCCAAACTTGGGTGTTGTCTCGGATCTCCTGCTCCAGGGTACGGGTGGCGCCATGCTCGGCCATCTCGCGCATGCCCAGGCTGGCTCGTCCTCCGTAGGCCCAGTAGCGGTATTCATTTCTGTGCGAGGCGCCAATCACCTCGCCCAAGCGTGTGCGCCAGGCCTCGACTGGGAAGTCCTTGGAATGCGTGTTCCTGGTCCACTTGCGCTCTAGGACGATCTTGAAAGGGAAAGGAACTGTAACGGCGTAACATTCTGGGCCAGTCTTGGGCGTCCCACCTCGTACTTGGCCTCATCGCAGGCACAACAGTTTTGGAGTGGCGGCGTCATGCTGTTCAGCTCGTCAATTTCCTCAGGGCAGACGCGTTTGGTGAGGAAGCCTTCATCAATGAACCATACATCACGTTGCTGCACTACCCCCGCCTTGATGAGGACACAGCCGCTTTCGGGAGACTTTGGAGCCACCCAGGAGACTTCAATATGGGTCTTGGCGTTGGTGTTGGTGCTCTCGACCATGTTCTCGCAGCCGACGCTGAATCTGGTATCCGGGGAGCCCAGGAGCTCAAAGTGCCCGGTCATGTCCAGTCCATTGAAGGCCACCGCCTGATCCTCGCTCTCGATGACCAGCGTGAAGCTCACGAATTTTAAATTGATGGGACAGGAAAGCGACACTGCGGAAATTTATGATAGATGGATGGATGGATGGATGTGCACGGGACCCCTCACCATTGTACTGATGCTCGGGTACGTAGGTCGCTGGATTTCCATCGATCAAAATCCGAAAGTTTTCATCGACAGCGGACCGTTCGCCGCTGGCTCCTTGCGGGATTCGATTGCATGCCCCCCGCACGCCCCGAATCACCAAAATTTGTAGCACAAGCACCCGTACAAGTCGCCACATCGCGTCTCGATCCATAGCTGTCCACAGCTCAGCGTCGACTGACTGCTCGGCGGCTGGGTCAGTGCCGAAATTGGTGAATCGTCTCTATTAATCGTTGAGCTTTTCAATTATCTCATCTTGATTGAGTTGCCGTCAATTGGTATAGTTTTTTGTTTCTTCTTGTGTGTGGCACGCTCTCCAATTGACGATTTGGCGCTTGAGTTCTTTGAACTTGGACCAGGGCGCTGAAGGAGGCAAGGGCCGTGCCACAGTCGTACAGCAGATTTGGGTCAATGACGAAAGTGGCATGAAGCGGAAATATTATACTACAGAAGTGGAACTTTAGCTGGGAACTAGAGTTCCTTATTATTCGACTACCTTCCCTATCAACAGTCAATGGCCTGGAGCACCTGGGGGGATTCTTATATATTTTGTCATTCATTCACTTGCGATTACATAATTGGTGTGTACGACTAATACTTGACGATAGATCCTCCTCCTCCTCCTCCTGTTGCCTTACCACTTTTCGGCCTCGTCGTTGCTGCTGAGGAGGCACGGCATCATCATACACTTCTCCATGCGGACACGATCCTTGCACTTGTAGCTCAGATCCGTGTTGAGCAGAGTACGGGTGCGCTGCCGGACGGCGTTGTCGCCACACGTGGCTGTGCAGGGCGTCCAGGCGGACCATTCCGAGTAGCGGCACTCATCCCGCGGATCCGGTGGTGGCGTCTTGGCCACATGACGTCGCTCGCCGAATCCCCCACCGCTGATCGAATAAATGTCGTCGCAGCGCTGATAGCAGCGATCGAGGCGCACCAGATGCTTGGGGCATGGCTTGCCACCGTATTTCGGAGTGCGAAGGACGCGACGGGTCCGTAGCTGATAGCCGTCGCCGCAGGTGGCGTTGCAGCTGTGGGTGACCCACTCGGAGACGAGACAGTCGATGGTTTGGAGGCGGTCGTTTTGGAGCTCTTGCTTGTGGCGAGGCAGGCGGCAGGTGTCCTCACACTCCTCCTTCGATTTGAACTTGTTGCGGTTGGTGTCGCAGCGGTCCGACCAGTAGATCGCGCATTGGTCGCTTACGTGGTCGTAGTACCAGTAGTTGGTCACGTCGCTGTCCCGGCAGGGACTCTCGAACAGGTCCTCATAGCAAAGATTAGGAACGATGGTGTCACAGCTGGGATTCGTGCAGTTCACCTCCTCGTGGAGCTTGATGTGGCGGCAGGGATCACTGCCATCGTCGCTGGGGTCTCGCACGCCGTACACCTGGTTGTTGTTCCACACCTTCCGTATACGCTGTCGCTTTCCGTGGCCTCCGCAGGGACCCTGACAGGGCGAGAAGTCCGACCAGGGCGTAATCCCACACACTGGCGGTATATACTCCTCCTTGTGCTGGCTGTAGCTCTCGAAGTTGCGAAAGATCGAACGCTTCTCGGCCCCATCCACCGCGTCTCCAGCTGCGTCCTCGGGGACTATGTCGCCCCCGCACTCCATGGCCTCGCACACCTTCGTCTCCTGCAGGCGCGCCTTGCTCGCCTTCTGGCACTTCTTCTTAGCCTTCTTGTTGAGGTAGTGCCTCGACCGTGTCTGCTCGCCCATGCCACATGTCACAGTGCAAGAGGACCATTCGCTCCACTCGGACAGCCCACACTGCGGATCGTTGGAGCCCTCAGTCGGATATCCAACCTCGGCCTGCACCCCGTCGGCTGTTTCCTCATTGAAGCTGGCGCAATTGCGTCCCACGCAGTTCTTCTCCTCCCGCAGGGCATTGTTGCAACGATGACGCTGGGAAACGTGTAATCAGAGGTTATATATATGCATCTCTTAATTTTTCTTCATCTCAAGGATGGCCTCACCGATGCCAGCACGGGATTCTTGAACTCCCGCGTCCTGTACTGCTTGCCGGGTCCGCATTTGGTGCTGCACTCGTCCCACCTGGTCCAGGCCTGAGTGGCGCACTCCGCCGGCAGCTGCTCCGCTGGAAAGGCATTCAGGAGCTCTAAATTAGGCTTGTTCAGAGTAGATATTAAGTTATTGTGCCTTACAATCAGTCGACTCGCAGTTCTTCTCGTAGAGACGCCTTCGATTGATGTGCAATGTGGCCAGAGGCTTCATCTGAGCTCCGGTGGGATCGTAGAAAGGCGAGCGAGGGTCGTTGGGGTAGTTTGACTTGATGCGACGTACTACGTCGGGCGGCACCTGCGGCTGGTCGGCAGACTGGAGCGAAAAAGAGGGATTTAGCATTGATCGCAGAGAAGCCTTTGTGAGATATGCATGTTACCATATAAGATGGACCGCTGTCAGTGCCCGCATCCCAGGGATACAGATTGTGGACCTTGTTCTCCACCCACGAGCAGTTGGGCAGGCACAACTCCAGCCCGGAGACACCTACAATCCAGTCGGGCGAGGGATCCACCATGGAGACCAAGGAAATCAGATGATGATTCGAGTCGACGCGAAAGACGGCGAAAGTCTTGCCAGTCACATTTGGATAGGCGATTCCCCGTGCCTTGATGATCGTGCGGATGTGCTCGCTCTGGTCCTTCAGCTCGCTTTCCAGGGTGCGTGTGGAGCCGTGCTCGGCCACCTCCCGCAGCCCCTCACTGGCCATCTCCCCGTACTGCCAGAACCGATAGTCGATGGTGTGGGAGGCGCCGATGATGTCGCTGAATCGCGTGCGCCAGCTGTTCGCCGGAAAGTCCTTGGGATGCGTGTGCCGCGACCACTTGCCCTCGAAGGTGAGCTGATAATGAGAGTAATTTAGCTTGTTGAAAGTCATTGAACTTGTTGAACGATACCCACCTCGTACTTGGCCTCGTCGCAGGCACAGCACGGATCCATAATGCTGGGCTGACTGTCGATGTCGTCCACCTCCTCCTCGCACATGCGCTTGGTCAGGAAGCCATCGTCCATGAACCAAACATCGCGATGCTGCATCACGGTCGCCCGCAGCAGTATGCATCCCTGTCCGGGACTTGACGGTGCCACCCAGACCACGTCCACGTGAGTCTTCACATTTGTGTTCGTGTTCTCCACGAGGTTGGCGCACCGCGGACTGAAGCGCGTCTCGGATAGATCCTGTAGCTCAAAGGTGCCCACTGCATTCGGATCATCCTCGCCATCTCCCGTCTCGAGGTCCAGGGCCAATAAAAAGCTCACGAAGGACAGTCCCGAAAAGGCACTCAGGGTCACTGGAAGAGCAGGAAGAGTTTGAAGGGGGCAGGTTACTTGTCTGTGGTTGACCACTCACCGTTGTACCTCTGGCCCGGCACATAGCTCTGGACATTGCCAGCCACGGACAGCACATAGTTATCGTCCACTGGAGACTTGGCTGCGGTGGCCCCCAGCGGGATGCGGTTGCAGGCCTCGATTCGCGGCCAAGTGCGGATAACTGCCAGGAATAGGATGAGGCTCTCGATGGCTTTCATTGCGGATCGCTGCAATCGGATAGCAGAGAAGGAACTTTTATTCTGAATTGGATCGGCTCTGTGGCATCTGCATCCCCCGAGTGGATAAAAGCTGTTTCTGGAACCCATTTGGAATTCCCTTAATTGTCTTAATTATCAGCACTCGTACCGAATGTCAATGGCAGGCCAGTTGTGGATCTGAATTGAACTTGAATTCGTTGGTGGCCTGCGCAAGCGTCTAGGCATACACAGCGATATATCCAATTGCCCATACTTTACCCAGTTTCGATTTCTAGGAATATTTCTATTTTTACAGACACTTTCTATTTCCTTTCAGAGCCAAACCTCATCATTGCCATGCGGAACTTGAACTAAGAGGCGTCTGGTTTGCGTTTATTCCCCCTTGACAATCGCATCGCATTGCAAGCCCATATTTCATCATACATATAGTCCGATATAGTATACGAACGAGTACTACTTCATAGTATATAAACCGTCTACGTCACTGATTAAATTCAATTGAAAAACGCGCCGACTGTTCATAGGAAATGTGAGCAAAATAACAGCCCCCAGACGACTACAAAAACAATTCCCATAGATTTCCATCATTAAAAACACTTTTGGGGCTTCGCCCTGACAGTGGAAAATCGAAGTGAGTCCAAAGTATCCCAGACTGCCAAAAGGAACACTGCAACTTACTGGATACGTAATTTTTCAATGTTTAATGAATCCTTTAATAGTCCTTCAGGATGTTTTTGACACTTCTTTGGCTCAGTATTGGTGGATCTCATGGGATATGAGTTCAGAATCCATTTCGCGCTAGACAGATATGTGGAAAAAAATGAATTCAGAACGGAACGTTCTCTGGAGGCACTCGAACGGCAACTGAATGCAAATTTGCACGAGCATCGGAACCGACAGCCCCGCCGATTACTGGCCTGCCCAGACGATGTGCATCATATGATTCGGGTTGGACGAGTGGCTAATGGGAGAGCGAGAATGGGAACCGACGCGATGCTCTTCTTTCCTATCCATCGTTCAGCACGGCTTCCGTTTTGTGCGTGGCTTCGCATTTGTTGATGGGCTTCTGTTTTCACTCGCCCATCCTAAACAACGGGGGACCGGAATTGGAAACAGCCAGGTACTGTGGACATACATGCAATAAAACCAAATAAAAGCCTGTGTGCCTTAGCTAATGTGTCGGCATTAGCTGTCAGGGCAGGCTGTTAAGCAGCACAATATCTATAACAAACTAAGCTCTCAGATCACTATCAGAGTTAAGTGCAAAATCGTTCATTTTGTTGTATTTATATTATATTTTTTAAACAATTACTGCATTTTGTTGTGATATGTAGAAATGTCTACCAGCACAGTATTTGTTCGCTGTGAGTTCTTAGTTCTCTAGCCAATCTCACTAATTAATTCCCTTCCCGATCCTGTGCAGCTACTAAAGCCAGAGATTTGCGAGCTAAGGCTAATAATTTGAGGGTAAGTTCCTGCGGTAAAAGGGTGAAGGAGCCTCGTTCTAATCTAAAATGGATTGTTCTACAGGCTTCGAATGAAACCCAATTTATTTATACGCTCTGCGGCACTGAAGGGTGTAATCTGAGCATCTGCTCGGTGCCTAGTAAGTCGTGCTCCGGATCCGTCGACGAGCGTATATCGTTGCCAGAGACGCCGCAGCAACAAGCCAAGATCCCTCTCTCGAAGAACAGCCTTGCTCAGGAAGTTACTACCGCAGTCGCCCCACGTATGTTTACCCTCCATCTAATTGTCTTACGGTACGTTTTTCAACGCTCATCCAATTCAAGGTACGGCCCACCAGTGGGTCCTCATTCGAAATCGTGTGCGTGCTTTCCAGGCACAGTACCAGAGTATACAATGCCTTCAAGCGGCGTTTTTCGAGAAGCTGCAATCGTTGGGGCCGGAGGAGTCCAAAATGATTGGCTCGTACAAGTTGGTTGCCATTGTGCTCAACGAGGACAGCAAGTGGGTTCATAGGAATGAGGATCCGACCCGTTTGCTCCAGAATTTGCGTGAGTTTCTATTGATTCCATCCTAAGCCTGTGGACACAGCAGTGCCATTTCAGCCATCGAGAGCGTCCAAGATCTGAAGAATCGTTGCCAGGGGATCGTCGACTCGGGCTTTATGATGTTGTACGATCATCTGGCCAAGGACGAGCTGGAGGAATGCAATCAGAAAGGGAAGCTCACAGCCAAGCTGAAGGATCTTCTGGTACGTCTGGTTCTGGATCTCGTCTGGTTCGCCGTCTGCTCCAATACTCAGCTCTTTCCCGTCTATCCGCAGAGCCGGCAAATGTCCAGCATCGCTGAGAGCATCGACCAGGTGTGTGTGACACCTGTCTGCCAACAGGTTTCGCCCAACAAGGATCAGTACAGCGACAAAAGCGAACTGCGGGAGCAGAAGCAGCTCATGGAGGCTCGGTTGTTACAGATCCATAAGGCCTACAACGGAGAGATGATTAGGCTCAAGGCGGACCTCGAGGAAAAGCTGAAGGCGGTGGAGGAAAACTGGCAGCAGACGGTGGTCGAGCTGAAGCTGATGCTACGACTCTACGAGGCACAAAACGACGAAAACTTAAGGGAACTGGCCCAAAAGAATACCTCTTTGACGACTAAGGACAACACCATCGCGTCGATGAAGGCTGAGATGGAGAACCTAATGTCTCGGTGAGCGGAGCAGCCAGATGGGGATTTCTAATGAAATTTTACTGAGTTATCTTTCCTTTAACAGCAATACGGCGCTGGATCAGCTAGTGAAGGAGTCGGAGGCTATCGTGCTCCAGGCTCAGAAAGAAGTCGAAAGAAACGGGGAATATGTAGTCTCTCTGGAGAACAAGTTGAAGGTCCAACAACAGAAGCGTCAGGATGGACTCGACCAGCTCGTTGTGGAGAGAGATCAGATAATAGCCGATTTGAAACTAAAGGTCCTGAATAACAAGCAATTCAAGACCTATGTCCACCGACAAAAGAAGAATACTCGCAAGTTGCAGGCGGGGAACGCTGAGCTGGATATAAAGATCCAACAGACGAGGGCCGAGATCAGGTGAGGCCCTTACTGTAGAGTTTATCGATGCACAGTGCACCTAAAAGTTTCCATTCCACATTCGCAGGGAGCTGGAGGACCATTTGAGGAGTACAGCAGTCCAGCTTGACTCCAGTTACCAAAGAGAGCAGCAGCTGCACTCGCATCTGAAGGATGTGAAGACGGAGCTGTGCAGGTCCGAGCAGCTGGTGATCCAGATGAGCGAGGAGGCGAAGGCGGTTCGGAGGAGGAATCCCACGCCCAACGACCACCAACAGAAAATTGACCAACTGTGCTTCGAATCTGCCGAGAAGGACAAGAAAATAAATAAGGTCCGTTGTCGAGGCCTCGTCATAGCCGGGCTTATCCTAATTATATATATTTCTCGTTTCAGTTAACCATCCAGCTGGAGTCGAAGGAGGAGCAAGTACGCCTCGTCTGCGAGAAACTTAATCGCAGGCAGAAGAAGCTCAAGTGCATGGAGAATTCTATAAACCTGCTCACGGAGCAGAATATTCACCTCTCCGAGCTCCGGAATAGGCATCGTGAGAATGAGTTCTTGATGGAACGTGAAATTTCCCAACTAATGGGCTCCATGTACGTATTTATTAGGTGGCTATTGCCTTAGTTTAGATCGAGTGTGCTCGATCCCCTTAAAACGGGGCTACGTTGCGGCAAGCTAAGGTAGCAAAGAAAGTTTAATGCGATTTTAAACGAATTGCAATTTTCAGAAAGGTGTATCAAGATCATATTAGCAACAACAGACGACCAGAACAATCAACTGAACTGAATGAATACTACTGTATAGATCCCTCTCTCCAAAATCAGCAGACGCAGGAGAATTTTCAGTTGCATGGAAATTACTTTCGGCCACTTCATAGCCACCTTGCCAGGCAGCAGCAGCAGCAGTATGTGCATCAGTAAGCGAACCGCCAATAGAGATTTCATAGCTTAAATCTTTTGCACCACCACTTCCCGCAGGCATTAGATTAGCAATCAAATTTCGTGATAGTAGGTGGAGCAGATACAATACAATATCAAATGGATCAATCAGACAAATTTATTGTTATAATTTTTCGTGTTTTAGTAAATATTGCAAGTACTAATACTATTTGAGAGGGTATTATATATGCATATCTCCCTGGGTTTGAACTGGGGACGTCGGCAGGGAGATTGACGATGATCAGTAGAGATGCCGCCCGGCTGAATCTGAATCTGGCACAGTTAATTGAAATGATTTGCATTTTGAGGGCAGGGTCGCAGTAATTAATGTTCGTTGGATGGGTTAGAGATACTCCCAAGCGATGATCAATGTGAGTAGCGTAACCCTTCGTGAGCCGATGGATTCATATGTAAGATCTTGGGCTTGAGTTCCCCTAATAATTCCTGTTTGGTTGAAATTCTCAGTGCGCAACGGGCATCGCTATAGCACTCAGCGCTCATCTCGGCAAATATCAGATGGTGCCGCTGCCTCGGCTTCGGAGGTTTCCTAGTCCAGTATCAGTTATGCTTCAGTTAGTCGCACTGGGCCGTTTGCTATAGACGGTTGACGGTGACAAAGTAGGACATCGGGACATCTGTTGTATGCGAGATTAAGAAGATTCCAAGTGAAAGTGTAAGCATAAAAGTATATTTTATCTCTTGTGTGATTATGTGGTGTTGGTGCTTGATCTTTGTGTGTCGTGTATAATAGATAAGCGGAGAAGTTGCCACAAATGTTTAAATGTTTCCGAAGCATTTAGATAATGCCAAGAGTTTACAGCATATCTGGGGTCTGGTAGCTACTATCTAGATCTTACACTTAGCTGGGCAAACAGTCTGGAACAGTCCCGAATTATATGCAACCAACACTCTGCCTTAGACAGGCATTAGATTAGATATTCTTTTCACCATTCCAAAGATTCCGGTCATATTTTGACACACCGTGGCTCACGAGCTGCGGAACCAGGCAGAGATTGCCATGGATGTGATTGATGATCGCATTGAACCCACTGACTAGCGATTTCGAAGTGCATTTTGTCCTATCAGCATTTTGCACGGCGCCCGTACATTTTGGCATTATAATTAATTGCCGGAATCTGTGACAGCAGAAATCAAAATTCAAAATTTTGCTTCCATTAATTTCTAACCAGTTGAGAATTCGGCATAAAATTTAATCCATCTATTTATGGGCCAATTTGGGCAAAGAATAGAATCGCACCTGTTTACTGGTTTAATGGCACGCGATGAGTGGCGTTTTAGAAACTCGATCAACACGATTATGGGATCAAAAATCAATAATAAAAACAAGAAACTAGAAGTAAACAGATTCATAAACTATCCCAATTTATACCCCAAAACTTGATACGCTAAGCGTGCCATCGACTTCTTAGTCACCTGATCTCTGGGACGCTAATGCTAATGAAATGTTGATAAGTAGCCCCGACCTCGGAGCACAATACTGACCCTGTCCAATATCGCCATTTCCCTGGAGTCTATTTTATCGTGGCCTCCCATCTTCATTGATTAATGTGAGCTTTTGTGTCGTGTTCTGCCAGCTTCTTCGTTTACTGTCCTAGGAATTAAGTCAGTCCTAATCCAATAACTATGGATGCTGCTGCAGAGTACCAGAGACTGAGCCAAAGGATGGATAAAAGCCAGGCAAAAGACCAGACAGAGAGAAGCTCCGTTCTCTATACCACATCCAGCGATGAGGTGGGTAGTCGGATTACTTTAGTTTGGAATATCCTTGGCACTACCTCAATCCTTTCAGCTTACTATTAACTGTTGCCTAAACAAAATCGAGGGACAACTTCCGTTGGAGGGACAGGCAGAGGCGGTGGAGAGGGGTGTAAAATCCTCTGGCCAGCGCGATCAATGGAGTCGGGGAGTGGAGTTCCTCTTTTCGTGCATTGCTCTGTCCGTGGGCCTGGGAAATGTCTGGCGCTTTCCGTTCATCGCATTGGAGAATGGCGGGGGAGCCTTTGTGATCCCCTATGTAATAGTACTCCTCCTGATCGGCAGACCGATCTATTATCTGGAGGTGGTCATAGGACAGTTCTCGAGCCGGGGCTGCATCAAGGCCTTCGACATGGTGCCCATTATGAAGGGTGAGTGAATCCCCCTCAGACTCTGTTCGGTCTCTCAACGATGAATATCCTGTCCAGGAATCGCCTACGGCCAGGTATACTCCACTGCCCTGGCCACCACCTACTACGCCTGCATTATGGCCTTAACCATACGCTATCTGGTGGCTAGCTTTGAAGCTGTCCTGCCGTGGACCTACTGTCTGGTGGAGTGGGGCAGTGCTTGCGTGGCCACAGGAGCCACCGTCACACCCAACGGAACTGCCCTCGGCCAGGGTGTATCTTCTGCGGAGCTTTACTTCACGTGAGTTGGACCAAAAACAATATTGCCCCCCTGAGTAGCTCTCAGTAGCTTACCTCTTGTAGGCATACGGTGCTCAGGGAGCCTGAGAACCTGCAGGAGAATGGCCTGGGAACTCCCAGCTGGGACCTGGTGCTCTGCTTGTTCGCTACCTGGCTGATCATTGGCACCATCCTCTTCAAAGGCATACGCAGCTCGGGCAAGGCATCCTACTTCCTGGCCCTCTTTCCGTATCTGATCATGCTGATCCTGTTGGGGAGGGCGTTGACCTTGCCCGGCGCCTGGCGCGGCATCGTCTACTTCCTCGAGCCGAAGTGGTCCGAGCTGCTGAATCCGCAGGTCTGGTATGCTGCCATCACCCAGATGTTCTTCTCGCTGGCTATCTGCTTCGGCACCCTGGTCATGTACGCCTCCTTCAACGACTTCCACAAGAATGTCCACAAGTAAGTTCGTGTATATGCCTTCCTTCCTCCCTCTATCTAATGCCGCCTCCCCTCCCATCAGAGATGTTATCATCATCACCAGCATTGATTCCTTCACCTCAATCCTTGCCGGCTGCATCATCTTCGGTATCCTGGGCAATCTGGCCCATGAAACCAACACCGAAGACATCGCTCAGGTGGTCCAGGGAGGAGCTGGACTGGCCTTCATCTCGTATCCGGAGGCGATTGCCAAGTTCAAGTATCTGCCGCAGCTGTTTGCCGTGCTGTTCTTCTTCATGCTGCTGGTGCTGGGGATCGGGTCCAACGTGGGCATGGCCAGTTCTGTGATCAACGTGGTTAAGGATCGGTTCAACCATCTGCCCCACTGGCTACTGTCCGCCACCTTCTCCCTAATCGGCTTCCTATGCGGGCTGGTCTATATGACGCCGGGCGGACAATTCGTTCTCAACCTGGTGGACTTTTACGGCTGCACCTTCATAGCCATTTTCCTGGCCATTGCCGAGATGCTGGCCGTGGGCTGGATCTACGGGGTGAAGCGCATCTGCAGCGACATCGAGTTCATGCTGAACGTAAAGACGAGCTTCTACTGGCGCATCTGCTGGGCCATTGTGGCACCCGGCCTGATGTTCCTCGTCCTGGCCTATATGCTTTCCAACTATGAGCCCCTGACCTATCGAAGTGTGGAGTATCCCCGGGCTGCTTATACGGCGGGCTGGATCATCTGGGGCCTGGGAGTGCTACAGCTGCCCATTTGGGCCATCTATACGATCTATCAGCAGCCGGGAAAGACTTTCAGCAGCGTAAGTAGGGAGGAGGGATACATCGTAAGAGACTTTTGTTAATTCCTTTCTCTACGCTACAGAAATTGAAGATGTCCCTGCAGCCCACGATGGACTGGGGTCCCCGCCAGCCACAGGAGTTCGAGGCGTACATCCTGCACAGGAATCGCCAAGCGGAGTTCAAGCCGCGACGCGGCGGCTACCTCATTGACAACATCTTTGGCTAAACTATTAAATAGAATTTATTATCATTTAGTTTTACGCTTTATTATTAATGCCAAAACGCGCATAACTTTTGGTTGCTGCAAGCTTTAGTTGTGGCAAAAAAGTTGTTGTTTGTTAAGAACTAATGTCGAACAGTATGTAATTAATATCCTATATGGCTTAGGCTTAGCTTAAGCGTTAAAAGTGTGGGTTTTAGGACTGCAAGTACTCGTAACTAACTAGAAAACAAAAACCAAGTTAATTTTTGGAAAATATAAGCCAGAGACCTCTGAAGCACTTCAATGGCAGCTACTTAGATGGAATAATTGTCTTTGACTGGTTGAATCCCACGAACCCCAAATTATAGCAAAATATCATGCCTTCTATCACCATTCAATGAGAGATACATTATTGGCTTCGGCTTCAGCACGATTCTTCATTTTGTGTGGCTCCTTTCTGCTTTAGTTTAATTATCACAGCACTTTTTGATATTGTTTTTATTGTGCAAAATTATATGTCCCTCCAACAGGGTCCTGGTCTGTGTGGGAGTGTGTGTGGAGTAAGTGCCTAACAAGTTCACCAACACATACATATATACTCTCTCTATTTCTCTCTCTCTCGCTTTTCCTATGTATATTTTTAAATATCATTAGGTTATTTAGTATGTCTCTTAATAGTAGGCTTAGTGGCAAGCTTTAGCCAAGCAAAAATTTGTTAATTAATTATTATTGAAAAACTTTGGTTTGGTCTGCATCGCATCCTTATTCTTCTACATACATACATAGCTACATACGAGTATATAAAAGTGAAATTTGATATAATTTTTTTAACCCCAAACGGATTTTTTATGTTTTGTTTTTTTTGTTGCTAATTTTTGGCAGATTGTTAGATTTGGGCAAAGTTTTCCCTCGACCACATTGCTGTTATTCTGATCAACATTTTCTAGATTTTATGCTAAGAATTGACTCTTGGTTTGCGGTTTTGTTAGGCTACTTTTCAGCGCGAAAAATTCAGCGTTTATACATCTGTCTATTCTACATACATATGTACGAAGTTATGTTAAACTCTTGATATATCTAGGTTCGAATACATATAGATAGCTCTGATTGATTCGCTATTTGTTGTGGCTAAAATGGAAGTTCTTCGCTAGCAACTCACACTAGATATGGTCCTATTTATTGGGTCTGTCTCCCGAGATTTTTTATAGAAAAATCTAACATACGATATGAGTTACCTTGAGTATATTGTCTCCTACTTATATACGATGTACGCCTATCGAGTGTTAATTGGCAGATGCTGATCCGTATCTGAGTTGAGAGAGTTTTAAAATTTGTTTAGGGCTAGTAAATATCGAATCAGAATCGAATCACGTAACAGGTGCAGAGTCCATCTCAGCCGTATTGCAGTGTTTGTTTCATTTGAGTTTTAGTCGGACTAAACTATTTATAGCTGATAGAAAAATATATGACGATGGCGATTCCATCTAGAAGGCCTGTATTGGTCGATAGAGTCCCGTGTAGCCGCAGAGCCTGGCCCGCATGGCCGGTATGAGAAAGGCGGCCAGCGAGATGTCCTTGAGCAAGTCGGCACACTCGCAAACCAGGAGGTACATCTTGTCCCCCTTCTGTGAGGTGCTCTTGTGCAGAGCGATGCGCCGCAGACCCGCCGCCCGTGGCAAGTATCTGAAATACAAGTATCCATGCACGAGTTAGGGAATTAACAATGAAATTCCAGGCCGAGCCAGGCACTCCTACCTGTACAGCATCCGGGCCCCTGTCCAGTAGAGCCAATTCTTTTCAAACCTTTCGCCATCGTCGCCCTCGAACACCTGCGGAATTAAAATTGAATTTTTCATGAAATCCGTGGAATTGTTCGACCGGGGACGGCGCCCCCAACCACCTGCCTTGAACACGGTAATAATGTAGCCGGTGGCCGCAGTCTGCGACTTCTTAAAGCTCCCGGCCTCGTTCGAAGGCAGCACCAACGGCGGCCGGTAAATGGATGCCACCTCGCTATAAAGATCCAGAGTGTGGGCGGCAGTGTATCTGAAATGGGTTTCAATTGGAGATGGCAAACATCAGGGGAAACAGTCGTGTACATTCAAATGGACTGGCTCCATTGATTGGCCAGGCTAACTCACTTGAGGGCCTTGGGCTCGAACTTGGACAGCGATGAGACGCGCAGGCTGGCATAGAAGTTGGAAGGATCCGTTTGCAGCGTATTGATGAGATAGTACGAGATGAATGGGAACTCGGCTGCAAAAGACAACAAGCGAAGTAAGAACTCTACGGTCTACATTTCTCCTTCCCCACACTTACAGCTCTTCTCCATGTTGGCCAGGAGCATGCCGCCCACGGCTGTGTTGGCCTGCTGCACCTCCGACACCAGCTCGGAGGCGATTGAGCGCTGCTTGAGCAGCGGGTGCGCCAAGGGTGACTCCATCACGGGATCGATAGCCTCCAAGGGGCTCATCAAATGCACCAGAATGCATAGTTTCGGATCGGAGACCTCCAGGACGCTCAGCGGACTGGCTGTCTTGCCATCGGCACTCAGAGCGGGTAGCTACAAGAGGCAGCTTTAGTCTGGGAGAACTCTGACCGTGGATCTGACTTACGGGTATACCGGCCGGCAGGAAGCGGTCCACACTATGCACAGGAATGATGAAGCAGTCCCGATCCAAGGTAGCCAGGGAGATCGGCTCGGCTCGCGTGACTCCAGAGTGGCCACCACCACCGAAGTTCACTGAAAAAACGCAGTGGTCCAACATTAGCGAGCGAGTTCAAAAGTCTTAGCAGGAGTACAAGTACAGTTAGCAATTTAGTTGAATAGGTAATCAACGGAGTAGCTGGGCTGGCAAGCTTTCGATGACAATTACAAAACTCTTATGACGAAAGCCTCTCATTGATCCAGTGCTTTTGTGAAGCATAGAAAGCAAAGAGATTAGTACGGTTATAGGGTAACAGATCGATCTCATGGTCCTTTTTGGTCCATTATTGGCTCCACCCAATGCTCTTTCTGTGGTTTTTCCGAGTATATTTTGTCTCGATTTTAGTTTTTTCTCTAATAAACACAAAATATAAACAGGACTGAACTTGCAACATAAACAAAGAAGACGAAGAACCGTAATTACAAACGAATTCGTAATCGGTATCGGTATCGGTATCGGAACGTTTGAGGTTAGCTACAACGTGCGAAAAACAGAAATTAGAGGGGAAAATCGGTGTAAGTTTCGGGTATTCGGGAGTTGGATTGGTTCGGAACGGGTGTTGTAGGGTGTAGGGCATAGGTTATAGGTTTTGGGTGGAAAATAGTTCAACAAAATGGGGAAAATGCGTGAGGGGCTTTGGTTTGTGTGTGTGTGCGTTTGTTTGTGTGTGGGTGCGTGTACGTGTGAGCATTTTGGCAATGTCGTTAGTGGCTGGCTGATCGATTGGGCAGCAACAACAACAACTAGTTGAGACCACCGTATCCAGTCGGATCGAGTCTGTGTGGGATAGTTGAGGAGATTCAAACCTTGCCGCGTGGCTGCAGCCGCGGCCGTCAGCAACGTGGTTGTTGCCGTGGCCACTGTTGCATCACCATGACCGTATCCCAAGGTTGTTGTTGCTGTTGCCAAGTGCATCTGCTGCTGCTGCTGATGCTGCTGCTGCTGCAGGCGTAGCAAACTGTTATTCGCACTGCTGCTGACAGTACCCGGTCCGCTGCTACTGCTATTCCACCGCATCAGGGAAAAGGACGGCCGGCGATCGACCAGCGGCTGGGGGGCGTCCAACTCATAGGGTTGCAAGTTGCCGGGCAGGGCGAAGGACGTGGCTGTGCTCAAGATTGGGGTACTCGGTATGCCTGAGAGTGCGCTGCATCGTTCTGCAATGGATTCTCTCGATATTTATAATGACACGAACACGCAGCAATCAAACAACAAACAACATACGAAATGAATGTGTGTGCGGGGAGGGGGGTTACAATTACGGAGCTGGATGATGTTTGGGGGAGCTGGGAATCACGGGATTCGAGACACATTCATCAGTTCCATCAGTTTTGAGGGGGGGGTGGGTTAGTAGGACCTTCTTTTGGATATCCTCCAAGTCTAAGCCACACCTCCTTGCACCAAAGTGAGATTCAAGGCCATTGCCAGGGGAGCAGGAAGTGCAAAAGTTAAAGGCAATTACAAAAGTAACTTACATACGGCTGTGCTCTAGCTTGCTGTACGAGTGTGTGCTCTGTGCCCCTGAAGCCAAGCCAACTGGAAATCGGAAGATTAGCTTAGGCTCCCCACTCACACCAATAGCAGGAAGACCTACAGGCACAGGCACAGGCACAGGCCCAGTTACAGTCACATGCAGGGAAAATGACAGGTGAATGGAATTCAGCAATTCATGAGGCATTCAAGGATGATAACTCTCTGGGACTTCTGACTTTTCTTCTACTGAGCATTTTTTGGCATCCCTGTTGTCTTTTTCAAGATGCCAATCGGTGCCCAAGAGGGCACCCAATTCTCATTTAATTATTTTTAATACTCGTACATAATCAAAGTGTAATAATTGAATTTAATTGAAAAACTGTCACCAATTGATTAGACTCTCAATTAATTTTCGAATGACATATTGCATCCTACCTTCCCCCAACGATAAGCTGTTTGTAAAACTGATGGAAGTATTTCAATTGAATGCACTGCATATGGATGGAATGCAAATGACAATGTGGGGTTAATGGAGCACAAGTGACGGAGTGACGGAGGGCCAGGCTCCAGCGAATGCAAAGAAGAGAGAGAGAGAGGGAGGAGAGGAAGGAGGAGAATGAGCGAAGGTGAGTCATGTTTGTGGATGATTGAAATGGGCGCTAGGAGAAACGGTACATTTGCTTGTGCTGTTGTTGCTGTTGCTGTTGCTGCTGTTGCTGCTGTTAGTGCCGCAAGGCGAACGTCAATTTACCTTCGCCGACGTCATAGCCAGGACGATTGGGTGAGAAGAACAGGTGTGTTCGGTAGTGTATCTCCTCCGGCTGCTGCACGAGGCCCATGTCCCGCGACCGCTTCGTCCGGTTTGCCTTCGATTGTAGCTTCCCGCCGCCGCCGGCAGACTTGCTTGCCCCCTCGCGGAAATTCTTACGGAACATTAAATTCATCGTGAGTTCGGGTACGGGTAGGGGTACGGGTACGTATACGTATACGCTATGTACGCAGTGTGGGCGACTTGTCGCTGTGGTTTATGGTGGTGGTGCTGTTGGTCCTCCTACTATTGACCAACAAACCGGATGGAGCTTGTGTGGGTGGGTGGTTGGGTGGTTGGGTGGTTGCTGTGAGTGGTATGTTCTGTGGGTGGAGTATTGGTGTGTGTTTGTCCGCTTATGTGGCCGGCCTGTGCGCTTTGTTCTTGCTTTTTTTGCTTTTCTTGTTTCCCGTCTTTGTTTTTGTTTTGTATCTCATTTGCTGTGTGCCTGTGGATTTCATTTGGTGGATAACTTTCAGTTATTCGCGTTGCTTTTGTTGCGCTTTCGCTTTGTTAACTTTGTTATCACGTGGAATTCGTATTAATTTGTGTTTTAAAGGACTTGCAATTTATTTGCCTTCGCCCCATGTACGAAAAATCACAGGTGGAGAGAAGTTATCTCCATGTTCTTTGGTTATTCGACTAGTTTATACCCTGTGTAATGAGTGATTATGTGTGTGTGTGTGTGCAGGATACAAGTCACAACATCAGCAGTTATTGATTTAACTTAGTGGGCAAACGATTCTCAGGAGTCGATGGTTAAATGCTTAAATAATTGTGATCACACCTAATACAAGCTTATATTTCATATCCACTTTTAGTAATCTTAGTAATAAACATTAGGGTTAGTATATAGGAGTGTGGAGGAAGCTGGTTTTCTTCGCCATTCGGTTCGTTGACTTCCAAAATGGCTGTTGTCCGGAGTGGAGTGGCGGCCCAAATGACTTTCGGAGTGTTTGTGTGAGTGTCGGCATGCAGCAGTCGGCAGGAGTGTATGTGCGTGTGAGGAGCTGCTCAACGGCTTACGGAAATTGCCGGTTTCCGTCTCAAAATTACTTAGCTCAGCCGAACTGCTGAATGGCAAATGGCAAACCAAACAACAACAACAAAAAAGGAGGGAAAAACGGCAAAGGGGAAAATCGGAATGCCCGGAAAAAGCGGGAAAAGTAAAAATCCAAATACTCGGCAATTAAAGTGCCTCCAGGCGGAGAGCAGGGTACTCTTGTGGGTGGCTTGTGGGTGTCGGAACAGGCTTGTGTGAGTTTAATTAGTTCAAGACACGGCGCAATTAGTTTTATGGTAGCTTATTGATTTCCTGGCGCGATAAATTTAGACAGCTGCTTCCGAGAGCCCTGCGGTAGGGGGGCTGAGGGGCCGGCTTTGGGTATAAATTGAAAAGCGCTTAGCCAAGTCCTGGGGCCATTTATAAACAGCCTGAAGGCGGGCGCAAATGAAGCATGAAAAGGGTGTTTCCTAGTTGTCGGGGAAACCCACTTAAGAATTAGCACAAGTCTGTGAACAAAGGACATTCCACACAAAGGAGAGGGAACTCTTGGAGCCAAGGCGATTTCGGCTAATCTCATTAGGCCTAATGCGAAACGAAATTGGCGAACTTAATCTTAATGAAATCTCAAGAAGTTTTCCCATAATAACTCAAAGAATGATTAGCCCAAAAGGAAAGCATAATTTTCATTTCAGTTATGAGCAATTTACTGTACCAAATCGGTTTCCCCATCGGCTGCCCCAGCTGCACTTCCATCAGCGGACTTCCTTTTGGCACCCACTTAAGCCCTGCCATCAGCACTCCCTCAATCGCACAGGCCATCAGCGAAACTAGGAATCAAACAGAGCCACGTCAAAATGGCTCGTAAACATTTTTACAGCATTTTCAAGTGGCTGGGCCGGGGCCCACTATAATTAATTGCTTTTACGACCCCAGTTACTGCAATAATAATGCCTATCATTAAACATCGAGCACACATCGGAGCAAATATACATACACTCGTAGGCCAAAACAATCAAGCGGCCAAAACAACAGCGGGCTAAGATGCGGGAGATAATAACCCAAGAAAATCAAAAAGAAAACACTTTTGGGAAGCCGCATTTCGTTTCGTTTTCTGGCCAAAAATAAACAAGCTAATGAAATCAAATTTTTGCGTTTTCTCCTCTGCCAAAATAAACCAAAACGGGCAAGAAGCAGACTCACGAAAATTATAAAATTAGAATTGCGCCAACAGAGAGGGCGTGAGAGGGAGCGTTCGGTAGCGAGCATCGAGCATTGAGAGGGTGCTGTGACCTAGACAAGGAAGGTAGGCAGGTCGGACGGCCCTTGACCTTGCCTGGCCGTGTGTATATCGTAGACTTCATATCACGGGCGTGTGTGTGTGCGTGTGTGTGAAGTGTGAATGATTTGGGTGCTGCACCACAGCCGCCTATGGCCGATACCTACATACAGATACATGTGCCTAGCGATCTGAAATCTGACTGCTCAAAAGAGTCAATTCATTTATTCCTCTTTGTGTTTTCTATATTTTCCATTCGTGGATGGAAATTTTAAGAGTTACGAGTTCTTTAAACCATGGCCACCAAACTTGTACCTCTTCAGCTGAATATCTATATTTGATACACTATTTGGATGTCAGTCATGTCTGGGAAGAGTTTGGGCTTGCACAAATGAAGAAATTATCTTTATCAGTGCTCGCGTTTCACTTTTGGGCACTTTTGTTTGTGGAAAATTGAATTTTCACTGCTGCT